GGATGGGTGCATGGATCCGCATGGCTTGGATGATGGGTGCTGATCTAGCAAAGGAGAGGGATGTTGGAGCTGCTGAATTGAGCCAACGGTGCCGGGCATGGTATCATCCAATGAGGTATTGATCTAAGCTTGAGTGTAGTCAGTAGGGAGTGAGCCGGGACCGGTGAGGAAGGAGGGTATAGGTATTGATAGGCAAATAGAGCGCCGGACATTGGTGATGCATGTCTTGCAAGTTCAGAGTTGCACGATAAAAAAAGAATTCACAGGCGTGTCTGGCAAAAACTAGGTTAAAAAAAATGGAAAAAAAAAAAAAATATGTGATGCCAGATGTGACTTACTAACTGGAATGTCCAAGATTTTCCGAAAAGACAATATGAGCATAAAGTTGCAGTGTACTTGCTTCATGACTTCCAAGTTCCGATTCCCGCAGAGAATTTGCAATCTTGTGGTGCTGTTCGGCGGACAAACTTCGGCAAAATCAGCCAGGCAGATCCAGGCTGTAGCGATTGAGTGGGTTTGCATACTGGGGTGGCCTGGGGTGGCTCAATATATAGTTGTAGTAAAATAAATATATGTATTGTACTACGAAACTATATCAAAAAGGCCTGAGTGAGAGGGTATCTCACACTTGTCAAGACACAAGCTACAAGGACAACAAATGGAAATACTCTCAGACGACGATATCCTTTATTCTGTGCTAGGCGGACTCCAACCTGGCGGGACATGTCTTTCCTGGATTGCAGGTTTGATTACATGCGAAGCCCTACGATTGACTCAGCGTTTCGACGATAACACATCATGGGACAAGCGTTTTTTTGTTTACTTCAGCTTGCTCATGTCGGTTACGTTAGCAGGGTACGGATTTTCTCTTTTTTTCTGCATCTTCATCCACCCGTTTTTGTTTTGTCTCTTACAATCATGCTGCTCTCGGCCTTTGGAAATCTTCCGTCTTACCGTTTATGAAAATGATCCAGTCTGTTTGCGGCAATGCTATATCATTATTGCATCGAAAGCTATGGAAACTATCGGAGTCTCCTGCAGGTTACTACTGTTGTTCGGTAAGCTCGAGAAATCTGGGTATTTTGTGTTGAAACTGACAAGTCATTCCATTGGTATAAGCTGTCATTACATATTTGGCCGGGTCGTAAGCTTCGGGGTTATTTGCTTTGATTTCTTCATGAGTTGAATTTGATTGGTGCCTGCCCTCCCGTCTGATACTAATCCTTAGGCCACTTGTGGAGGTGAAGAATCTGCTTGAAAGTTGTGTTTCCTCTGGCGTTGTGACTAATGATCATAAAACTATTTCAGGATACTCATTCTATGCACATTCTGTGTGGGCCTCTACGCTTGGAAAAGTCAAGATTTGCAAAGTACCAATCGTTAAAGTCTTCACTGCGCTGCTCATGGCGGGCCTATACACCGTCGTTATCCTTGGAATCCCCCAGGCATTCACTGTGCCAACCTTCCAAACAGTTGCGGAGCATGGATCTTCCGGGCTATGGTAAGAGCAATTTGACGCATTCCACTTATGCCAGCTTGAAAAATTAATTTGACCATAACCTAAACCTTATTTATCTGGTACAGGGGTCGTGTGGTTCAGGTTTGTTGCCAATAATCTCTTGAATTGGATGACTTGAGTACCCATTACAGCAAGTGTACCATGAAGTTGCTGACTATTTTTACGAACACGATTTTGGCTGCAAGTTGATTTGTGGAAGTTTCTTAACCTTGCTGAGGGCTTACGATCTTGCACAATCTAAAGCAGTTCGACAAATGCTCGCGACCAACAATGATTCGTCTGTTTCTCCCTCGTTTACTGACGGCTTCCCATTTGGATATAAATTTCTGATGGTTTTCAATCAAACAGACTCCGCTACATTTCCAGTGTTCTCTGTCTGGTGTGCCAAACGGCAATCTTCACCACACTCTTTGAAGTGATCTCGCTGTGTCTGCGCAATACGAAAGGAGCTGGAATCGGCTACACCATGATGTAAGCATTGGTTGATAATCCGTGTTCGTTGGATATGCATTGGACATCCTCATAGGCTAACCCATCTAGGGATTTGGTACAGGTCTCTGAGCGCCGAAGTGCATTTATTTGGCCCGGTAAGCCTCGATCTGCACTTGTTAAACGGGTAGCAAACTACGCGCTGACCACAAAAGAGTCTTTGATCCAGATTATGGCTATTAGTGCCACGCTGCAAGAAGACTTTTTGGCCGAACAGGCATCGACCTGCTCAGTAGGCAAGAGTGAATGCAAGGCAGCAGCCCCCCCAACCACCAAGAGACTCACTTTCCAGACGCAGGAAAAAAGGGTGAGTGATGAAAAACCCCGCCTTCCAAAAATTACAAATCATTGACAGTGACTGATCTTTCTGTTGCTTGCTTCAGTTGATGAAGGGGTATTAAGCTATCAAGAAGGCCGGGCGTGGGACATTTTGCAATCTGCTTTTGTTTTTGTGCAGTTTCTAGTGGTCAGGGTGCCACCCGTCAAAATAATCATGTGTTTATTAGTTCTGGAAACTTATGTCAGATGCTCTTTGTCAGACAGTAAAACTGTTGCATAATTAATGTTGAGACTATGTAGTTCCCTCAAATTCCAAGCCTAGACGCACTCACTGAGAGCCGAGTAAAGGAAACCTAAGGCAAACACCATATGACTGAGAGGCGATAGACGGTAACATTACAGAGCCATTTTTGAAACTGGTGGCACGGAAGAGGCTATCTAGTGATTCCACACAGGTCAAGATGCCCAGTGGAAATGCAACTTGTTTCCATCGTGCTTGTGCCGATGTAATTGCATCATGCATGTACTACACACAAGTTTTTTTTAAAAAAAACCCTGTTTGTTCAGGTAAAATGTCTCAGAAGGAACGGGTAAAGAACACATCTCCTTCGCACAGCACACATTTTGAAAGGCACGAAGTGGCCTGTCTAGGTGCTTTGCTGCGATAATACGAGAGGGATTTTGATTTGACTTTGCTTTTCTTCAATTTGGACATGTATTGAGTTTTAAGCTTGATCCTTCGGTTTTTTAACTACAAGTTGTTGTGGGAAATTATCAAGAATCAGTTGGACGGAAAGAGAACTATCAAACAAGGGAGTTGAAAAACAAAACAAAACACCTACCGCCATATTTTGATCTCGAAGTTCTTCTACCGACCACACCTGCGAAATCTAATGCTCCTCTAATAATCTTGTATCTGATAGGAGTAGATTATGAAACGAATTCACACGGGATCAGCATCAAGTCACATTTCGATTTGAAATGATATGGTGACCAACTTGAGACCGATCAAATCTTGAGTTCGACCACCTCGGATCAAGACCACGGAATGTTCTTGCAAGTTATGCCCTTCACCCTGAATGTAAGCGACAACGGTTTTTCCATTTGCGAGTTTAACTTTAGCCACTTTCCGGACGGCTGAGTTAGGTTTCCTGGGCTTGACGGTATACAACTTTGAACAGACGCCTTTCTTTTGAGGACAGCCTTCTAATGCGGGTGCCTTGTTTTCTCGTCGGATGGTCTTTCTACATCCTCTGATTGTTTGGTTGATCGTTGATTCCGTCTTGCTTGTTTGTGAAAACTGTCGCTCGAAGTGTAGACGTCCCCTGTCCGAGGTTTTACCGATTAGGGAATGACTCCGTGACGGTATCGAGTTGGCGCCATTGTATGGGTGTGCTTGGGCTAACAGCCTGGATGGAGTCGTCCGTCCCGAGCAGTTCCAACAGCGTAGTAAGCTTATCATCCTCGTCGAAACTCGTTGTCCGCTTCGGAGTCTTCTCTGGGTCCACGACTACGTATTTGTTATGTTGGTTTTCTTGTTCTAGTAGTAGTGACTAGTGATTCTACTCATTCAGGCGATCACCAGCGACTCACGCTGATAGTCCTCGGGGTGCCTCGGGGGCCAGAGGGGGAGCCCGGTACGACATTTGACACATGAGTTACATCCCACTTTGAATAGACATGTCACCTGTCACATTCATTCCCAAGCTTAGTCGAACAATCCTATCAAATTATGGGTGGTTGAAAGTGGAGAAGCTGTGGAAACTTAACCACAACAATAATTGGCTGGGCTGTTGGGATGTCCTTTTGACTGGTTTGCACTCAACCAATTTAGATATGTAGCCCTTAAGCCCATGGCATTTGGGATTGAACCAACACTGCTGATACTGCCAGAAATTTGCTTCTTGGGAACTTATTTCATACCCATCACTTTGTCAATTATTTTGCTGAACATACAGCTATTTTGGAAAGGGTTGTCCAGTTGTCTCTCGCAATTTTTTTTTTTTTTTTTTGAAAATTTTTAAATTTTTTTTTGTACTGAACTACAGCCGAGGAGGTACAGCTGTCATCACTAGTTCAGTTCTGACAGGTCCAGTTCAGTAAAAAAATAAAAAATAAAAAAAATAAAAAAATAAAAAAGATTTCGCGAGTCCTATAATTTTGAGAGAAGATCTTGGCAAGGACCTGATGAATGAAATGAAATCCGGGTTAGATCTGCCCAAAGATGATGATTTAAGAAAGAATCTGTGAAGATTCTATATTGGTTGGAGTGGAGCAAAGCGACACGACAACAGTGGTTGGTTGAAAGAACGTTTTCTCTTTCTTTAGTTATTGTTTTTCAAGATAATTGATTGACTAAAGAAAGAGAAAACGGCGTGGGGCTTGAACCTTCTCGGTTTTATGTTGGGGTGACTACGTGGTTGACGTGTGGTTTTAATAATGAATAATCTTATTGAATAGCTGATCTGATTGAATTGATGAATAAATTCAATAGCCTCCCTCAATCAGAGCAGCTATCTTTGAGACCGATTAATAGTTTGATTTTGTTGAATGGTTTCTTGCCGAGATTTTTGGTAAAGATGTCTGCTATCATTTCCGTGGTTTTACAATGCTCGAGTTTAAAGAAGCCTTCATTTACTTTTTCTCGGATCCAATGAAATTCTATTTCGATGTGTTTTGATCGTCCATGAAATACCGGATTGCTCGCCAAATAGATTGCGCTTAAGTTATCACTTTTGAGAATGATGGGGAGATCAACGATTAGACCCAGTTCTTTCATTAACTTGCACAGCCACATGATTTCCTGTCCTGCCTCGGTTGTTGCACGGTATTCTGCTTCGGTTGATGATAAGGCTACCGTTTGTTGAAGACGACTCCGCCAACGTATTGCTCCACCAATGTATTTGAAAATATATCCCGTCGTTGATCGCCGGCTAGATCGGTCTCCAGCCCAATCTGCATCACTAGCGCATTCCGGTGTATTCCAGTCTTGTTGTCCTATCAAATTTTCGCTCTTCTTGGTACTGTATGTAATAGCTTGTCTTTTTGTCGCTTTGAGGTATCTGAGCACATGCATAAAAGCGTCCCAGTGTTTTTGATTTGGTTTTGAAAGATGTTGAGAGAGAACACCAACAGCAAAACTAATGTCGGGTCAAGTACAGAGTGCCAAGTACATGATTGATCCCACGGCGCTCCGATATCGTGTATTATATTTGATGAACTCTTCTGATTCCTCATCGGTGGAGTTGACAAGATGTGTATTAGCAGCAAATGGAGTACTTGCTGGTTTACAGTCAGTCATATGAAACTTCTCGAGAACGTCGTTTATCATGGCTTGCTGATGAATTTCGTATCCCCCTTCGTCTGTCTTGTTGATTTCGATTCCCACTACTCGTCGAGCAACTCCCAGATCTTCCATTGCCCATCAAGCCTTAATTTCCAGCTTGACTTTATCGATTTCATTACCAGTGATTAGCATATCGTCAACATGTATGTAGATTACTGAGGTGAATTCTTCGTTCCTTCTGATGAAAATGCATTCGTCTCCGTAAGTCTTCTTGAAACCGATTTCTTTAAGGTATTTTTCCACTTCTATATTCCACAGTCTTGCTGATTGTTTCAAACCGTATATTGACTTCTTTAATTTCCACACTCTTCCGCTATTGTCATTGAAACCTTCAGGCTGTTCTAAATAAATATCTTCATCCAAATCGCTGTTGAGGAAGGCAGCTACAGCATCCATCTGCTCGATTTCCCATCCGAATTTTGCAGCCATGGCAATAACTAGTCGTAACGAAGATGGTTTTCCGGTGGGCAAAAAAGTCTTGCCGTAGTCTTCTCCTTCTATTTGAGTATATCCTTTAGCTACGTATCTCGCTTTATATTTTTCGATTTCGCCATCGACTTTGAATTTGATTTTAAACACCCATCTTCCCTTGATCAGTTTCTTATCGAAGGGCCGGAAGTCCAATTCGTACACTCCTTTATCGTCCATGTTTTGAATTTCCTTCTCACACGCTCGAATCCACATCATTTTCACCGGTGAGTTTTCGACATCTTTGAATCTCTTTGGTTCAAATTTTGGATCCGTACTAGTAACATTCATGCTCATCGGCTTCAGTTGATTTGCCCAACGGGTTGTCATGTACGAACGATGAGGCATAGCACCAATTCGAGTATATCTTTGGACTGGTAATCTGGTTGTTCTTTGACTAGTTTTCTTGGTTTCATCTGGTGTAACTGGGTCACTAACCGGGGAAGAGATGCTCTTGTCGGGTTCTTGTGTTTCAATCATTTCTTCCGAAAACGGATTCTCATGTTCTACATTGCCTTTCTCTGGAAAATTACTTTCATTGAATGTAACGTTGTGTGTGTTGACTATGCGTTTGGTTTCGTAATCGAAAATTTTATAATTTTTGTTGAAATCGTCAAATCCTACTAGGAAGCCTCTCCTTGAAGTCGGGCTAACCTTGATTTCTCTGACTTCTTTTCGATTGTGGATATATGATAGACATCCGAAGGGTCTGATGTACATTGTAATCTATATTGGGTTTATGACTGAACCATAGCTCGTATGGCACATTATCGCTGTCTTTCCGTGACTTGGTATATATCCGGTTCTGAATAAATACCGCAGCTTTACAGGCTAGGCTCCAAAAACGAGGTGGTGTCCCGCTGTGAATCATGAGAGATCTTGCCTTTGTTGCTAGTGTCCTCATGGCTCTTTCGACAATCGAGTTTTGTTCTGGCGTATATGGCGCTGTTGTATTCTTGACAATTCCCAGCTCGTCGCAATACGGTCCTAACAATGAATTTATGAACTCGCTGCCACCATCTGTCGTGATCATTTTGACCTTTTTGTCCCAATGTCTCTCAGCTCTAGATATGAACAAGTTGATTCCCTCGAAGACTTCTTCCTTAGTTTTTGTTTTTAAGAAATGAATGAATGTCATTCGAGTTGATTCATCAATTGCGAGCATAAAGTAATTGTAATTGTAGATACAGGGTATACGGATAATTCCACTAAGGTCAATATGGATATTATCAAGAGGTTTGCATCCCTTAGGTCTGGTACCTGAGAACGGAAGCCTTGTAGATTTAGATCTTCTACATGTGTCACAATCCAATATTTTGTCTTGTTTGGCGCCCGTTGTCTTTTGCAGATATTTGTCATTTAAATGGCCTAGACGATTGTGTAGTATTTCAGATTCAGTTACATTTCCTTCGATTCCTGATTTTGAGTCTTGAGTGAGAGTACTGACCGGTTCAATCTTGACAATCATCAAGAAATTTTCAAAACGTCCTCTGAGAAACACCTCGTCTTCGATAACTACCTCGAATCTTTCGGAATTTCTCGAATCGAGTTTGATAGTTGCTCCTTGTTTCTGTAGAGCTCCAGCGGCGATAAGGTTGTGACGAAGACCGGGTACTAGAAGAGAATTGACTAGTTCAAAACTCGGAATATTTTGTCCCTTCAATCGCACAGTTCCAACCCCTTCGATTGGGAGTTCTTGCAATCCGGCAGTGCTAATGGATGGTTGGTCTGGGTCTGGTTTATTCATGGTGCTTTGATCAAAGAAGCCTGGGGACCTGAACATGTGTTGTGATGCGCCCAAATCCCAAATTGCTTCTCTGATAGAATCAACTGAGTTTGCCTCGCTGCCGTAAGTGATAAACGCCCATGACTTCTTCTTCTTCCCAGTGGTATTGTTTGCGCTGGGTGCTGGACTCGTGGCTTCTCCTGAGTTTTTGGTTTGATTGTTTTGAGATGGTCTATCAACGTGATTGGCAGTCTTCTTTGATCGGAGATTATCAAACCATGCCTTCTTAGCTGCCGCATTTTCAGGTTTAGCAAAAAACTTGACTGAATTGTGTGGACCTTGACAGTCTCTAGGGGTGCATTTCTTCTTAGCATCAGTGTTATTTGCTGAGTTGAGAGTGTTTGATTTGTCTACCGGTTCTGAAGTTTCTTTGAATTGTTGACTTTCTAATTTGTATTGTCTGAGACCGGAGATGACTTGTCGAGTGTTAATCGGAACAACAGTTCGAATTAGATGTCTTACTTCGTCGTAATGAGATTGATGGAGCGAACTGAGCAATCGTCGTGCCAACATCGTGTCATTGATTTGTCCACCTCGATTCGTCATGTTGTTTTTTAATTTCATGAAAGCATCGATATGGTCGGAGATGCTAGTGTTTGCTTTCTGTCTAAGTTTGTCGATTTTTGTTTGAATGAGAAAAACCGACGCTTGATTCTCGCTTTGATGATGCTCTTTTACCAGAACCCATAATATGTATGGACTTGATTGAGGGTAATAGAGATTGTTTGTTTGGACCTAGGTACCTGTTTATACCTAGGTACCTGTTCATTTTTTCAAGAAAATAGATACCATGTACCACACCAGACACCTCCCGGGGGGTACCCAAGGTACCTGTTGCAGGTACCTCAGGTACCCCCCCTCTCTTTTTCACCTAGTTTCACTCCCAGAGTCCCAAGTCACTTTATTATTATTATTATTATTATTTCATTTTTATTGTAAAATATCACTCACAAGTCACTTTTTTGGCATTTTTTAATATCTGTTCTAATATATCTACATCTATGTCAGCCTTGTGTATGAAACTTTGGCTTAATAATATAAAAGCCAAGTACTATCACTGTGCTGAAGGACTCAGGTTAAAGACCAAGATTACTCCTAGTCACCCTCAAAGTATTAAGTGGTCCAAACTTCCCACTTAAGAGGTTATAAAGTCCACACTCCTCAGTTAAAGACACTTGAATAATCAAGAGAGCCCTGTAGGAGACAATAACAGAAAAGTTATTGTAGAGTGTTTGGAAGCAATAATTAATATTGCAAGAAGTAGCTGGCAAGCACCTGAGCTGAAAGGCTACAGTCAGAGGTGGTGGTCTTGCAGCAACTACTTTTTAAGGAATTACTTAAGTGTTGAGTCTGGGATAACTCTCAGCTTAATAATAATTCCAGTAAGAAGGTAGGGTTGGATTGGATGATAAAAAAGACTACTCTAAAAGTAGGTGGAGAATATTCACTGTACTCACTTAGTTTGTTGGGGGTGAATATGCTGAGGAACCAATCCTAGGCAGGAGAAGGCCTCCTTAAATATTCTAGAGGTCCCCTTGAGGCCCTCCTTAGAATATTCTAGAATCTCTCTTTTAGTGTACCATGGTAGAATTATTCCCCTGATGTAATGGGAATAATTCAAGGTATTTCAAATAATGTATATTCTATGTCCCATGACATCATGATGCATATTTATAGCCAATTACATCATGTGTCTCCTTAAATAGAATACTACTAGTAGAAAGTGCCACACTCTTGACATAGTGTGGTAATTTCTTTTCTACAAGTTTTAATAAATTGATTATGCTTGTAGAATAAAATTTCTAAGGTTACCCTAAATGTATATTTAACCCTAATTTAATATACATTAATTTTATTCTGTAAATTTATATATTTTTATTCCTTTTGTCCTTCAAGAGTTTGAATATATACAAAGTCCTTGAAGGAGTGGGAATTTGGGGATACTTCCAGTGGAAAACTCCCTTTATAATCTTATGAAATATTGTTTTATTAAATAATATTACTACATATTATATTACCTGTGGAGTATTTTAATACTTAATATTCATTTAGCAGTCTTTTGGATACTCTGGAGTATCTCTAAGGCTGACAATCTAACTGGAAGAATCTTACTTTTCTATTTTTTTTCATATTTATTGTAAAACATCAGTCCCAAGTCATTTTTTTCATTTTTTCATATTTGATAATTTATTGCAAAGTTTAAACTATCTACAACTTATAACTAATTGGAAGAATCTTATTGTCATCCAAAACCATCACCTTCCTTTCTGATTTTTTGTTAGACTTCTTCGTATCCTTGAGTCCCTGTTTCCATGCAGCCAAGGTACCTTCTTGGATCTTGGAGTTCTTGGAGTAGAAGGCCACCATCATTTTGATTTTTGGTAGGGAAGTCAGGGGGTACCTGTAGAGGTACCTAGGTACCTGTTCAAATTTTCACAAAAATAGGTACCAAGTACCGCACCTGGCACCTCCTGGCGGGTGTGGGGCGGGTGCGAGGGGTACCCCCCAGGAGGTACCAGGTACCTGCAAAAAGTACGGACGAACAATCTCTAGAGGGTACTGGACTTCTTCCTCATAGGCGGCTCGGAATCTTTGTGAGTTAGTCTCGTCCATTCGTCCAAACAAAAATTCGACTATGCATCGTTTTTCGACAAGTGAGAATTCACCAACGTCCTCAGTTTCTTCATCTTCTAGCATGAGTTCAGCTAAGCCGAGAGATCTCAAGTTGCCGACGATTTGAGTTGACCAGTTCGGGAAGTTGGATTCATTGAGATTACTGGTTATCTTGATTTTTGATAAAGCGTTGGAAATCGATAAGGCGTGATCTTGAGCGGCTTTAAAGTTTTGTCCGGCTTTTAGCTTATTGCGTTTGGCAGCCAGGGCTCGTCTTGCTTTTTCCGTTTTTTCAAGAGCAGTAGTAGGGCGAGTGGTCTTTCCTTTATCTTCGCCTGGAAGAGGATTGCTCAATTCGGGGTTGTTCTTATCATCCATTCTTTCAGAATTTTCCGTTTTGGCCTTGAACGACTCTCGCTAACATATAATTTTGAGAGAAGATCTTGGCAAGGACCTGATGAATGAAATGAAATCCGGGTTAGATCTGCCCGAAGATGATGATTTAAGAAAGAATCTGTGAAGATTCTATATCGGTTGGAGTGGAGCGAAGCGACACGACAACAGTGGCTGGTTGAAAGAACGTTTTCTCTTTCTTTAGTTATTGTTTTTCAAGATAATTGATTGACTAAAGAAAGAGAAAACGGTCGCGGTTGACGTGTGGTTTTAATAATGAATAATCTTATTGAATAGCTGATCTGATTGAATTGATGAATAAATTCAATAGTCCAAGTGGACAACCCTTTCCGAAATAGTCAGCCCAACAGGTTCTTTGGCTGACTTTGTCCAACAGGTTCTGAAACTCATGTGCTCTGAGTAGTTCCAATGAGTTAGTTAATGAAGTACATCCACCTTCTCACAATGCTGGGGCTGCTATAATACACTATGCTATTTGGCCAACAAGTTTTAGTGTAGTGGGTGTGATCAATCTCCTCTGGAAATATTAGCTTCAGCAGATAATTTGTGCTTCTATGAATTGTTACGCCACTTTCAGCATTAAAGAAACACTAGAAGGTATCTTGATGCAGCTTAGGGGCTACAGTTGTTAGAGCTATTCACCTAGTGCAATTATGGCTGTTTGAGCTAGCCTATAACTGCCAGATGTTAATGGAAAATTGCATTCTTTTAGCACTATTACACTCACACTACAGTAATTATAGCTGCAATGTTTCCTCCTGGCATATTATTATATTGTATTTTTCAGATTAACCAAACACTTGTTAGGTACTAGTTGACTCCAATGGATCTTTTTTATGTGCTAGAATTAATTAAAGCATCAGGTCTTGAACAAATTTTTCTTACAGCTTAAATCTCAAGTGTGAAGCTCCATGAGATATTATTTTTCCTATGGAAGTTGAACCCACATCCACTAGATATTGTTGCAGGCTGCAGCATCACCCTGTTGTTGCAGCTGAGATTCATCTGCAGTGGCTGTGCCTGTCATGTTGGCCTGCAATGAAAGGGTGGCACTGCAAGGGCCGACTAGACTTGATTTCCTGTCATTCCTGTCATCAATGCTGCAAAAAATGCAATAGACAGTTTGTGCCCACTGCCAACTGATGTGGCTAAGAGCAAGATTAAATGAATAAGACTCCAATAGAACCACATCGGTCATGAAAAAATTACATCAAGACCATGATACATGAAATTATACATGCCAATACATTTCAAATATCATATATGATTTGTTCCAGTGTTGCTGTCATGTGTACTAACCACTGTACTAAGTACACTTGAATATGAATGACTGCAGGTGGGTCAATGTATTCAACTGATGTCACTACAAAGCCTCTAATTGAGGGTTGAATCTGTAGAATCAGGTAGTATGATAGTGTGACACCAGTAGCTATCATAAAGCCATGAGAAGCAGAACCACAACCTGACAACAAGCCCCTTGGTCCAACTCCAATCTTGAGCCCACCCAAAATCCCATCCTCTTTTGATACTGTGATTTTCAAGGCAGAAATGGGATGCTTTTCAAAGAATTAAGTGGGGCAAGGGCTTGAGAAGCTGAGAAGAGCTGATGATGTGAGCAGAATGCACATAACTTGTGGAAAGTTCAATTTGTTGGAATGCACTGGAATTCACGCAGTTTAACTGCGTGAATTCTAACAAGGAGGCCCAAAGAGAATCAAGGGCACCAAGGGGTGGCCTTGGAAGCAGGGGACGCAATAACTTACTTGGTTAATTAATTATAATGAAGGAAATATTCAAGGCCCTAAAATTTTTAATTTTACAAGTAAAAGTTCCTATAAGAGTTATCAAATGTCAAGTTCTATATGTTTTAAGACTCAAATCTGCATATTTTCTCCTAACCTGGCTTAAAGTTTGGAATTAATAATTTATAAAGATCAGGAGCTCCATGGTATCTGTTCTTGAGCAAATTCATCATTCAAAATTGTGGATTAGTTTGATAGAAAAAAATGTTTCAATTTTTTATGTTTGATATCCCGCTATCAAAGGTGGGCCACTAATCTGAAAAACACTCAAGAACCCCCTAGCAGAAGCATAGCAACGCTGAAAAAATCCCCATGATGTGTAGTGTTAGTGACACCACACCAACACTATGCTGTGTTACACCACTTTCTGTGTAAAACCTTCCTAAAAAGGGGTGTAAATCTGTGTAACAGCTTCAAAATTTAACCCATGGCCATCAGCAATAGAGTGATACTGCTAACAGCTAATGGAAAATATTGGTAGTTTTAGCAGTATTTTTCTGATGCTAGAGTCAGCGTAGCCGGCCTAGAGATGGTCACTTTGCATCCAGATATCCGCTCACAATTTCAGAGAAATCAGGCATCCACATCCGCTGGCCTTTTACTGGTCAACATTTCTCCAGCATACCATACTCCAAGTTCCAATTTTTATTTTTTCATTTGGAGCAATATTGAGACTTTTGAAAAAAGTGCAATAATTGTAATATTTTTTGAAAATTTTAAAAATCAGTTTTTCATATTTTTTTTTTTTTCAAAATCATTTTCCGAAACCTCTTTTATACCACTTGCCCAAGTCTCATGATTGCAAGTTGGTGGGTTAGGGTTTTGTAATCCAAACAAGTTGGCTATATACATCTGGGAGGGCACTGTACATTAGAGTGGCAGGTCTTTCAAACCACCCGTAACAGTTGTAAAAAATTCATACATACCCAAAATATCATAACTGCTATTTCCCCCTTGCAGGACTGCCATCCATCCCAAAGGATTTCTCACACCAACAAGCTGGATTGTGTACCAGCTCGCCGGCAGGGATTCCTCCTGGCGGTGTGGCCTCTGCTTCTCTAGGCCAAGGGGCCGTTCTTTTTTCTTTTATTTTTTTGTAAAAATATTCCACTCTGTTTCAGTCTCTTGGCACTGAGTATTTCAGGGGGAAGGGGAAATCCACACCCGCTGGCAGGTATTTATTGGCACTGGCGGGTATCCGCCAGCGGACAACAGGTATCCACAACCATCTCTAAGCTGTCACACTGCTGCCACTATCCAACAATTTTCCATTGATTTTATCTCAAAATCAGCATTTAAAGTATTACCAATAATTTCATTTGTATGAGCATCCACATTGGTGCACAGATTAGGAAGAATTAGCTTACTAATCCAATCCTCCCAACCAGACCGGTTCAGATGAGATTGGATTAAAGTAGCTCCAAGAACTCATTTGGAGCTAGCACTGAGCAGGTATCAAATTTATACCTTGCTAACTCTTGGATTAGCAAGCTTGTTAATACTCACTAATCTACTCAAAAAATTCAGATGCTCTAAGAGTCCTCCATTTTGAATAATAAATTCCCCAATTAAACGGTGAAATCAGGCTAAGTGCAGAATGTCACCCATTATGCATCCAGTTCAGCAGTTTCCAATCCCCCTGTATCACACAGATGGGTCATTGTAGTTGGACTTCATGAGAGGGAGGAATTGGGAAAACAAGACCTCATTCCAGTGTTGTATTCTGACCAACAACTCTCCAGAGAAATTTTTGTTCATGCAACCAATATCTGGCCAAAATCAGATATTGTGTCACATTTGTATGGTGTAGGACAATGTGGCAGTTGTCATTTATTTGATTTTTAAACACATTTTTACTCTTTCTAACTTCACTGTCCTGCCTCATCAAAAGAGATTGTCAACATGGTAGATCTTGAACCAAGTCATGAAGGGATTGTGCATTTGAGGGTTCAATAATCTGGCTCTTTGCTTTAAGTTCTGAAGTCTAAAATACTATTTTGTTTGTTCAAATGATTTGATACAGTAGCATGAAGAAATTGCCCTTAAACTCCGGTATCTAAAGTACCCAGTCAAACTCTAAAAGATGCTCTGGTTCATAAGCCCCACCTGTGGAGAGCTTCTTTGGTGGTAAACAGGACAGTTTTCATTTGTCCATTTCAGGGACTAATCAGTTAGTTTGCTCAGCTGGCGTAAAATGGGCATTCAATGATTGCCCTGATGGTCTGTTCTCCATGTTGTAACAGAAATAACATATTGGCAGTGTTTTGACAGCAGGTAGAAGGTTTGGTTTACCAGCAGGCTGTACCGGCCCAGGCGGCCACAAAATATGATGTATGACTTGACCTGCTTGGAATTGAGTCCTTTCGACACCAAGAACATCGGGTTGAAGTTGTTGATAACTTATAAGTGTTGAGCGCAGCCACTTGGTTAAAGAAACACGTCTATCAGGTTGAACTCCTATCGGAGTGAGCAGAGAGCATGCCATTCATATGAATCTCAGACCTCAGTTTCTATTTGTCGGGCCGACATTTCCAGAGTCACCCTAACATGGAGAGAAGATTGAATTCCATCTATCTAGTCAATCTTCTTCCGCAAAAGATGGAAACGACGAAAGAAATTATGTTTACGAAACGTCCTTTGTCTCTGGACACGGTTCTGACTTACTTGAATTCAAAGCAATTGATTAAGAACTCGATTCCTTCTAATTCGATCGCTTCAGGTTCTAATTCCTCAGTCAAAATTGAATCGGCTATGAAGACTGTCTCTACTAAATGCGACAAATCTCAACATAATTCGTTGGCCAATCATCCAGAATCCCGTTGTTATCATCTTCATCCTGAACTTGCACCGGAGTCTTGGGAAGCGTCGTTTTGCTCCTAAGAAGAAAGCCAACGCTGTTGTTGATAATCATAATTCTAGCGATGAAGCTCACTTATGTATCACCGGCCTAACTGGATCGTTCGTCTTGTCAGCAGTCAAACAATCACAAATATTTTTGGATAGTTGCTGCACCGATCATATGTTTCCGGACCGTTCTCATTTTTCAAATTATCGAGTTCTCGATTCAACGGTTGAAATCGCCAACGGTCAATCGGTTCCCATCATTGGAACCGGTCTTGTTAACATTAAGAATTCGGACAATTTTATTCGTGGTTTTCAAGCTCTTCATGTCCCTCTTCTTGCACAACCGTTAATCAGTCTTGGTCGACTTGGCGACGGCGGCTGTGAACTTATTCTAAAAAATTCTCGCTACGAGGTATCTTTGAAAGGAGTTAAACTGTTTGATGCTCATCTCATCAATCGGGTTTATGTTGTTTCAGCTTCTATTGAACACTCTAGTGCGTCTCCAATCAAATCATTCTCAACATCTCGTAACACTGAAGCGGATCTGTTTCATAGGCGAGCGGGACATCCAAATCGAGAAGCCTTAAAACGAATGTTTGACGTTGATTTCTCTACTCTAGATTGTAGAGCGTGTAGACTTTCCAAATCACATCGTCTTCCATTCTCTGGTCGATTACCGAAACCAAAACGCATCCTCGAATATGTTTTCATGGACTTGAGCGGAAAAATTACTCCTTCCACTGTTGGAAAATCATCTTATTACTTCAAGATTACGGATTCTTTTTCATCTTACAAACATGTGTACATTTTGTCGGCAAAAAGTCAAGCTATGGAAAAATTCATCGAATACTATAATGAAGTAACAAATCAATTATCTCTCTCTATCCTAAATGTGGTCACCGATGGTGGCGGGGAATTCTGTTCGAAGGCTTTTGAATCTTTTTTCAAAGAGAAAGGGATCATTCATCACGTCACGGCTCCTTATACTCCACAACAAAATTCTATTGCTGAACGTGGAAACAGGACTACCAGTGAGAAGGCTCGATCACTTCTGAAGCAAGCCAATCTACCTTCTTCTCTTTGGGGAGAAGCGGTCTGTACAGCAGTGCTCTATGAAAACATAACTCCGATGAAGCGTTTGAAGTGGAAGACTCCTCATTCTCTCTGGTTCAAATGCGATTTCGATACTTCTCAACTTTGAGTTTTCGGTTGCAGAGCCTATGTCAACATTCCAGGTGACATACGTGTTGGAAAGTTTGGTGACACTTCTAAAGAAGGGATTCTAGTGGGTTACAGGCAAGGCATTCCTAACTGGAGGGTGCTTACTTCGGAGCATCGGGTTGAGTACAGCCTGAAGAAATTTTAACCGGAGAGGCGGAGAGTTTTCAGAGAAGAGAAAAGTTTTTGGGCAACAAAAAGAGACTTTTTGTTGGAGTGACTCAAGGGTTGGAAAAAGAGGGTAAGAGCCAATGATTTTTATTTGCTTAGTAGAGCCTACGCGTTAAATAGACTACGTACATCAAGTTCAATCTGTGGTTCTGAGAGAAAAATGAATATCATAATGAATAACAAAAAATCAACAAATTCTTGAATAGATGACTAGAGTAAATGACTATTGATAAAGACTAGACCAGGGTTCAAAGACTACAAGGATTGCAGCACTAGACAATAAGACAAGATACCACTCAGAAACTAACAACAATTATATAATAATATGTATTCTACTATTTAATCATTATCACTTGTAAGAATAAACAAAAAGGAATTTTTAGGGATGAGGAGAGAGAGAGAGAGAAAATTCCAACACCCCCCACTACTCAGACCTAAAAAACCTTAGAATGAAAGAGAAGCAGTTTGATGATGAGAGAAAAAAATGAGATTGATTTAGATTAGAAGTATCGGACACCTTCATACTTCACTTCATCGATGTGATGAAGGACACCATCGGCTGTTCTGAAGAGGGAGAAATCAGTCGGATCGCTGAGCTGATTGAAGTTGTCTTGAACGGTAAGGTGAGCTGAATGGGATTTGGGGGCTTTCTCTGGATACTTAACCCAGCAGTTGTTGACCCGATGACCAGGTTTCTTGCAGTGATCGCAGACTGTTGAGCTGGCCGAGGCTTGATCGTTTGATCGAGTGAGGAGTGATTGTGGCGACGTCAAAGAGGTAGATGATGGTTTCTTGTCGAGGTCGTTTTGAGCGACATAGCTTTCGAGCTTTTTAATGACCGATTCAAACGATTCGGAACCATAATTCATCGAAACGATATCGCGAAAGGAGCGATAGTCTGAGGGTAGCTTCTTGAGCATGAGGATGGTTCGGACTCGATCGTCCAGGACAAGGCCCGACATAGATATCTTCTGATTTGCCGATCGAACGGCAGGGATGAAGGTAGCGATAGAGGAGAAACTGAGATGGAGGAATTGGTCAAGTCCAGTGGTTTGCGAGGTAAGGTCATCGCCAGCGTATTGCGATTTCAAGAGTTTCCATAGACCTCGACCATTGAAGCGAGGTGTAGCAGGCAGAGCGGAACTAACAAATCCGAGTACTTCCTGGCCGATGTACGCGATGATTTCAGCATAAGCATCGTTGTTCCGTTTAGTCCAGTTTTCTTTTTCTTTTTCATCGGGTTCTACTTGACCTTCAAGGATGTCGAGAAGTTTTAATCTGAAGAGTCGTGCCTCCATTGGTAATAGCCAGAGGGCGTAATTGTTAGGGGTCAAGAGGACTTTGGTTTCGCGGATCACTTCGGTGGACATCTTGATGTTGTTGTTGAGGATCTGAGATTGTTGTAAGGGAATTTCTTCGACTGTTAATCGTGAAGAAATTTTAACCGGAGAGGCGGAGAGTTTTCAGAGAAGAGAAAAGTTTTTGGGCAACAAAAAGAGACTTTTTGTTGGAGTGACTCAAGGGTCGGAAAAAGAGGGTAAGAGCCAATGATTTTTATTTGCTTAGTAGAGCCTACGCGTTAAATAGACTACGTACATCAAGTTCAATCTGTGGTTCTGAGAGAAAAATGAATATCATAATGAATAACAAAAAATCAACAAATTCTTGAATAGATGACTAGAGTAAATGACTATTGATAAAGACTAGACCAGGGTTCGAAGACTACAAGGATTGCAGCACTAGACAATAAGACAAGATACCACTCAGAAACTAACAACAATTATATAATAATATGTATTCTACTATTTAATCATTATCACTTGTAAGAATAAACAAAAAGGAATTTTTAGGGATGAGGAGAGAGAGAGAGAGAAAATTCCAACACAGCCATGACGTTAATTTTAACGAGGCTTACTTTCCAGGAATCTCCCCGATAGCACCTGCCTATAACACTTTGGATTCTGCCTTTATTGAAGAAGATGAGGATCTAGGTGTGATAAATAAAAAGGATAATTCCTCTGACGTCATTTCTGCCGTCACTCCCGGGCAAAACGTCATATCTGATGAAGACGTCATCGAAGATCTGAATCTCGATCGGACTCGCTTGCCTACAACTGTAATCGATCTTCCTTCTTCATCTTCTTCTCTTAACCCCCACCCTCCTACTCCTTTACTTCCCGCTTCTTCTTTAGAAGATTCTATCGTTACTCAATCTAAACCAGGTTACTCTTACGTACCTGCGGACCAGCCTGCTCCTAAAAATATTTCTTCGAACATTGACTCTGGAAACATCATCACTTCCAAACGTCGAGCGCATCTGGCAAGCAAGTCTTTATCTGAAGAACCCTGGTTTGTACCTTTCTTCAATAACGCGATGTGCTATTCTTCCGTTGTCGGAACCAACTCTATTCCAAAAACGCATAAGCAGGCAATGAACTCACCTCAGTCTTCTAACTGGTCTGCAGCTGTTGAACTCGAACTGTCTGCAATGGATCGCTTATCGGTTTGGGAAATAGTGCCAACTCCTGCGAATGTACCACTTCTCGGTTCTGTTTGGGTCTTTCGAGTCAAGACGGATGCCGACGGGAACTTTGTTAAGTTCAAAGCACGTCTCTGTGCGCAAGGGAGCGGTCAACAGGAAGGGTTGGATTACAACGAGACCTATGCTCCTACGGGTCGTGGTCCTGCGTTGCGATCGGTTCTAACTTACGCTGTCAACAATCAACTCGCAATCCATCAAATGGATGTAAAGAACGCTTTCTTAAATGGTAAACTTGAAGAAAGTGTATATCTGCGAATCCCTGCTGGTCTTTCGGCTCCTCCTGGTTACTGTCTTCACCTTCTCAAATCCATTTATGGATTGAAACAAGCTCCTAGAGTCTGGTACCACGAATTGACTTCATTCTTCGAGTCCATTGGCTTTGTTCCCACTTCGGCTGATCCCTGTCTCTTCAAATCGACCGATCCGGAATGGGTTTGCCTTGTTCATGTTTACGTGGATGACTTAGTTGTAGTCTCTGGTGATGTGGATAGATTCAAGTCTTTGATCAACGATCGTTACTTGATGGAGGATCTCGGGCCAATAAGCTCTCTACTTGGCATGAAGATATCTCACAAGAATGATCATCTGACTCTCTCGCAATCCCACTATATCACCGAAATTCTCAATGAATATGACTTGAAAGAATGTCGACCGGTTTCTACTCCAATGACTCCAAATACTCGACTCATCAAAGCTACGGATGCCGAAATCAATGAGTCCAAAGCCCTCAACATCAACTATCGTCGAGCGGTTGGTTTGGTAAACTGGGCTGCGGTAGCTACCCGTCCTGATATTGCTTTCACCGTATCTCAATTGAGTCAACACCTTGAGAATCCAGGCATAGTTCATTGGCGCGCTTTCACTCATCTTTTACGATACTTGTCTAAAACGGTGGATTATTGTCTTCCAATTGGTGGTGGTGAAAATAAGATTTTGGTTTATATCGACGCCGATTACGCAAACTGCGTTGAAACTAGACGCTCTTATTCTGGCTATGTGGTTCGTTGGGGAAATTCAATCATTTCTTGGCGTACGAAGAAACAAGACACGGTTTCGACTTCGACTGCTGAAGCTGAGTACAAAGCCTTGTACGACGGTATTCAAGAAGCAATCTGTCTGCGATCGCTTCTGGTGGCTCTCGACTTGCCTGTCTATCCGATTCCGGTTTACGTCGATAACCAGGCTGCTATTGCTTTGTCTCGTAACCCTCTTTTTCAACAACGAACTAAGCACATCGACGTCAAATTCCATTTCAACAGAGAAGGGGTTGATTCTAATCAGGTTGTTATTCGATACGTCTCCACTAATGAAAATCAAGCTGACGGTTTAACCAAGTCGCTTACTGCTCCTCGTCATCAATTTTTCTTCAATTATCTCAAAGTCAAGCTTCAACAATTTGCGCAGCTTTAAGAGATTAAGGAATGAGGGGGGGTATTGAACCTTTGGTTCTTTTGTTTCATTCTTATTCCATAAGCATATTCATTATCTTATACATACATAAAAGTATCGGTTGTGTTCCGAAACCTATTTGATGATCTAGTTCTCTGAGTTCGCATGCTCGCGCTGTTCTCTCTTTTCTCTCTTCAATCAAATTGTTTCTTATCAATTCTCACAACTCGATTCACAAAACTAAAAGCTCAAACCTTTCACTACAGGTTAGTTATCATTTCCTTCTACTCATGTTAACCTATCTCATCTTTGTTTCATCAATCTCTTTAGGTTTGTTCTTTTGTTTCTTCGTCGGTCATATCAGTCATCGTAGTGATCTGATATCACCTACTTCATAAAGGTGTGTATAAGAAAATCAATCAAATTGTTTCTTATCAATTCTCACAACTCGATTCACAAAACTAAAAGCTCAAACCTTTCACTACAGGTTTGTTCTTTTGTTTCTTCGTCGGTCATATCAGTCATCGTAGTGATCTGATATCACCTACTTCATAAAGGTTTGTTCTTTTGTTTCTTCGTTGGTCATATCAGTCATCGTAGTGATCTGATATCACCTACTTCATAAAGCTCGTTGTTCAATACTGAGGCCTAACGAGAGACTCACAAAACCCTGGATACAACTGGTTCTAGACCCATATCAAGATTCAAAACCACTCTTATCCTAAGCCCCGACCGATGCAAAGCTATAGAGTCTGACTTGCCTGTCATCGTACAACTACTTATCAGTAACCGCAGGTCTATGTCAAGACTCAAAACACGATGTTTAATTTAGCTCTAACTCTTGATGAGTAGTAGGCGGGACTGCCAACTCACCAACAACAACATGAATCGTCAAGAAACGTGTAGTGTGAATTGTATTTGGGTTACCAAGTCAAAACTGGTCCCCATATGAGTTCAGAAAAATGATTTCTATTTTTGTTGCTTAAGTTACTTCCCCGCATTTCTTGACCTCAACTACTGCTTAAAAGGAGGGGGTAGATTCAAGAGATTGAAATTCTTTGTCAGAGCAATCACTCATTCCATTCACACATTTTCTGGAACCAGGTGATTCTCATTTCTTGTCTTGCCTTATTTCTTTTTTTAAAATAAGACCAACTAACTTTAATCCATTGATCAGACTATATAAACAGAATCTTCAAAGGCACTAACTTGAAAATCTAGACATGCTTATTGCGTTGAACATAGTCTTAGTTGAGCTTCCAACGGTACCCTATTTCTTGTGGCATTTTCTATTTGCTGACTTCTTCACAAAAAAAAAAAAAACACATCCAAGTGCAGGTCATAGTGGAATTTTTCCACTTGATTCCAAGCTCAAGCACCAAGGTGTTGCATAGACGAATGGATCGTTTTCCTGATGATTATAGGCCTTACCAATTTCATAATGGAAGGGAAACAATGGTCCATGATGCTGCCCGTCCCATAGTGAAGGAAATAGACCGGGCGGCTTTAGAGGCTTCAGAAGCCTTGGAAGATACCAGGTGGACAACTGGTTATCGCCACCAGGTATTCAAAAAACTTCGTTTCATGCCAATTCTTTATCAAATTATAACTAATGCTTGTCTCTATTTATGTAGGAAACTGAGTCCAGGACTACGAAGAAAGTTGAGGAGAATCCCAGGGGTCGCAATTCCAAGTAGCCAAAGATTTTTGGGACTCAAAATCCCTTGTGGGCTTGTGTTGTATCTTTTTTATTGGTGGCTGATGATTCTTGGAACCTGTGGTTCAAATCATCATTGCCACCTTAAGCAAATACTTTCCTTGCACCACAGGTTTCTATACAATTCTCAGAAATATTCATTGATTTGCATATTGTGAACTCAATCTACCCTCTGAATCACATCAGATTATATGTTATGAAATCAATGATTTTTCACTTTTTGAACTGGATTTCTGCATCACCTTAAAACCTCTGCTCATGACTACTGTTTCTTCAGGTTGAGTTGCTTTGGGGCGGGTTGAATTCAGGCCCCCAATTTTCCAATTGGACACCCTAGAATGTGTGCACACCTCAAAGTGGGTTGTGTGCACCTCTTTTGGGGCCTGGGTGCACCTCAATTGAGGTGTGTCCAGTTGTGTATGAGCCTATGGTGTTCATTTTGTTCTGTGCTTAGGAACATGTGTCATGCACCCCACATCATTGACCCTGCCAGCTGTTCAAGGCCTCCTGGCCAGATTAAGATGTTTACTAGCAGTATCCCTCAGAAAAAAAGATCTGGCCTTCTGTTTTTCTAGAAGGAATCTAACCACTTAGATTGAACTTAGAATTTTAGGTAAAACTGTGCAAATCTTTTTCCACAGATCAATGATCCTGAATGGCAGGAGGATGGAGAAACTTCTTCAACTATTTGCATATTTCTCCTTGTTTGTTTATTTTCTTTTTTTTTTGCGGGGGGATCATCAACCCTTTTTCAGAAAGAAGGCTGAATAATAAGAACTAGAATAATTGCATGGGAAAAGAATGGCTGTAAATGAAACATGTAACTATCCAAAGCTTTGAATATACATTGCAGATATATGATGTACAGTCTCCTCCCAGATGTTTATAGCCATTTGCTTTGAGCTCCACAGTGGGAACCCAAAAACTTCAAGTCACAAGAGTTTGTGGAATTGTGGAAAGTGGGTTCCAAAGAATGAATATAAAATAATAATAATAAAAGAGAAGATTTTAAAATTTGTGAAAAAAGATAAAAGAAAATCAACTTTATTTGAAAACTTTAATTTTTTGTTTGAGTGAAAAGTGAACACACAGAGGGCAAGTTTGGAACATGAAAAGAATGATTATAAATGAAAAATATTGATCCAAAAAAAGTTTGAGCATGGTGGGTGGACACCCTGCAGTCATACTCATAATTAGTAGATTGCAGTACCAGAATGCCACATTTCTTGAGGAATGACCCCCTAGGCACCCTTTTTAAACCACCAAGTAGTCATTTTTTCCAAATTTTCACTTCTTATTATTCATTCCAGATCTCATACTTATATCACTTCAGAGATTTCATCTTTTCCTGAAAGAATTATCAAAGCTGTCAGTTTTTGTGATTTTCTCCTTTTTACTTTTTACAAATTTTATAGTCTTGTTTATCATTATTATTTTTTCATATTCATTCTTTGAGACTCATTTTCCACCATTCCACCGACTACACCACCAGGACACTTTTTGCTCCTCCGGGGCGTCGACACAATGTCAAACAAAAAAATGGGTCGGGTTGACCAAGCGGTCGAGTTGGTGCAGGTTTGTGTGTCACACCGCAGTTGGCCTGACCAGCCGGTCAGCCCGCCTGATGCAATTTGGTCAGGCTGTTGGTTTGGTTGGAATGGTCAACCGACGGCTTTCCACACCAGCAATTGTCGGCCAGCCGCCCGATCTTTGACCGTCCGGGGGCAGGCTGTCATCAAGTGTCATTTAGACACTCGGCCTCCTGACAACAGCCCCCCTGACCCATGTACAACCAACGGTTTGCCGAGGCCATCACCGTCAAGCCTCCGGCAGTATGACCCAAGCTTCAGCCAGGACATCCAACTGGGGCTGCATTTCCAGCTTTGGTCAACCGCTGGAGACCAGGACTGACGGTCCTGCCAAACCAACGCGCTGCTGTCTCAAAGAGGCTTGCCAGGGCGCCTCATGAAGGATGCGGTTGGGATGACCAATGCCGAGTCGTCGGCTTGACGTCGGGTCACCCACTTTTATGACACTTCAAAACCGTCTCACTGTTTATCTTTTCAGGTGAGGGGTGGAGAAAAATTGGTATGGTTTTTCTTTTTTTTTTTCAAAAAATTGACTTAGAGAAAAAAAAAGCATCTTGCATATGGAGTTTGCGCAATCAAAGATCCATCTCGGTCATGTAATTCAAGCAAGCCTGGCCAAGTGGTCAAGATTGTCAGTAGAAGTGATCATGTTGGGTTTCATCTTGTGATTGAGCCCGCTGTTCAGCAATATTTTTTTTGGCTTCATGATCTGGGCAGGATTCCCACAGCAGCCTGCAGGCCAGAAAGCCCAAATTTTGGCTTCTCACGTTGGAACCTGCAGCTGTCAATACAGGGTCCAAATCTCACGGACCAATGACAGCAATGCAGTCGATCTGACGGCAGAGAACGGGCGGGCTGACTCAAAAGCTTGTGAATCCATAATCCCGCCTGGTGGACATGAGTCAACACCCCAACCACGCCGACCCCCTGGCTTCAAAGCTGCCAATTTGACGTCGGCAGACAGGAAGGTTTGGCTGGGTTGGCGGAGGTCGGTTCGTCCGTCAAAATACTGGGCGGGTTGGCGTCGAGATGCACCCGTGGTGTATTGTGACTTGGAATTTTTGGGTTCTTGGAGCTCAAAACAGATGGCTATAAACATCTGGGAGGAGACTGTACAATGTGGCTGACACCAAGTGCCTCTTACAAATCAAAGCATCTATCATTGGGAGTATCCCACCACAGCTTGTATTGTTAAGGTTAACCCAGTGACAGTCTGAGACAGTCAAATATGATTCTGGTTGTTTTACAAATGTATTACATGTCATGGATTGACCAAAAGTTGTTGTATCTGATATCAATGAACAATGTGTCACTGGACGACTTGATTTGCTGAACTTTTAATCCAACCAGAGAGAAAAATTCTGACAAATGCTGAGATTGGAAGGCTAGGAGAGAATTTGTTTTGAATATGTATTGTACACGGATATATCGTCAATCATTCGTGAGAGTCTCTTCTTCTATCAACTTTCTTCCTCTGGTTTTTTTTTGCTATGACAAGAAATTCACATATTTAGATAACAATTGACTATTGGAATTGCTTTTCAAATTTTGACAAAAGCAAAAGCAGAATAAATACCTGTCAAATACATGAAAAAGGATAAGATAAGTTCATCGTCAAATTGATTAAGTAATACGAAAAGAAAGGGGAAGACAAACCGGTTGCTTCCCATTGATCATTAGGGATCACCAGATTACCCTCCGAGTTGGTCACTCTCATTTTGTATAGCAAATTCTTATAACTAGGATTGGCCCTCTCGATCTGGAAAAGCTCATGAAAACCTTTCTTGTAAACCAATTTGAGTCCATACTCTTGTGCCAACCTACGTCCAAAGGAAAGAAGTGGGTAAGCAGCGGAAGGAAATTGTACAAAAGTGGTCATTCAAGAGAGAAGGGAGAGGAGTCACCCACCGAACAAAGGGTTCCCAAAGAACCAAGTATTCTGGGATATCTTCCACTGCATCTTCCAAATAAAACGAGTATCTGTTTCCGTAGACTTGGTTCAGTTCACTCCGTTGAGGCGATAGTGGATAGGGAAAGCGGATCTGGTAGACAGAGTTTCCGAAGCTAGGCTTGTCGACATTCGATTCTCGTGAACATCTTTCCCATCCTTGGCTGAGAAATCGATGCAAAAATCAATCCAAAGGAAGAACGAAACATTAAGTAAGTTTAATCAGGGCAGACCAGAGCACCTTCTTCTTACATTAACAGATCTGGGTCGGGGATCGTGCCGATCATCACTCCACCAGTCACCAAATATTTCGTGACGTTTTCCATCATCGTGCGAGCTTTGACTTCGCTTTCGAACGCATAATGCATGCAAAATTGTAAGGAGACCGCGTGAAATGGCTCCCTAAGCTCTTCTGGACTTAACACTGAACTGATGGGTAACTAGATCTCAACTCCAATGAATATAAGAAAAAAAATAACCAAAGATGGAAAGAAAAAAACACGTTTCTTTTCACATTTCAATTTCCTGTGATGCGCCCTTGATGATCAATTGCAAAAATAAAGGATGTGTAAAACATTGACAACTTACAGAAAAACAGTCTAGAGCTACGAACTTTGCATAGAATCTCTGGCTGCAGTTTTCTTGATATCTTGATTGGGCCTGTTCGATCGAGACTCGAGCGATATCTTTTTGATTCAGGGAGAAAAAGCAGAAGTAAGAAAAGTGCGAATGTTTAAGAAATAGGGTCAAAAAGGGAGAAAAAAAACTAAACCGAATCCAAAGAGTTCTCTAACGCCAGCATTTTGCCATTTAGCCAAATCGCCGCCTTTGCCACAACCCAATTCCAGGATCTTGGTTCCGTTAGATTTTGGATGGGGATGGTGCTGATGCGGATACTGTTGTTGTTGTTGTTGAGGATGGTTGTTATAGCTTAAAAGAGGGGCCATGAAACTCGACTCGACCGAGGCAAATTTCCCAATCGTGACCGATTTGACCCAATTGTTGAATTTCCGAAGCCCAAAGATCGGCGACTCCGTTCGTGCTCCTTTGGTCAAATTAGGCCTCATATTATCTATGAGACAAAAAGATTGACTGCTCAGTTTATAAGCCCCTTTCGATTCCCCTTGACAGGTATAAGTATATATATACATATTTCAGAGCGCGTACAATGTTGGGCCACTGTCTCACTGATTGAATTGTGTGAATCATTATTAAGTGAATGATGTGGTGAATGATTATGACGAGTGCGTTTCGGAAAATGTGGCATGCTTGAGGAAGCGGCACCAGACTGGTTGTATTCAGTGGGACTTTGGAGTGACCGCTTGTTTGTTGAAGAGGTCTGAGGTGGATATGACTCGTGGGGGTACTGTGCAGCTGGAAAGGAGGAAATTGGTATTGACAATGGCGATGGAGTTGTATAGCCTACAGGTGATCCGATGTCTTGCTCGAGCTGAGGAGAGGGCTGGATAGCAGACTCTTTGTCATTGGTATTTATATGAGAGTCAGGCGGCTGACTCCGGCTGAGATTCGGGTCAGAGCCTGAGGGGACCCTGAGCGTGTTGACACATTCAGTCTGATAAATTTTCAGTTCTTGCTCTGACAAAGGCAAAAACAGTGAGGCGTGGGGAGAAACTCGAATCGGGTGGTAAGCGATTCTGTCCATGCTGCAGAGATAGTACAGCCAACACAACAAAAACCCGAAACATGAATCAGCATGATGGTTGTTCTTGCGTAACACACTGCTGCTGATTTCACTATAATGACAATGATACGTGCAAAGGAAAGGACGGTAAACAATGGAAACACTCAACTATGTATGTATCCAGCAAACGCCTCCCGCGAGAATTGAGTCGGCCTTGAAAACGAGCAGGTGGTCGTGAATGACCAAAAAAAAAAAACCTGGAGGGATAACCAGCCCAGGAGTGTCACAGCCTATCACAGGAGGAAGCGGGCGCGAAGGGATCGCATGTCACAGACTCATCCCACGACCGATCGCATCCACACATGTTCGGGATATTCCCCACATACATAAATATTTACTATTCCCCACAAACCCGGACACCTCAGATCATGTACAAGAAAGATGATGGGGAAAGACTGTCTGCTAGAAGTAGAGTGCGGGGTGAACCTAGCCTGAAGCAGTGTTGGTGCCTGTAAAGCACTTGACCAGAGCTCATCGATCCAGATTCCAAGTGTCTTCCAAGTCTATCCTCCGAGTTATGTCATAGGCCAGCCCCATACCAACATAGGCAGCGAGGAAAGCTTAAAAAAACAGGTGATAGCTCCCCACAGAGCAAGTGAAAATGTGGGCACACAAGTTACTCCCAGTCATGATGAATATTGCAATTTAGTTTCAAGACTTGTTTAGAATCATTATGTAGAGCAAGGACAAATGGTACATGAGCCATGATGACATGATCTGGTTCTACATAGTGCACATGCGCATCCTGTTAGGTGCCAAAATGCTTGAAAAATGGAGAAAGCTGGCTTCAGGATGATGCAGAGACTGCACAGCGGGTAGACAGAAGAAAAATTGACACTTCAACTTTTGCTTTTAATGGGACAGAGGCATTCAGAAAAATGAACTGCTATTTTTTATTGTCAGCTACCCACTGTAGCAGATATCTGTAAGATTGGAGCCGAAAGATGTATCAATGGTGGGCAGATACTTTATATCTAGTTATCCATGAATTTGTTGTTTATATGCAACTTTATCCTATATCAAACTTTTGGTCTGTAAACAAAGCTAGAGACTCATTTTGCTATGAATGAGAAAAATGGCTAGGGGTAACATGGCAACATTAACCCGGTGAAAATTTTCCCTTCAAAAAAAAGTTATTCAGCTTGTTAGTTACGGATAACTGAAATTTTGTGCCAGAATGAAAGAATAAAATTATGACGTTTTACCAACATGAAACTGAAACTTACACATGATAACATGACCTTTCAAATATCACAAAAGAGCTAACTTAACTTCATTGCACATATGCATCAGCTGATATACATCACCATTTGCAGATGAAATTTGATCTGGACAACTGCCCACCATTGCATGTATTACTCGAATTGCATAGAAAAAACAATGGCATTTACACTATGGGGGGAGGTTAGCTTATATGTAAAGGGAATGCATCTTTTTCCTTAGAAAGGTTGAGAATCGAGATGGCAGTACTTTTAAAGAATTGATTTTCTTTTCTCTAATCACACTTATCTGCCCCAATTTTGAGGCATCCTCCAAGCCATGCCCATCACAGAACACATTTTCCTGTCTGCATGATTATTCTGGTTGATTCTGACAAATCCTCTTTCCAAAATCCCATTGTGGCAAATGAAGCACCCAAACACAAAGACAGATGGACAGCAGGGGGAATGGATGAGTTCTTCAGTTTTCATGATTGATGATTTGGTTGTTGTCATTTGTTTCTCTTGGTTCATATGTAATACATCTGAGAAACTTTATGTTTTGTAGATAAGCTGTTCTGGGTTTGAATGCTACTCCCTAGACATGTGATCATTATCCTACGGCTTAGTTCCCACTGACCTCCACTTGGCACATAATTATGGTTCTACATGCCTCAATGTCCCTGAGCATTTACAGGTTGATTGTTTTGTCTCAAAACAAACAGTCATTCTTTGTATTGCCCATCCACCAGTCATCTTTGTTCCGGTGATAGAAATTGAGGATCTTGACACTGCCAGGAGCCAACGTTGTTGAGATCAATTTGAGCACAGCTCGTCAAAGGCAAGATCCCAGCTTACGATGATGGAAAAATTGATTTGGTTCCCATGGAACAATGCTCACGATCAGAGGAGCCAGAGATTAGAAAATAAAACAATTTCATTTGGTCATTACCAGGAACTTCTGGAGGCTAGCTATTATGACGAATAAAGAACTCAATTGAGAAATGCAAATCGTAAGGATGAAGTGACTGATACAGAGCAACAACGATGACAAGATCGGGTATATAATAAGTTTTTGAACTGTACTATGATGATGGGAGAATGAAACATCGGAGGCTCAGCTACTTGGCAACTAGATACACTAGCGAAGATCTAATAAATGGAACAAATAAGTGGCAGATATTGATGAAGTAGAGATGAAAATAATGATAACTGAAAATTTACAAGCGAGTTCGATTTAACATTAGTTGGGGCATGAAAAAAAAAAGGAATTGATGAATGCGACATTGCAAAAAAAGAAATAGTGAAGGAATTGGTGATCCAATAGTCGAAGGATGTCGTGTACAAGCACAATCGTTAAGAGATTAGAGAGTACAACAACGATCATCTGAGGGGACGAAACATGTACATGATGAGTCAAGTGGTAGCAAGGGGGTCGAAGGAGACAGAGGAAGACAGACTGACAAACTACTTAAAGGAGACATCAGCAAGGATAGATTCGATGGATTTTAGTTTACGAATAAGGCTGGAGTTGATTGTCTTGAGCCTCGTGATTTCCGAGTGGAGGGAGGCAGCATCGGAGCGATCGGAGTCATAGTCATCAAAGTTGATGAGGTCGTCGACGGACTTGCCGGTCCGGAGCATGTTCCGTCCCGAGGGCTCGCGCCAGGCTTGAGCTGAGCTGATGGATTTGCTGGCTCTTCGGATCTGTCTCAAGGAGGTTGGGGAGTTCTGGCTGGATGCTGAGGTGCCTAGATGGAGCTCCTCAACTACATCATCCTCGACATGCTCTTGCCTGATATCGAAGAGGTGACTCTTGCTATCACGACGGTCATCGGCGGATTCTGAATTCAAGAAATTCAAGGTAATCGAATCAGTGTCTGAATCAGTTTCGAAACTAGTCCCGTTTGCTGTTCCTGAAGAGTAGCTGGTGTGCTCATCCGAGGTGGGACTCAAAAAGTTGAACATCTGTTCGTGGTAGTCGGAATATTTGTTATGGTTGTTGTCCGACGCGTCATGCGATGCCTCGGCTTTCAAAGCTGAGTGCAACTCAAAGTCTTGTTGCCGGCGCATGCCGTCTGATCTGACTTCATCGGCAGTATTCTTGCGGGAAGGAATATCGGGGCGGGTTTGCATGTGCATGCTTTCCTGCATGACCGCGTCCCCTTCTTCGACGGTCTGAAGCCTCTCGATCTCTTCAACTAAGCTTTCGATTAACGACTCCTGCTTGACAATCTTCTCCTCTCTTGCCTCCATGTAGTTTGTCAGTAAACCAATCACTTTTTCCGAGTTTCGTCGGCTTCTCTTTTCGACTTCAGCTGAGGTTTGTTTAGAATAACCGCCTGTTAAGAGGGAGGTGACAAAAGAGGAATTAGTCTACATAGTCATTCATCGTGGGTGATGGAGGATTGTCGATTTGTTCCACATGGCATATTCAAAATTTAGTAGAAAAGTTTGCTTACCTATAGCTGTACTCAATGAGCAGCTCAGTCGGTTTGATGATTCCCGTTTGTGGCCTCCTGCCGCTTCGTTGAATTTCGGATCATGTTGATCTTCCGCCCGGGCCGGAGAATTGTACTTTAAATCGGGTTGGAGAGTCTTGTCGGAGCATTCTTCCGAGTCACCGGCACGACTTTTAGCTCGGGTGCTCCCGTGTCCAAACTCAGACAATTTGTCGTTGTAAAGCTGCTTTGGCGAGTGAAGGGAGCGCGAGGGCGAAAACTCGGGCAGTTCTTCGTGAATGGTTGACCGTTGGGAGACCGTCAGGTTTGACGAGTAGGTGAGAATTGAGGTCACTGGAGATTGTGGAGGTGATTGGGTCAGCTGCTCTTTGTCGATGATGTCGGTGAGCTGGCTGGGAAATGGTTGGCGATGTGAGTCTTGTTGGGTTTCTTTGGGCGATGATGAGACGGATTCTCGAGGGGTGGCTTCGAGCTTGAACTCCGCAGGTACTCCAGTTCTCCTACGGTCGGCATCGTGTACTGCTCCAAAGAGCACCTTCGAGTAATTCATCAACCACAGGGTGCTCTCGGCCGCCCGTCGGCTGACTGCGTTTTTGTCTAACTCTTCGATGAAGCTGGCTGTGTATTTTGGAGAGGGGAAGGGGGCTGCCGGGGAGGTGGACGAGGAAGTTTGTTTGTTGTGTCCCCGAGGATGGAGTCCGAGGCCGGGCAGGCCGATGTCACGAGGGACAAAGATAGCGGGACCGAGCATGCCTGCAAGCGAGTCGTGCTGGATCCGGTTCTCAACAAATATCGGAATCTGGGCAAGGAATCGGATAACGTATGTCAACAGACTCAACGCCCGGCTGGGGAGGAGTTGAAGGAGGTAGCGGGCAATCAGCAATTGCTGCGAGTGCTCATCTTCCGTCGGGTCGGCCTGTCTTGTCTGGCTCGGCTCGACGCATAGCTTCCAGAACATGTGATTCAATACCGGGTGGAACAGAGGCTCCGGTAGCGTCCGCAGATAGTGCTTGAGAAGCCCGCAGAGCGTGTGGATGTCTTCGGAGGAAACGTCGACTCCATTCTTGGGACAGAATTCAAACTTCTTCACTAATTCATCAATGCGGTCGAGGTCTCCTGAGATACGCAAGATTCCTGGAACTCGCATTCCTAGGTAATACACGGGATAAGGAAAAAGGGACATAGTTAGTTTTCAGACTTTCTTGGAGTACTTACTACGAATGTGTAATGGGAAAGAGGCGGCTGAACTTACCTCTGCGGTAAATTTCTTCGATCACGGTGAAGGGAAGGATTGGCAAAACCTGGAGTCGCTCTCCCATTGAGACTACGCAAGTCGAATTATTCATCTTTTCCAAGTTAGCGCCCAGAATTTGGGAGAACCTGTGCTGCTCGGAAATGGATAACTTTGCGGGGGTGCCAAATTGACCAGAGAGTTTGCCTTTCTGGGAGGAAGCAGTCAAAATGAAGGAAGAAGGCCTTAGTGATCTACCCGTACTCTTGGATGAGCCTTGTTTGTTGTTTTGGGTAGTAGAGGATTTCGATTTCCATCCCAACTTTTCCAAAAGGATATTTCCGACATGGTTGGATTTCTTCGGTCCCGAGCTCAGTCCGGCCAATGGAGCTTCAGAAGGTGCCATAGGCGAGCCTTCAAATAGCGGCACGGGATCGGACGATGATGGAGTGCGATGCGCGGCGGCCTCGAGGGTGGCATGAGGGATGGCCGCCGATGGTCGTGATTGCGGAAAGTCGAAGCCCAACGGTGTGTGGCCAACAGCGTGTGGCTTTTGGCCGTCTGTTGCGTTCTGAGGGGCATAGACCTGAAAGGCACGCTCCTGGATCTCCAGCTGAGTTTCGTAGAGTCCAGGCTGGCTAATTAGCCAATAGAGCGCGTCAGAATCCACCAGACTTTGAAACTCATCCATCCCAATCAGGGATTGCAACCTCTCCAAAGTGTATGCCCTAGATTGAAATTCTTGTGGCTCAGGATACTCGGAGTTAGCCACAGTCGACGGCAGTGCTTGTGGGGGAATTTGAATGGCGGCGGGCCGGTTGTCACGATTTAAGGCGAGATCAGGTGATGGCGTTTCAGACAGCGGGCCCACGGAGGATGAGATGGATGCATGATGGTTGTATTCAAGCTTAGTCCGAACGCTTGAGCCATCATCCGTTAGGGTGATTTTGGATTGGAGACTTTCAGGAGAAGCGTTGGGTTTGTTGTGATAAGAGCTTGGGTGTTTGGTGGCCCTTGGGACAGCTGCAGCGTTGGATTCTTTCAATTCTTGATAGCTTTTGACCTTGCGGGTCTGGTGGAAAGCCATTGAACGTGACTGCAGGGGTGGAAGTTGGCGAAGTGCCTGTGACAGCGGTAGTGCGTTTGAGGCTGTTGGCCGCCGAGGACCAGACCGCTGAGATTTAACTGGCGTGGAGAGTGGCGTAGGCAATGGATAGGCCTTGTCGACGGTGATGTTGACGGTCGAAATTCTGGGTATTCGGCGGAGGGTATGATTGAAGCTTTTAGAGAGGTTCCTGAAGTGATCGGCTTGCTCATCGTTCAGCTTATCGGCTGGTTTCTTGGGCCCTGCCGAAATCCCTGCCGCCGGTTTACTAGACGCCGATGACAACGCGATTGTTTTCATAGATGATTTGGGAGATAGCGTGGTAGACTTGACAGGGGTTTCTCTCGGGGAGAAGGAAGGCTGGCGGCTAATAGGTAGTCTGGTTGGGGTCCTCACGCTACCCACTGAATATTGAACGGAATGAGAAGGCGATTTTTGACTACTGATGGTGCTTCTGTTTCTAGCAGAGCTGGGGCTTTGAGCAGTTGGAGAGGGGTGTGATGGGCCCCTGAGGGATGAACTCAAGGATGTGCTGCTTCTCGTAGGTATAGGAAGTAATGAAGTAGTTCTCGAGCGATAGGGCATTGGTGACCTTGGTGTGCTCGGCACAGAGTCGTTATTAATGAGCGAAGAAGGCATCCTTGAAGAATTGGTTGGACAAGGCCCAGAGGAGTGGTAGTTGAGATGATTAAAGTGAGTGAAGTCTGGAAGGTTTAAAATTGGTGCGCAGATCGTACCAACCACTTATTATGATAACAAGTCAAGAATATCGAAGGATGCCTATCACGTAACGCAAACGCATATGTCGGTTCAGGTCTGGTGTGCTAATTGTATTCAGCGGCTAAAAAATTCAAGGTGAGGCTAGAAGCAACTTTGTTTAGAAAGCATCTACGACAGATGGGTTCTAATAGTAATATAGACTCTAATGGGTCGGTCTGGAAGATCAACCAAACAGAGGGCGCCAAATACTAAGTAATCGCGAAGAGAAAGATGAAGAATGAAAAAAATTTGGGAGGGAAGAAAGATGTGGATGTGGACGGATAGTATGATTTAGCTGCTTTGACAATATCCACTGAACTGGTCGTCGGTGAAAGCTGGTGTTGTAGTACGACCGAATTTCCTGGGGTGGATAGTTGCGCATGCAAGTTTGTTATCTGTCCATTTCCGTTAGGGATGATGAGCAAGCCGGGATGAGAACGGCGGGTTGGGGAGGATTCTGCTAGAATGGGTCGAGGATTAAAGAGGCCTAGTACGAGTGATGGGGTGCTCGGATCGAATGGCCACATAGACTCGCGAGCTCTGGCCCTAGGGATGCCGGCTTGAGTCTTCTCGTTGGGAAAAAGCTTGGTATGTTTCATTCGTCAGGATCTTTGTCGTTCTCTTCGCGAACTAAAGCATTCACAAGCTCCCACTCGGCTTGAGAACAGTTATCCCGATCCAAGCTTGCCCGTGCCAGACGAGCGAAGAAAGCTTGCCGGTCAAAAGGTGCGGTCACGGTGAGAGCTATGCCTGGTTTTACCAAAAGCTGGCGAAGCTTCTATCCCTCCGATCTGATCTCTACCTCTACATAGGGAGATCGAGATATCGACGCGTCCTGACGTGTCGGGTGGAGTAGGATGGAGTGATACATGCATAAATACATAGATCAATACGGGGCAAAGGAAGGAAGCTAACTTATCAATCGTCATCATCCATCAACCAATTATTTACACGCCTAACCTAGCGCCTACATAATTGTCTTCCCTGTCCTTCTCTGTCTATGCGGACATTGCTGATCGCTGGGTTTTTTGATCTTTATCCAATTTTACAACACTATGTACACACAACAACCAGCACATCTTTCTAACCCTGATGAACCTTTGAGCCTCCACCCACCTCCTCCTGCCCATTTCAAGCCTGAAATATTGCATTATGGTCATGCGCTTCTGATTCTTTTTTCGCACCTGTGTTTGTGGGCCCGTGAGGTCCCTAAGGAGCCGGAGGAACTAAGAAGATGAGCTAGTGCCTACGGCCTGCTACGGCTCACAAAAACATCCTCATTACGTACGTATACCTTCAAAGACATCAGTGCAGGACCGTTATGTACCTTCCGGGCACTTCTACAGAGGCGTGTTACACACAATCTGACGACGAGTGTTCGTTGTATATTCAGTACATAGTACTGTTGGATGAATGAACTTGGCGAAGATCGTCAGAGGCTGGAAGAGTGGAAGCATTTGACGCGCCAGCCGATTCTCGGACTCGTGCTCCTCGCGTATCAACGGCAGCCAATCCATCCAAATGTCAACATTTGCTTCTCACCAAACTGAGTCAAACGGTTGCCGATGAGGGCCGACATTAAGCAGGGTCATACTGATAGCTGTCAAGATAGACTGGGTAGTCGAATGTCTAGCTTATCAAATCCTCTCGCCTTGGTCCTGGTGGGCAAGCGAAGCGAGGCTCGCCCCAACCACAGGGAATGGATTATGAGTAAAGTGAAAAGTAACACAAGTTTGATCCTGGTAAGGTCGTCAATTCAAGGTTTTTGACTAATTTCTAAGCTCTAGACACCTGGTCTCTAATCTAAAATCATAGCCACATCACCATTGGATGTCTTCCCGTCGCGGTTTACAACCCTCCCAGAATTGAATTTACACCCCCAAGATCTTAATTTTTGGTGTAAAAAATTGTTTTTTTGCAAGCCTGGTGATGATACCTCTCACATGAGCTGGTTGGAATCATGATTGGGGTGTTAATTTTAGACTGGGGAGGGCTTAAAAAGCACTCTAAATGGCGACGGGAAGTCCTCCATTCTGTACCTTACTGTTAGGCCCAAATATATGTCTAACAACAAAATTTAGTAGTCTTAAGTTGGACCCAACTTGAGTTACAAATAGATTTCAAACATCTTTCACCTAAGACAATCCCACATATAGCTGTCCATATGCCAAAATGTGTCCCTTTAAGACTAAAGACACTTGATTCATACTTTGTTCCTGGCATTTATTTATGTTCATGACAAATGCCAAGGCTACAGGAAATTGATAACACAAAAAGCCACCAATAACATCAAATTTCCTCCATGATACAATGTTATCTTGGGGATCAGAACCTTAGAGTTTTTGTCATTTGACTGGGCCAGGTCAAATGTGCCTGCTGATGGCCTTGGGACTGATGCATTCAATTACAATCCTAGTGCCATTGAAAAGTCCTTGATCTATCCCTAATTAGAGCATCCGCATCGGTTGATTGGATTAGTGAGGATTAGATTAGGCAGCTAATCCTGCCTAATCCACACACCGATGCGGATGCTCTAAATTGTGCAGGAATATCACCGGTACTCTTACCTTCAACTCCAATATGTGATTAGGAAACCCTGGGAATGATATTTTATTCAGTGCTTAACAAGTACAATAGAATATGCGCTAACATTGGACTAATGTAGGGGTAAATAAAGTACTGGTTCAGGGATAATTTACCTGGAAAAAGATATGTAAGCCATTCTTACAAACACATCTCAAAGCTCTATCAGTTCTTCCACTTGAGGAACATCACTGTCAAAAATTTGTTGAGCTATCTATGTTGTGTAGTTACCATAGCTGCTACTGTGTTGTGCTTCTTCCTCTTTTCATCTCTCACATGTCACATCTTGTGACATTCATCATGTTTTCATTTCTCTTTTATACTGGAGCCAACAGAGTTGGAAAGAATCTCTTTTTCCTCATCCTTTCCAACTTTATTGTCTCCAGGTCAGTTTCCTCATTTCTCTCCTTTTCTCCTTTTTCTCTGTCAAATGAACTCCTTATCCTTTCCAACTTTATTCTCTCCAGGGTATTCATATCAACAAAATTTCTGCTGTTATTCTTATATCACATCAGCTTCCTACAGCACTTCCCCTTCCTTTGACTATCTTGCCAACAAGACCAGTGCTTCAATTCCTCTTGCCTCTCATCGATCATCAAAGATAACTCTTAAGTCTTATTGTCATCATAGGTTCAGCTCACTATCCTTTCTCTTCTCATATTGAAAGAACTCACTCATTAACACTGTATCTTTCAGCTTGTCTATTGTTCTTTTCTTTCTCTTGTGTGTTCTGAGACCCCTGGGTAGGTACCCCTCAGAGCCTTCAGACAACACCCGCCAAGTGGTCTGGGTGTGGTACTGATTCATTGGTACCACCTGGATGTACTGGTCCCCATCCCTGAATCTTTGTGAATTGAAATGTCCTACATGATTTTTGTGTTGAGTAAAGATTGAACCAAGCACCCATAATCTGAAATGAAATGGATGCTTTTGGAAATTTTAAGGGTCAATCTAAAATCAATCACCTTGTGGTTGTACCTGCTCCCTGAGGAGAACTAGTTTGTGGCAAACACCCATTGCCAAGGCGGACTCCTCCATGGCCATTGCCTACCTGCTGGAGAGGAGTTCTACCCTGATATTACTTGAAAATCCTTGAATCTTCTTGGGGGGTTTGGGCCAGGTGTCAAGTACAATCAACCCACTTTTCAGCCATATCCAATCATCATCCAATCAACTATCCACCATGCCACCCACCTGCAAGTGCAAGAAACCAAGCTCACCACACCCATCAACCCCCTCATCCTCTCAAGCTCAATCAAATTATCGTTATTGTACAGCCCCTTGACAATAACAATGGAACCCTTCAATTGGAGGCTAGAGGGCAAAGCAATGGACTGCAATTTACAATTCCTGGTGAGACTGTGTAAAATGAGTTCCAAAGAATGGTTCTGAAAAGTTGGATAGGAAAAGGTTTGGAAATTTTTTGTAAATGTTTCTTCATTCATTGACTTTTTTGATGTTTCAATTATTTTTCAAGTAGCTGAGAAAAACAAGATCAAAGCAATTGCATGTGAAAAGAATGACTATCAAAGAAAAATTGAAAAAATAGTAATAAAAAGTTTAGAGAGCACAAGAAACTGGACTGAGATTGGAATTAAATTTCATTTCAGTACCTGATTGTAGGGTTGGTGATTGGTCTGGTGGATGTCACATTCCAAACCTGCTTAAAAACAGCTGTTGATCACTTTTCTTCAATTTTTTCATTTATAATCATTCTTTTTGCATGCAAATGTGTTGATTTTGATTTTTTGAGCTGCATTGAAAAATGCTTGAAGAATACCAAAAATGAAGAAAAATTCACAAAACTCTTACATCACTTTTTTCTGTCCGAATTTTTAAAATCATTCTTTGGAACTCATTTTACACAGTTTCACCAGGAAGTGTAGATTGCAGTCAATTGGTTTTCCCTCCAGACTCCAATTAAAGGGTTCCATTTTTTCTGTCAAGGGGCTGTATTTACATCTACCCAGGAAAATCAAACTGAGACTGAACGACAACCTTGTCATCACACATCTACCCAGGAACATCAGTCAGATGCTGAAGAAAATGCAGACCAAAACCCGAAGAACAAATTTGGCACAACCAACAAGGAGGAGTTAGGTGAGTCCCATCCAATCTCAATTCTGTCTTTCATCATTGTTCTGTGCTTGAATCATTTTTCTGACATAATCACAGTAAACCTTTGAGTGCAAGTACCACCAGTACACCTCACAAATACCGCCGGTACCCTCCCGGGCCCCCGGCCGGTGTGTCCGCTTTGGTAAAAAAGCATCCCGGTACACAGGTCCCAAGTGCCATCTTCAAATTGTGTGGAAAAAGTTGCAATGATCTCTGAACCCATAGGAAATAATCCAAAGGTCGACTAGAAGGGTACAAGGTGTGAATTCCCTATCAAGCAAGTGACTTGTTGAATGAAAGAAGTGATGTGGACAAGGGGGGCAGATGGGCTTTCGTATTTGTGAAGACAAGAAGGAGAATGGTATAAAAATGAGCCAGTGGTGCAAGGTTTAAAAAAAGTCACCAGCCAAAGTCTTAATCCTCTGGGACCGCGGAGGCAACATAGCCCATAAGTGCAAGCCATCAGATCAACTGCCGGAGGGACTTGGCCAGCAGTTGATCCTCCAGCAAGCCATTGGATCAACCACCGGAGGGACTTAGTTAAGTTAGCCGCTTGTCACTGTACGCAACTAGCTACCTAACCCTGACTACTGCCTAGTCAAAACCCAAGCCTACATAACCTAAAGAGTTCTGGTGAGGAAGGATGGTTTTTTCTGACTGGAATTATCGAAAATCACAGATATCAAAAGCTGTGACACATAGCGCTAGAAATATTCTCAGTATCATTGTCAATGTCGTACCCCCGACGCGACGATCAAAGCTGAGCGCGAATTGTTCATACATACAATTGTGAGCATCGGAGCATCGGCCAAACCCTAAAGAAAGTACAACACCTGACGCCGTACACGGCTCTGTATGATTGGCTGCTAGCTGCCAGAAGTCTATCCGATTTTTTTTACCGGGCGATTAGTAAAATTTGTTGGTCGCGTCCGAAGGGCGCGGTTGATTGGTGTTAGGATCTGATTCAATTTGTTTATATACAAGTCGCACTGAAGACGACTCATGCCAGACGTTCATCGAAGCAAGTGAGACAATAAATGACATGCGGAGACTTCTGAGGGGAGCTTGGAGGATCCCAGCAATGTGCTAGGGTAGTCATATTAATCCTGCATCTGTTTGACAAGTGTGTTGTCCCTTCATTGTCCAATCGACCCACCTTCAAGTCGCCTCCAAAGATGGTCAAATCAGCGTCAACGATGTCGATTTTATCATACTTCTGCTTCGCATACTGTACGGTCATTAATTCTAGCCCTACCCTTTCATCCGCAAGGTATTCAGAAGGTACGCACAGGATTGTTTTCGTGGATCCTTCTAGTTCTTGTTCCCAATACAAAACAAAACCATTAGCAATGACTTTTACCTCAGGGAACGAGATTGTAATTCAGGAACGGGCAGGACCCACAATACATCTGCCCACAGAAATCCCCGAGGAGATCCACGAAAAGCGTAAGTCGGGCATTCGAATTCAAACCCAGAGATGGTTTACACCGAAGCTAGTCACCTAATATTGTGGGCTTTCTTCTATCGCGGGCAGACAATCCATTTCCGCTGGGTAATATCAAGATGTCGAGCTCGAAGCTACCAACGGTTGATAAAGAAGACCAAAAGAGCATCAGTTCGGTCGATGAACCAAGTGAGCAAAACAAGTAACCAGATACCAATCAGCTAATCAATAGTCTGATTTCTAAAAAACACCACTATTTCCAGGCATGGTGACAGAAAAGGATAACGAAATCGTGTCAGGCAAGTAGTCACTTGACTTACCATTGACCAACCAAGAATGACACTGTTCCGATCGTCCAGGGCGACCCAATAATCCCCACCAGAAAGACGGGAACTCGATCATCCAATACATCGCCAATGGAGGTCTGAAAGAACTGCCCAACATAATCTCTCAACGGTTTCAAGAGATGTTTGATGGAGTCCCCGGCTCGCGAAACATCCAGAAATTCGCCTCCACATGGGGCTTGTATCTCCTCACCTTCTACATCTTCATGCGGGATCAACCTTTCTTCCTATGGAGTAAACAACGCCAAAAGCTCTGGAGCTTCTTCCTCAAATCAAGATACAGAAGAACTAGAATCGGTTCTCTGAAGCTTACCCACTGAATAGATTCTATGTATCACCAAATCCCGATTTTTTTAGAAGCTTGATGGATATATTATCATAGTGTGTTTTGACAGGGTTTGTTCCACTTTGCTGCCTAGAATTCGGCACGAACCAGCTTGGTTTTCTGCTCCCATCTTCTGTGCCCATGATCGGATATTTTCTGCTGTCTGGATTCACAAGTACTGAATCACAAGCGCTGTTCAACCGGCCATTTCTGAGTTCTGTTCCAGGCTCTCTGATCAATTCCCCCAAGCAAGTATTTAAACATGGAAGGAAATGCTTGTAGTCTTGCATATTCCTACCCAGCTGATCAGAATGAGAGAGAATTATCCGCATCGATGATTTTCATCGGACGTGTTTTTTACTCAGTCAAGTTGTTCAAAATGACAAAGGCATCTCCAATCAAGTCTTCTAAAGATAAGAACAAAACCTACCATAAATGAAACCAGTTCTTGATCGGAAAGTCGAGCCACATAAGTGACCATCGTAGACCCCTGATAAAGTCAATCATTCACTCCAAAGCCTTCCAAGTTTGGTGAGATCTTACATGGTCAGTGGGTTTTTTTCCCCTGAAGCGATTACTTACAAAATGGCGCGGGAGTCTGTGAGCTTTGTGAAAGAATGAACCCAAACATTTTTGTACAAGGTCTTGATCTTTTTTGGATATCATACACGATATAATAGTGAGATGATGGATGTCCGGCCAGATCCTCGGGATCCTGAGATGTTGAGGCAGCTTGAAGGCTCGAGTTTCTTGACCAGATCATTCCGGCAACATCCATGCACACACACACACATCCAAGCCAATCTTTTTATTCCCTTACATACAAACCTCTACATATCAGACACACCGACCAGTCACCAAGCAAAGAGTCACAGACTGTGTGATGATAATGCATGCCCCGCAAAACGAAAAGGCCCTACATATTGACATAGAGCATTAAAGCTTCCCATTCAAAGAAACTAATCACATCACGTGTGAGGGGGTCCCATACATTCAAAGATAAGACGCTTGCTCTTAACTTTCAAAGGAAGCTTTGACAGGAGGGCAGTATGTAGGCGAAGGGGCTGTTTTGGTGGGGTTTGATGATCGGCGAGATGCATTGGAACCCAATGTCGCCATGAAGGTCTCGGCCACATGGCAAGCATCATAATCAAGCTTTGCAAAGGGCCCCCTGAGCAGAGCAACCCGAAGACTATTTTTCAAAAATCATACATTTATATTTTCAATTGTTTTATGCTTCGGAGGACCGGTGGGTCGGTTTTTTGTGGGGATCTGCGAGTGGACAAGATATTATTTATCGTCCCCCCAAACCTTCGGCTTTTGCAACATTTTGTTTTGGTTTGGTTTCGCGTCTCAATATGGCCGCCAAATTCACTCTTCCTCCGAGGTTTTTTTTTCTGGAAATACATCGATGAAAACCCTTCTTTCTTGAGAACACAATTGGCGCCAAACTGGAAAGAAAGGGCTGGATGCAAATATATTATGCCAACTTTGTTTGTTGCTGTGGTGGTGGTGGTGGAGGAGGAGGTGTGCACTGGTGTGGATTGGCCCGGGCCGGAAGACCCATGAAGTGATTGCCGAAGTCCGACTGTTCTGAAGTCTGATAAATCCATAGAAGCCGCAGGTGGCAGGCCCGAGTGTGCGAGTGAGTGTGTGGGCAAGGCCGCTACAACATCAATGTTGTACCGACAAAGGCAGTAAAATATGTTTGGAATTGTATTTGGGACTGGGAGTCGGGACTATATCATGAGTGATGTATTCCAATGTCTTTTCAGTTCATACTCGAGTGTACAAATGTTTGTGATCAAGGAATACTACTACTATTTTCCGGCAATTCGCTGCAAGTCGGTTATCATTAACACATACAATTCGGCTGGAAGACAAAACACCGAGAGTCGCGAGTGCTCCGGAGTGTTGAGGGAATATGACAAGCCTCTGCAATAACAACAGAATTTTATGTAGTACTGAAGAGTCGAGATGTCGGCTTGTCGGGTCCCGAGAGACGTACACCAGGATATGTTTGTGATGGTGATGGCCGAGATTCGGCCGTTGGACTGCTGCATACAGTCAACTCCCCCTTCAAGACGGAGTTCCACTGGCTTTATAACAGCAGGCCTACATACCCATCAGTCAACCCTTTCCACTGCCTCCCTCTTGACCGTCTTCCCACACATCCCCGTCTGAGCCAACAGTATATATCCAATAGATTTACAAGACTGGTGCTAATCGAGCGATATCAAAATGTCTGCAAGTATTCCTGCCTCATCCCTGATGACCGTCGAGACTGTCTATGGAAAAGTGATTGGTTATGAGGACCTCGGGACTCATGAGACAAAGAACGCCGACCTGCAATCCATTGGAGCACTATCCATTGATGATACCAGAGTTCCTGTCAGAAAGTTCTTAGTGAGCTGGTCTTCTTTACTAATACTACTACTGCTACATATTCTAAATAAAATATTTACTGCAACTTTCTTCCTTATCGTCCTACTATCTTTTTCGTAGGGGATTCCTTACGCTCAAGCCGAAAGATGGAAAAGAGCAGTCCCTCCTACGCCATGGAGTGAGCCAATAGTCTGCCACAAGTTTGGGTACATAATCATCCACTTTTCATCGATCCCAATTTCCGCTCATTTCCTTGAAATCATCGTCCATCTGAATGCTTTGGATTCTGGTTCAATCTTTTTTTTTTTTTTTCTTTCGTGAGATAAGGCCGTCGATTCCGCAGCCCCAAATCACCCTGTTTGATTCGTTCTACGATCCCCCATTGCTCAGCAAACCCCAGACCAACCAATCAGAAGAGAAAGGGTTCACCGTCAATGTCTTCTCGTCACCTGGCGTCAAAGAGGGCGATAAGGTGCCCGTCTTGGTCAGTGGTATAGTCGATGGCTTGAAAATTCCCCTGAATTGCACAAGACGTCGAAGCTGACCAAATCGATTCCACACTCATCAATATAAAGGCATGGATATTGTAAGTCTTTGATAATACAAAGTAATCCGATCCGATCACAGATCTTAATTTTTCATATGATCTTGTTATTACAGTGGAGGAGGCCTCTTACACGGATGCAGTTGCATCCCGATGTACGATCCCACCGAATGGATCCGAAGGGAAGCCACCAAAGGCCACAAATTCATCGTCGTCACCGGCAATTATCGGACCAACCTGCTCGGCTTCCTGGCCAGCTCTGATCTGGCTCAAGAGGATCCCGATGGCATGGCCGGAAACTACGGTTAGTCATAGACTCATCCGACCACTTTTCACTTTACTTACTTACTTGTTTGTTTGCAAAAAAAAAGGGGCCTACGATTGTATTTCTTATTTGCAATGGGTACGCTCTTCCTGCACTCGACCATTGTCTTGAATCCCTTGATCGTTGATTGTCTTGATCCCATATATTATTATGGATCAGGTCCAAAATAACATCGCCAAGTTTGGAGGTGATCCGGATAACGTGACCGCTTTTGGCGAATCCGCTGGTAAGAGCATTCGATTTCCTCTCCACGAAAACAGGATAAAAAAACAACCCTCTTGTGGTGGACCATTTCCTAGAGATATGTCCCTGATCTTCTGATGCTTCAATAATCTGTCCAGGAGCGTTGCTTCTTTCCCATATCATGGTTTGCAAAGAAAAGCTTTTCCGTCGAGTGATTCTTCAATCAGGAGCCGTGAACACCTTAGTGAGTAAAACACTCTTACATCCTCCCAAGATAATGATCAGACGATACTTATATAAAAGAAAAACGGGGGGGGGGGTTTGATCAGCCAACGGTATCCTGGGAAACGCACGAAAAGAACTATCAAGAGCTCCTAGAAAAAGCGTGTATCAAAGCGGAGAGTAGATCGGAGCGATTAAAAGCCTTACGGGCTGTGCCGATCGAGGAGCTCGTTGGTTATTTTTCGCAATCTGTGCGAGTGGTAGGGTTAGCGGAGGAGACGACGAGGTCGGCGAAAGCGGTATGGAACCAAGGATGTGTGCTTACGCGATTAAAGGAGGGACATTGGAGTCCGCACATCGAGTCAGTGATGATGGGTGTCTGCAAAGACGAGGGCTCGTTGTTCGCCTATATGTGTCAAAGCCATACCCCTCCTGGATACCAATTCTCGCAAATCGAACTCTTGAATGGCGCCTCCTACGCCCAATTGGATCCGCTCTATCGTCTCCCTAATCAAGATCAGATCGATAACCCCGTCGATGGCGCACCCTTGGATTTGGCTCAATGTTCCGGAAGCCAACCCGCCGGTGATAGACTCTTTAAAGTCCCCATGGAACTCTTGCTTTGCGCTTTGGACGATACTAAAAACGCCGAAACTCAAAAACCTTTGTCCATCTTCGTTTATACCTTGGAAGGAACTGCCGTAGAAACTAACTCTCCTGGTAGATCTTTCGGCGTCACGTAAGTATATAATCTTTCCATCCTTATGAATGCCTTGACCTTTTTTTAACAAAATCTAATCACTCATTTCTATTTTTTTTTCTATAATAATAGTCATACCGTCGACATTGTTTTGCTCTTCAATATGAGTCACTGTTGGGCTCCAGATTCGGAGAGTGCAAAAGTATCAGCCACGCTAGGAAAGACGTGGTACAACTATGCGAAAGATGGACGTCCAGGTAAGTCCTATAGATACCCAGCTTTTTTTTAGTCGAGGAGGAGAGTGAACACAAGAAGCCTGAGACGCACCAATCTTTCGCTTTTGCATAAGGCTTGAATTGGCCCGAATACGCCACTCAATCGTCGCCCTACAAGCTAGTATTCCAACAAGACGGAGAAAGTGTGCTCCAAGATGTCCGCGACCGGCCGGAGATCGAGAAGGAGCGGATCAAGTTCTGGGCCGAGCATCTCGATCTCGCCGAGTTCTGGGAGCCGCCTGTCATCGGCATCTTGGACGGCTCTAGTTCCACCGATTCGTCGGAGATGCGCAGCGAAAATACTAATAAAAGTCTTTGAACTTCTACATCCTTTGATTCTCTTCTCCCAGTCCCTTTGGGTCGGTCAGACTTCATTCCTTGGAACCCTTCTTTTTTTTTTTTTATCTCTAGTTGCTACTCTTTAGTCTGTTGGTCTGGATCGGATCGTGATGTTAAAATATTGTCGCATAGTGTATCCCGAAAGTTAAGGGGAAAAAAAATGTAATTGTAGGGCCCTTTTTTACCAAAAAGATTTGATGCATGAATATTTCTGTATTTACAAAGCTTTAGGATGTCCGGTTAGAATGATACATGAATGGATCGAAGAGATTGGAACTGTCTTTTTTTGTAAGGATTGTGGAGAAAAATACATAGTGAATTGCAGGAGATTAACTCCACTTGACTACGAGTCACGCCCTTGAGCGGTCTATCTACCTACGCCGTCTTTCAGAGTCTTTGGCACTGGCTGCAGCGGTCATGGAATGATGAACTGTACAAGGATGATGTTGCTGGATTGTAAATTTGTTCAAAACTACTACAGCTAATTAAATCTCTTGGGGGCTGGCTGGACGACATTCCACAGCATATTGAAACAAAAATGGAAAATCATTTTACTTGCTTGATACTTACAATAGTCAAAGATCTAAAGAACAAGTTAAGATGAAAGAAAGTCGAGAGGAAAACAAGACAAAACTGGCTTGCACTTTGCGATTCTTTTGTTCATAATTTGTCTTCAGAAGTCTAGCCATTCGGTACTAAGGATTGTACGACGAAGCAAAAACGGTTAACAATGCTACCAGAACAGAAGAAAATCAAGAAGAAGAAGAAGAAGAAGAAGAAGAAGAAGCGAGGACGAACAAGTAGACGCAATCAGCGGGATTGACGGGAGCCACGCCACCGGCAGCGCCGAGTCCCCCGACGGCATTGAAGCCAGCGCCGATGCCAGCCAAGCCGATCTTGGGTAATTTACGATGAAAGGAGGCGGGGCCATTCTCATGATTAGTGGAGTTGAGGGTGGAGCCCAGAGTGGTTGAGCCTTTGAATTGCCAGGCTTTTCCTTTGGAGGAGCAGAAGTCAAACGAAGGACAATGGCCACAGGGCATGTCGAAGAAGCCAGAGACACTCGGCGGCTCCACTATCCCTCGCTCCGAGACCCCAGTCTCTTCTTCTTCTTCGTGCTCGACTTGGTTCGGTAACGGTCGTAAGGCCCGGTACACAAACGCTTCGTTGCTCGGGATCATCCGGCGCCCTTCTGCTCGTTTTTTCCGTCGATTCTCTTCTTCCTCCATTCGCTCCTCATCCGATCGATCCTGGAATCGTAGCTGTTTACCCGAATTGGTCTTGCGTCGTTTCGAGGATTTCTTGGTGGTCGAGCCGAGACTTTTCCGACGTTTCTGAGCCATCAAGAGTCCATCATCCTCCAACTCACTTTGCTCCTCCTCCTCCTCCTCCTCCTCCGGGTCGTCCTCATCTTCTTCATCCGACTCACTCATCCCGGCCTGTCCTTCGCATTTCGCAGTCCCAACCGTGATCCTTTCGACCACGCCATCATACAGAAGCACATCCAATAAGGTCAGGATGTGTTCCGTGTTCAGATCCGTGCCTTCTTGGATGATTTGCGACTGCTTCAGATACGCTAACACGTCGTGCACCGTCGTCGGCAGGAAAGGCGTGTGTGAAGCGGGATATAAGAGGGCCATTGGTCGATCGGAATCCGACGAATTTTGGACCGGATAAGACTTCAAAAATCACCAAGAGATTAGAGCGTTGAAAGAAATGGGGCTGGCTTGGAGAAGAAAAAGAACGGAAAGTTCAATCAAACAACTGACCCGATCTTGCAAACATTTGAGGATACTTTGTAACAAGACCCCGATAAACTCGGTATCCAATTCGTTATCGGTATACCAAGGCCCGCCAGAATGTTCGACACTCGGCTGCAGTTCTGATAAGATATAGATCTTCCGGGTTGGGAATTTGACGCTCTTGACGGCCTTGATCAGGTTCTTATTCTCCAATGCTTTGATGCACTTCGTCAGATTCGTCTGGTGGATGTTCGTCCTCATCTTCAAGGTCTTCGTCCAGATCCCTAATCACCATATCAAACAGGTCAATCTTGACTTTTTTTTTTTTCAGGGGAGGGATGGATATCTGAATATTTACCCGTGTTTCCGGCATTCGATATGTTGTCGTATACCAGCTTCTCATCCGTCGACATGCTTGAATTCCTGGATACAAATTTTAAAAGAAATGTTTATCAATTTTGAATCTTGAACATTAACTAATCAAATTGATATAAAAGAAAAAGAAGAAGAAGGATAAGCGGATACTGACACTTTCTGTTGAGATTTATCAACCGCAATATAAAATAATTCATCCTGAACTCGTTTGACTTGGAGCATACCCTGAAAGGAAAAGAAACAGAAGAATGATTATCATCAAGCCTTCCCGGTGATAATGGATGAAATTTTTGGAGACTTACTCTAGCAATCAAGCTGTTGGCTATACTCATCTTCTCAACCACGTCTAACTTAGGCATCGCATTTTGTAATTCCTCGTGACTCAAAGTCTACATACAAGCATTCTCGATCAGTTTTTGAATCACAAGATATGGGTTTTTCTTATGTGACATACCCTTTGATCAGCCTTGAGACATTTAATGAACAGTTCCTTCTCGTCCTTCGATAACTTGTTACCAGCTGTTGATGGTTGAGCATTAGTGTTACTAGATTCGGCCTTGGCGCTTGGATTGGCAGTCGATTTGCCCTTGCTCTCGGCCGTCGAACTCCCTGCTTTGGGCGCCATTGTTTCCGCTTTCTTGTTTGTGTCTGTTGTTGAAGTTGGTTTGTAGTATGTATCAGGTGGGTTGCAGGATCAGGTGGGAGCTTTTCTTCAAATGTTTTGGGTTGGGGACGACTCTCCGGTTCGGATCGGACGTCTGGTGTGGCCGATCTCGACGTCCTTTGAGATATGCTTGACCCAGAGAGGGTCAGACGAGATCATGGACCCCCCTGCCGCCTGGCTCCCCGTGTTTTTGTTGGCCGCGGTTTTCCTACTAGGACTTCTTTTTTAACCTCTTGGTCGTGTTCCTCCAGCTTCACCAGACAAGACAACTTTCGAAGGATACTACATAAACTCACCCGACGATAATCATCAGTAATGTCACGTCGGAAATCAACCAAACCAGCCACCGAAGAAGCTCACCCACACCTCTCAACCAGCAAGAGCTTTGTCCTCGTCCCACATCAGAATGGTCAAGAAGAGTTGTTCGATGTGAGGGAAGAAGAACGGCAGATCAATCAGCTGATCAACCTCATCGACCCGGATTATCTGCATCAAAGGCTGGAGCCATCGGTGACCGAAGTCCATCTCAAGACGGCGATTTCGGACAGCAAACAAGAGATCCGTAACTTGGCCCATCAACTCGAATCCATCAATCTTCTGGTCGGCGATCTCGCGGAATTCCACCAGACCCAGATCGGCGATCAACTCTTGAACGACTTCGACCAACATGCCAGAGACTTGATCGAGGCTATCCATCTCGTCGAGATCCGCCAGAAAGAGCTGGAGGACCTCAGGGAACGCGTCCATCGCTCGACCGCTAATCATCCTATTGACGCCCATGATCAGCTCTGTAAAAAAATCGACTCTCATCTCGTCCATTGGAACTCGCTCACTCTCAGACAAAAATTTGCTCAAAATAAACGTTATAAATCATTTCGTGAAAGGATTTGGGTTGAGTCTTCTCTCTCTCTCTCTCTTCTCTTTCTCCCAGAGATTTCATTGACCCCCATTCATGTGATATAGTAATATCCAAACTGATTCTTTTTTTTGTTTTCTATTTTTGCAGGAATTCACTGGGGAGGATGGTGCGATGATGCCTCCCGCCAAGACCTTTCTTCCGGCTGGTAAGTATATTAGCACTCTCCTTCTCTCTATTAGTGTGTCACCAATCGTCAGAAAAAGCATGCCTAAAACTGACTGAGGTTTTTATTTATTTATTTTTTTGTGGATCAATGAAATAACGTAGCGGAGGGAGAAGAAGAAGAAGAAGAGTCATCAGGCGACGAACTGGAGATAGCGGGGGGGAAGCAGAACTACAAATGTCCGCTATGTATTGGCCAGTTGAACGTGCCAGTGGTATCAGAGAAATGTCAACATGCGTTCTGCAAAGGCTGTTTCGAGGCCTATCTGGACCAGAACCAAGCCCAGATGTTGGTCTGTCCCAACTCGGGATGCTCGGCGATGCTCGACAAGAACTCGGTCAAGGTGGACGAAGCCTTGGCCGACCGGATCCGTCAGCTCCTTCGTCGCGCTGAAATGCGCGAGGACAGTCAGGTCTATCAGGACGAGCCGCTCTCTCAATCACTCAATAATCACTCCAAGGATGGCCTCAATGGGCGCAAGAAACCTTCCGCTTCCCAGAAAATTCGGCGCGTCATCGTCGACGACGATGATGATGAATAATCACTCCTCTCTCACCTGCTCTTTTCATCATTCGCTTTTTGTCCTTCATTCTTCAATTTATCAACTGTTTGTCCAGCTTAGTAGGGTTTTTTTTTTTGGAGTCCAACTCCAACAAACAACAAACCAGACATAGAGCGATGACCTACTAGGACTACTGTGTTTCAAAAAAAAAAATGTGATTGATCCAAATTCAATAAAAGAGGGGTGTTTTGATGAGGAGAAATGAAAATGTCTGATACATCTTGATACAAGTTAAGGTTTTTCTTACCAGGAATGATGAATCCCATTGTGCTGTAATATGTTGGCATTTATGCAGCAAGCTCTGTCTGTGATATGTGGACCTTTCATTGATTGATGAGATGAATGGAGGCTTCCAGACTACAGCCTTCTTATCTGTTTTATCAGAAATGAAAACCTTAAGTCTTTGATAAGATCATGTACACAACCAGGCAAAACCCAAGACTCAACAATCCCTTGTTTTCATTGCAATACTCCCAGACAGTATTAAACCTTCTCCTTCTCCTTTGGTTACCATGACTTGTCTTCTTTGTAAAAGGTGGCAGTTGGAAAGAAAAAGAGAAAGGCCACTTTAGTGTTTTGTGTTGTTTTTAATTATGTAAGGTAGCTCTAGCTATATATCCTTTTAAGGATTTATGTGGCATGGTAGCTGGCATAAACACAAGTATGATAACAAAAACTACAACCATTTTGACCATTCAAGAATCCAGATCAGGGTGTCTTCCACATTGTTCAAAGAAGAATTGAAGCATCTTTTTCATTCCTCACTTTCAAGTCCCAAGAGATGAGCCATTCCACCCCTAGTGTGACGATGGACTAGATGGGGACAGCCATAGCCACACATTCTGACAGGAAAGCGAGAAGGGAATTTGCTCAAGGAAGGTGTTTTGATCAGAGGCTGTACGGTTGCACTTCCACTGCACTCAACTCTAAGGGGGGGATCCAAATGGTATAGGCCAAAAAAGTAGATTTTTTGAATTTTTGGGTTGTTTTTTTTTGGGGGGGAGGGAGTTAAGATGTTGGATTGGACCCTCAAGTGTGCATTTTTATGGTTGAAAAATTGGCCTGCTCCAACTGCAAGATATATATTGAAATTTCTGTATCTTTCCTTCAACTTATTGAACTATTTCATCCGTATGCTTTCTTGGTAATGGATTGCTCCCTTTAAAGGTTTTATTGACATGGTACAGAACATCAAAAACTGTATTTTCTGGTGACTCAAACTATAGAATTAAACAATAAAATATAGCTTTTTGATACAACACATCTCTACAGCTGGTTGATACAGCTAGTTTATACAGCAGTTTAAATACAGCTGATTGAAACAGGCAAAAATCTGGTTGATATACATAGGTGGTTGATAAAACAATAATGACGTCAGAGAGAAGGATATTGAAACAAAAGATGTATTTATTGTTGTTGGACTAGGGCATCCATATTCCTACAAAGAAAACCTGACCAAAATCAATCTGAGAACTCAATTTCAAAATCATACAAATCTTTGACTTTCAGCCATAATATCTTGAACCAATTTTATTTTCATTGTGAAACCACATCTATTAGTCGTGAACCAATCATGCCAGATTACATGAAAGAATGCCTCATAGTCTGCTTCATTCTTGGACACTTCTGGGGAGTTCACTGCATGGCCAGATGGAATAATGGTCAGTATTTCTTCTTCCGTTTATCTGCATCTCATCCATCCATATTTTCAAATAAGCACTGATAACTCATTAAAAATATGATTTGATTAACAAAACAAAATTTCCAATCCCAAAGTACCGGTTTTGGACATACCAAGTTCAAGCAGTGCCTCAAGTTTAGAAACTGAAGCTCTTGATCCAAAAGTTCTAACACAAAGAATCTCAGAGGAGGAATTTAAGAAGTATGTGGAAACTGTTCCTCCACTTTATAAACAAGAAAATTTATTCACATATTCATGTAAGTGACATATAAATAAACTCATGAAGCAACATAGAAACAATTTGACAAAATTAGATGTTTCCTTGTTTGTGTGTATGTAAAAAACTGACCATTATTAACCACTTTTCAGATGAAAATAAATCAAAGAAAGATGACTTCATTTTCATGAACAAAAGCCTGGATAGTCTTAAGAGTGAATTTGATAGAAAATTATCTTGGAAAAAGAATATATCCCTCAAGACCAGAAGATTGTTGAAAAACATCAAGAAATTGCAATCATTCCACAAAATGATCATTGAGGAAATACAGGCTCGCATTTACAAATCAAGAGAAAATGGATTACGGATAAAAGACATTGAAATGCTTGAAGTAAAACCCAAAAAACACCTGAAAAAGGCTTTCAAATCTCTAGCAACTTCTGAAAATTCATCTGGACCTTCTTCACCATTAAAACATTTTGGACCAAAAAGGCTAGGTATGGATTTAGTTGAGATAATCAACAAAAAGGTTCTAGATGGTCAGATTGAAAATGTGAATGATTTGTTGCACAACATTGGCTCTTTCAAGATCAAAAACAGAATCAACTTCTCCAATGTTGAAAATCAAATTGAATTGAAACTTCAACACAATGTATTCCAAACTATTGATTACATGTACAAGCAAGAAATGATATCTGAAAAATCATACAAGAAATTCTTTCAAATGAAGAACACAATGGAGCTTGCAGCAATCAATTTAGTAGCAACATTTCACATCCACTCTGCAGCATTTCCACTAGCAAATCAAAATCTTGAGGTTATGTTTGAAAGATGGTACTGCTCAAATTACAAGACTTTGTCTGAAGGCGTGTTATATCTTGTTACTGAATATATAGATATCTAAACATCAATTATTTTTTGCTGAATTAACTTTTTTTTTCTTATAAATAAAGTTCTTGAAGATAGGGAAAGAAGATACTTTTTATATTTATCTCTACAGGTATTTTCAAAATATTATTACAATGATGGCATGTACAAAACTAAGCTTCACAAATCATTCTTCAAAGATGACAAAACATTCCATACATTGGAAAAATATCATATACTGAAGAATTCAATCTCACAAGAGGAGCAGAATCTTTTGAAGCAAACCAACTCAGGGTATTCCCATGCCAAATCAGTTGTGAAAGAATTGATTGAAGATTTTGAGAAGGAGGAAACTCAAAGCAGAAACCTGGCAATCAAAGGCAACAGAGTCAAGTCGTTTTCCTTCTTGCAATTTATAGAAGAAAACTATGGTTTGGATATCCTTGACATTGAAACAACAACACTTTTCAAGGAAAAGTTTGATCTGATGTCATCAAGCTTTCAATTCATTTCAGAAATAAAAAATCTGACTGATTATTTTCACTACAAATTTAATGAAAATTTTGATAGAATGCCTCATCATCCTGTGTCCACTTCTCTTAGTCCTGACCAAGAGATTTTAATGATTTACAAATATTTCCAAGTTGTTTGTTCTAAACATTCAGCCCTTCTGGAAAGCATTGATCTGCAAGGATATTCCCATCTTCTTTATGTTAATTCATTAAAAGTAGATTTGGAAAAAGATATATTGAATGTAATTTCTCAACATAATTTTGTCTAAAATACCTTTTTATACAAAATAATGTTTATAAATTTAAGCTTTTGGTGTCTCTTCATGTTTAGCAGACATTGTTCTATGAGACTCAAATTATTCCCTCCTGTGATCAGGACTCTTTGAGCCTCCAAATTTGTGAATCATGAAACTATGTTGCTTTGAGGTCATGATGCTGATACCCACGGGGTATGTGGACACTTTGACACAGTCCGGCTCCCACCTGGAAGCTGCTTGGACCATACCTGTGGGTACTAATCTATGCTGTTATTCTATACCCAAAGACACACATTTTTAAGTCATGAAGCTTTCTTTCAGGCCAAATATAAAAATCATGACATTTTGATCCCCATTTTTTGAAGACAGAGTGAGATGAATGCATAATTCACAACTAGATTTGATTGTTTTTCTATCCAAACCAGCAAAGGAAACATGCTACACTTGAATATTTGACATGTTGATCAAAGATGAAAAAAGGCCATGAAGTGAGATTAACACTCTTATTTAAAGATGGTAAAAAAAGTCATAAAAATACTTACATCTCTTTTTATAATTTTTCTTTTTAGTCATCAAAAGGATTAAAAAATAAACGCAACAGTTTCCCAGCACTGAACATCAAATAGCTCAGTGCACAACCTCTTGCCACAAAGATCCAATCTATTCATTCAATTGATTTTTTTGAGTGAGCTCTGCAAGACACTAAAAATACCAGAAAAATCCAGGCAACTGCTACCAGTTCAAAATCAGCAAGCTACAATTAAGCCTCAATGGAAACTAAGGTCATTGTGTTGATTACCCTGTGGCTTCAAAGGGGTGAACCAGAACAATGTAGAGCAAGAGTATAGGTTTGACTCATGTTCAGTATATGGAGTATGGTGTGAGCTCTTGTATATCAACTGCCATCTGTTGCTTGAATTTTTCTTGAAATGTAAGTGAAGTTTACATTCATCATTGAAAATCAGCTACACAAATATTATGATGAATTATCTGCATAATCTGTGATATGTGTTGCAGTTGAGACCTAGGACTATTTCACAACAGAATTCCTTCACTCAACTTCCCTCTCAAAACTCAGGGTTCAATACCTCAATTGTACTCTGGATATGATGGTGCCTTTTCAGAATACCAAGTCTTTATGAGATCCCATTTTGCACCAATGTGTCTTCTTTCAGTCACAGGATAAGAAATCAAAACTTTCCAAATAGCTGGAAAGTCCCCAGAGGGGGGGCCTGAGGCAGCTGAGATAAAAGATATTCCAAAAGTAGAATACAAGAAAAAAATGCAACTATATCTGGAGAGACTAATTTTGATATAGACAATCTAGAAAAACCCAAGCAATGATGTAATAGCATGAGTGCATAAGCTAAAATGACATAATTGAGATTTGAGGGCACACTATGTAAATGAGTAAGTTTGGATCATAATTCAATTCACAAGATTCAATGGACAACAATCTCATCAAGCTAAGAGTGGTGAATTACAACACCAATGGCACCAACAAAAGATATTGGAGCCAAGTTTAGAATGATCCACCAAGCCCATGGATCCAAAAAATCAATTACATGTTCTTGTTCTACTTGGATTCTTTGGAGGTGTTTCTATCTTCTTGAGAGACTACATGTATAAATTCCACCCTTCATCAGCATCTCTTTTGATTCAAGCAAGGAGTATCAACTCAACATTTCACTGGGATCCGAACTCGATTAGCCTCTCTTTCTGCCTCTTTCTCTCTGAGGTATGCTTGACGAGCCGCTATGTGATCCATGGCAGCACGGCTGATGTATACTTCTTTATCCTCTTTGGGATTTTGCTGCTGGATTGTAGTTTTGTAATATGGCCCCTCATATGGATGTTTGCCAAATCCATCCATTCTTTTTTGTAACACAGCTGAGCTTGAGGTTGGAATGAAGTGGAATAATTCCACTACGACCTGTGTTTAGATGATTTTTTAATTGATGAGCAAGTATATCTGAAATGACATACTCTATCATATTCAGGCAAGGAAAGTAAGGAAGCTCAACTAAGATTAAATTCAAGCCGATGAGCATTTTTGTATATTGGGGATTTGAAAGCGTTGGTTTATATACTATAGGGGACTGGAGTGAAGCAATTATTAGTGGTGCGGCAAAAAAAGAAGGCAAAGTTAAAGTAACAGAAGATTCAATTTTAGGCACCTTGTCTCCAGTGAATCTTTCAATGAAATGGGTGATTGATCTGATGTAGAAATTTCATCTATTTTGAGGATCTATAAGCTCCTCTTTATAAGTGCAAGTCTAGTACCCAAGGCCATGAGGGTACCCGTTTTGATTCCCTTACTCAGATACATTTCACGTCACTTGTTTCTTGGCCAGTCCAAATACTGGCATGGCAATTTGACACAATATGGAGGTTGGTTCCAGCAAAGCTCAAGAATTTTGGTGCTGGCGAAGCTGAAATGTCAAACTACTTGCCTTCATCAAAACTGTCAAATTTTGATGATTTTATGACTTTCTATATATATATATCTGCGGATGACGATACGTCTTAGCCAAGAAATGAAAAGGTCTGAATTGAATTGGTTTCAAATCTTGGTCCAGGATGACCTGGACCCCCTATATCCGGTTTCACTCCTAGCATTCAGTCTTATCGATGTTGCTGGGAATTGAGTATGACGAAGCGCAAAAGTAATCAAAGTATTGCTGACTTGGATCTGATAGTCAAACAAAACACTAACACTTTGATAACCTCAATAAAAATCAATCGACACGTGTCTTTGTAAATTGTCAAGTCAAGGACAAGAGCGCCGGTCTCTCAATCGCTTCAGTGATGCCATTTGAATTTGTCCAGTGCAGTTGCTTCAAATCGAGAGCTATTGATCGATCCCCCTCTCTCAAGTCCAGCTAATCCTAATTTACCACCATCCCCTTTCTTTCCTTCCTCATCGAATCCAACCAGCAAACATCAACTGACCAACTCTTTTGTTCCGGTGGTTCTGCCTTGTTGAGGTCATTCAACCTAGGAGGTTCTTAAAGAGCTTCATATTTCTTCCATAAGAATATCTACATAACTGTTGAATTATTCATTTCTAAACTTTACGGTTTGGTATGATTTAATATTTGAAACAGAATGTACATCTAATCTGACCCCTTTTCAGCACGGGATGGTGTGCTTGCCATCCTCATGGTCTGTGCCATATTGTGCATGCTGGTACTGGTATGTAAAGCGGACATGCACAACTGTACACAGCTTCACACACTGACATGTGTGTGTGCAGCTCTGCAATCCAATAATTATGGCTTGTAAGGCTGCGCAAGCCTTTTGTTTTGGCGCTTGGATGTAGCCAGCCCCTTCAAGTAGTTAGAGAATTGATGACCTCTGAATCATAAATCCGAAGCATTTATGGAAGCTTCAATCTCAAGATGAAGTTGATTTCAGCCATCATGCAAGAAATAAAGGCTTTCATAATAAAGGTTAGAGAGTCCCCAGAGGGGGTCCTGAGGCAGTTATGAGTTGACGAATACTCTCAAAAAGAATACAAGACAAAACACGACTATATCCAAAGAATCTGAAATGGGAAAAGGACTGAAAGTGATATAGAAAAACCAGAACAAAATAACCAATTATTTGATTACATATGGTGATTTAGTTGCAAAATTGAGGGCACATTATGTAAATGATTCCATTGTGGATGATAACAATATAATTCATGGGGAGGGGTGGGGAAGAAAAAATTGCATTAAGCTGATACTGATGAGTACCAAAACGAGCAATTCCACCAAATCATATGTTCACCAAACAAAAATTGATCCACCCATGAAGCCCATAGAGTCAACTTATCAAGTCGATGATAGTGGCCCTACTTGTTACCTCTGCCAGAGGACCCAGGTTCTGAGTAAACAGAAGACATCAGGTTTTATTAGAATTTATTTTGAATCAGCAGGCAGCGAGTCTGAACTCAACTATATCCTGTCGCTTGAAGAAAGCTCCAATTTGATTTATACTGCTGTTCCTCTTGGTCCGATCTTGCCGCATCCTGTTTTCCCGCTTCGTAATTTCTTACCTGCTCGCTCATCTCTGCTTCCCCAGACCTTCCCTGTTCCTTATTGATTGCACTTGTAACGCTCTTGGCTGATCCCTCAGCTTTCCCAAATCTATCCATTCTTCTTTGTAACACCACCGAGCTTGAGCTTGGAATCAAGTGGAACAATCCCACTATGGCCTGTTTTGAGATGATGATTTTTTTTTCCATTGATGAGCAAGCTTATATGAAAATGCCACAGGCCGAAAGATACAGATAATGATGGACTCATGGAAGCTCAACTAAGATTACGTTGAAGGCAATAAGCATTGTTGTGTGTTGTGACTTTCAAAGCTTCGATTGATATAATTTGGGTGACTGAGGTAAAGTAAATGACATTAGTCACGTGGTAAAAAGCAAAAAAAGGAGGCGAGTCCAAAAGAATCGAGGATATAAGGCACCTTATTTGCAGCGAGTCTCTGAATGAAATGGCTGATTGCTCTGATACAGGACCTTTGTCTCTCTTTCTCTCGGATCTTTAAGGTCCCCTTTATAAGCTCAGGTCGAGCTCAAGATATGTGAGCATACCATCTGCGCTATCAACTTTGAAACAGATTGCATAAGCTCTTGAGGGGACGAGTTTTGATTTTGCTCACTCCAATACAATCCACATCACACGTTTCTTGGCCGGTCCTAGTACTTACTGATCCGAAGATTCGATCCAACACTGTTGGTGCCAGTGACGTTCAAGTGACGTTCATCAGTGTTGGTTCGAGCGAGCCTCAATTTTCATGTTATCTACCTGATACCTAGATTTTAGCTTCTCCCTCATTATTCGGTCTTATCGCGATTTCATTGTGATTTGATGATTGAAATTATATCACCAAAATGTAGGTTTGACAGGGATTTTCAGAACGCTTTTCTTGGCACACTTTGACTGCGAGAGCTTACGTTTCTATCAATCCAAGGTCATGGTGTTAATGCTGGCGGTGCTCAAGTCTGTGAGCTATGGGTTCATGGATGTAAAGTGATCAGGACTGCCATAGACTGCCACCCGTTGTCACAGGTTTCAGCTGCGCAAACCAAACCGCGACCTTGATGATAATCACCAAGGTGCCACCCACAATGTCTTTCAGACTCTGGGATGTTCACTTGAGTGCCAAAACCAATCAAACCACTCGACACAAGCTCTATGTTGGGCCAGGTGTTTCGGGTCTCTCGTTGAGACTGCCGGGCGCGGCCGACGGCCGAGCCCGGCTGTTTTTTTTTCTCACATGTTGGAGGCTTTTGCCTGTCTTAACTGCGCGACGAAGGCTTCGGCCAGATTGGTCGGCAGGCGCTCTAGCGGGGCAATGCAATTGTGGTTTGATTGACAGCAAGAAATGGTCAAACACAGCGGAGCCTTTTGTCTTTCTCATCGCTCTAGGACCTGGGTATCAGCAGTTTTGGGGACGCTGCTTGCGCCTAGGGGCATATCCCTTGCCTTGCAAGCTCCAGCCAAATGGCAGGAAGTGTTCCCCCACCCAAATCACTCAGCACTCCCATGTTCCAGTGTGGTCCTCATCCTAACGGTTCCACCATTAAAACTGTGGGCTTCAAATCTTATTGCAACCCACTTCAAACTTTTGACTATCCATCACCCCTGGCAAGAAATTTAAGGATATCGAATAGATCATTTGCTGTTCAGATGAATCAAGGTGCTGGAACAAAGCTTTCCAGCTTTGGAGGGACAATTTGAAAACTGGTGTTTCTTTTGCTAGCACAGTAGAATAAGAAGTCAAGTCTCTCAGTACAATCTAAAATTGAGAATGAAAGAATGGCATACCTAGCGCAGTAGAATAAGAAGTCAGGTCTCTAGACTCTATGTCTGAGCTAGGAGGGGAGGGGGGAATTTCAAGTCTAGATAGTCTTGAGGAGTTGAGATGGATTAGTAATCTAGTAGTTGTTGTTCTGGTGGAATCTGTGACATGGCAGGTTTCACAAGAAATGTCCTGTAAAATCTGTGATGTGACAAATGTGTCTGAGAAATCCAACCTGATTATGGCCGGAAATTCTATTAGACATATCTCCAGAAGAGCTGGGGTGGATTTCTGTCCAAATAGTGGCCTGCAATCACATTCCCCACCCCTGTCTCAGCTCTGTCACACTCCTCCAACAGCAGACTGGCAATAGGTAGAAGGGGGTGGTTGGCCAATTCACCAATGACTAGGCACTAGAGATGTTGCTCAATACCCAGGTACCTGCCTCAAAAATCCAATATTTTTGACACCCGCACCCGCACCCACACCTGCTAGGGCCGCCAGGGGCGGGTACCCGGGTACCTGCGGGTACCTGGCACATTTTTGCAGGCAAATATACCCAGAATTCTCACCCCTGAATTGCTGCATGACTTGGTAAATATAAGATTGATATTCACTAGATATATGAGTAAGAATAAAATAAAAATAAAGAAAAAAAGAAAAAAAATATTCTATCACCAATTTGAATTTTATCTTCTTTCCAATCTATCTTTAGCTTTACCCTTTTGCTTGGCCTCACCTGCCTTATTCAATTTCCATTGATGAGGACTGTACACCGTCTTTATGACTGGAGGAATTCCTCCAGTCATCAAGACTGTACACCATCTCAAAGGCCGAAGGGAACCCTCCGGCCTCAACAAAGCAACCATATTAGTTCAGAAACACATGTAGGGCACCACCTGGTGTCCTACATGGGTTGCTGACACCTTTGTGCAGCCCAACACACCCAAAAAAGGGAGTGTTGGACCACCAATGACAAATTAAATTCTTCAGGGGAAGCATTCCCTGGGCGGGTGTAAGGCAGGTACCCGGGTACCTGCCTTTTTTTGCCGCAGATGTTGACACCCGCAACCGCACCCGCACCTGTTTTTACCACAAATGTTGACACCCACACCCGCACCCAAACCCGTTTCCGGGTACCCGCTTTGGAAAACAGGTAACCGCAAACGGGTACCTGCCAACATCTCTACTAGGCACATCTGCAGACACATCTTCACAATGAATCCTATGGATTAACTCAATTGGTTTTTTGAAAAATTGTATTTGCTGTTCTTTTTCTCTTATGTTCAGAAACAAGTATTAATCTTCATAAAAAATGAAAGAGTGAGAAAAAAAGAAAGATTGATATTGAAAGAGAGAGTGATATTGAGAAAACAATCTAAAAAGCTGAAAGAGTGAGAAGAAAAGAATGATTGATATCAAAAAAGAAGAGCAATATAAAAAAAGGGGGTTAGTATTACAACTCCCAAAATTTAGTCAACAACACCCAACAACTGTTGAAAGACATCCATTGGAGGTTGTTCCTCCAAATGGATGGCTAACTTTAGCAGTTGGCCATCAAAGTTTTTTTATTTTTAAATTTTCTGGGAGTCGGCTCCCTGTCAGCCACAGAGTACATATCACATTACCTTCCATTTGTCGATTAACTGCAACACCTTTACATATTTACATATGTACATATCCATACAGTTGTTTATGTTTACCTCTTTTTATCTTATTATTATTTTTATCTTGTCTTAATTTATCATATTCATATCTGTATTATTCATCCTGATTACATATGAACTCAAAAGTATTGCATTATCTTTTAATTACTTATCAATTACCCGCCCCGCCTTGGAACGTGGGGCGGGGCGGGTTGGGCCACAATTCCAAAAAGTATGCCCAAACCCGCCCCGGCTTTTAGACAGTCGGGCTCGGGGCGGGTCTCGGGTCTGCCCATCAACAAGGGTTTTTTTTGGCCTGAGTATCATTCAGTGACCTTCGGTCACTCAAGCGACTGAGCTGGTAGGTCGTGCTTCCATTGCATGATATCGGGCATGGGGCTTTCCTTGCCCTTGGACTTGGTCTGCTTTTTTGAAACTTTGAATCTAGGGGGCATAATGATGTCGATGAGATATGCAGCAAACAGTGTGTATCCAGGTACTGACCATGGTTATGGGATTCTGGGCCCTCAAACCTAATAATATGTACTGTGAGTACACATTATTAGGTTAATTCTGATGATAGTCAGAATTAATCGGGCTTTTCATGGGCCGGATGGGCTGGCCCACATCCAGGAAAGCCTGCCCAAACCCGGCCCATGAATTTGGTGGGTCTCCGCGGGCCGGGTCACACTTGAGTATTTTTCCACCCTTTCCTGTCCAAACCCGCCCCGAGACCCGCCGGGGCGTGGGTAGCCCATGGGCGCCCGAGCCCATTGACAGCCTGAGCTGCCCCTCAGCTCATGAAGGAGTGGAAAAAAAAGGCGTCAGAAGAGGCTTGGGGATGGGAAGCCCAATTTTCTGATTCTTTCAAATTGACTGTAGAGAGGAAAATAGAAAATCCAATGAAACACCACTAGGGGTTTTTTTTATCCTGTGTCTTTTTTAGTTTTTGATTTTTTTTTCCTCTATGTCCTTTTTTACCCTTTTTTTTTCTTACTTTTCTGATCATTTTTGAATATTTTTGGCCCGTTTGTCATCTCTTTTATCTCTTGCAATGGTTTTTCTCAATCAATCTAATTTTTTTATCATTGATAAATTGCCTTTGGGGTGGGGCCTCAGTGGCTCAACCTTTTTTTGGAGTCTCTGAGGGTGCCATATGGTGACGACTCCCATTTCTAGTTGGACCACTCCCGTCTTTTTTTAATATAGAAAAAAAAAGGCAAAACATTTGGCGGAATTGGTGTGACGACTCCCTCGCATTAGGTGGACGACTCCCGTCAATTTAAATATAAAAAAGGGCAAAATATTAGGCGGAATTGGTGCACCAACTCCCACACTTTAGGCGGACGACTCCCTATTTTTTTTAATAAAAAAAATGAAAATTCTCCAGGTAAAATTAGTGCGACTACTCCCTATGTTTTTTGGGAATTGGAAGAACGACTCCCGTTCGACGACCTCCCGACCGAAACGGGAGTTGTCGACTAAAATTTGGGAGTCGTTTTTCCAAGCCCCAATAAATATGTACTAGTGTTGAATATTGTTCATCAATTGTTGATAGAATTGATAAATTCAATACAAGTACTGATCCCAATAATGACTTCATTATCAGAGGATCAGACAATGTGTACTCATAAATAGCTACTAGTACAATGATCCACTAGTACACAATTATGATGTCACTTACTGATCACTACAATTAATGATCAGTCACTCAATTGATGTGCTCATTCCCCTGGCCAAAGATCCCTTGGTTCTGAGCCCTTATTCTTTCCCTCCTTCAATATTCTGGAACATATAATCCATGCCACTTTCACTGATTAATCCCCAGAATATTCAGACACCAGTTTAACACAATTAACACTTATTTTGATACATTACACATAAATCAACTTAAATCAAGCTCTTATTTGTTGTTCTTAAGCCACAGTCAACAACTCTACTTATCCACTGCGCTCAAGACCTTGCTGAATATTTCATTAACACTTCTGATAACGTTCAACAATTTTGTTAAAGCTTATCACTTATTGTTAGTCCTTTCCCTTTGGGAAATAACCAATCAGTATTATTACCTTGGATGCCTATTAATACCTTGTATTGATCTGGAATCAGGATGCACTGTTGATAGCAAGCGCCTCAGTATAGACCAAACTGATAGAGTGAAATCTCCTATATACAGGGCAGGTATTAACCACCCAGTAACTGAAGCTCACTGTGGTACCACTCATCAACCTCCTAGTAACAAACTTTCTTAATCAAATACTCAAGCAGTTATCCAGAGGCTGACACTCCCCAAACCACCCCTCATGCATGGGGGGGTTTGTGGTTTGGGGAGAAAACTCACAAAAATAAAAACTTGATCAATGGCCAACTCCCAAAGTTGGCCATCCATTTGGAGGAATGACTCCCACTGGATGTCCATCAATGGTAATTGGATGTCATCAACTAAATTTTGGGAGTTGTAAAACTAACCCCCCCCCCCCCAAAAAAAAAAAAAACCAACAAAACTGAAAGAGTGAGATCATTATGAACAAAAGTAGACTGATGTCAGAAAAGTACTGTTTCTTTTATTGGGCTTGCACAAGACTGATTGGATTGCATTTGGAAATGATTTTATGGAAGGGAGTACAATTGCTGTTTGGGAGTCTTAGCTAGTTGTCAAAGTTGTGCATAAGTTGTGGATTGATCAGTATGGTGTTGTGCTGGTGTGTGTTGTGAGAAAATCACAGTGAGGAGGGGAGTAGCCAGTCTCTTGCAAGGCAGCTATTGCCTTGGGTTTTCAGCTGGGGGTAAGGTGGGGTTCAATTGGTCAAGGGCCTATTTTCTTCTCTGCTGGACCCTGAAATTTTCAAGGAAACCAGTGATTTGGGCTGAAAATTGCCCAGTTGAGGCTCTACTGGAGATGCTTGTGGGATCCATGTGAGGAGGGAAAGCTTAAGTAGGACTCCACAGTGGGAGTGGTAGAAAGCAGTGGATCTGACCATACCAGTGGAGGCCTATGCCTTAAGTCACAAGGGCTGTGTGGCAAGATTATAGATTTGGGCCTGAATCCCTTTTTTAATTTACATTGTGTGTGCACACTTTTTTGTTCTCATTCATTGAATTTACTTCACAGGAATGGAATGCCTGCTTCTTCTATATTTTACTGTCTTCTCCTTTTGTTTTTGAACTTCTGAGTTTATTTGCAAGTATCTTTCAAAATGACAACTTTTGCTGGCTTTCTATAGTGTACGCAGTTGATCAAACTTCTCAAACAAGCCTAAAAAAGTTCGCAGTGTGATTTTATAAAATCATTATCAAATCACAACAGGCTGTAGCTGTTTTGAGTTTTGGTCAGATGGAAGCCAACATGAATCCCATCAATAAAAGCCAACCAAACATCAAAAGGGTTGGGAGGAGCTCACGTGGTTGCAACATGAAAGTTGCTCCCACCAAAACACATCATTCTTGGCATGGGAGTGTGTTTACCTTGGCTCAAGTCTCCCCTGCAGGGAGTTCCCCTCACTTAACTAACTCCCTTCCCTTTCTGGTTGGAGTGGTAAACCACTTGTCGCATTGCGCTGACCAGAGGGAGGGACTTAGGACTCAGGAGCAAGGTCCACCCCGTGACCTGAGAGCATTAAGGATTTTGGTGGGTGTTTTTCTAGAATCAATCTCACACAAATTTGGTTGATTTTTTCCCTCTAGTTTCAAATTGGGGGTTCTTTCAAGCTGTCCCCATCTATTTACTAATTTCACTAATGGTAAACATATCTCCTTCATTAATCATGATTGTAACATTTCCAATTTCAGATACTGTACAGCTCAAAATGTGTGATGAAGGATGAGACAGGAGAATTGTAATCACCAAAAATGAAAGTTGAAAGCCACCCAAGGGCCTAGAAATCTAGAAAAGTATGGAATGATTCTCATCTTTTGCCTCCCCAAAACATAATCATCAGCCAAAAAAGGTGCTGCTACACACAATTGAAAAATGTGGATTTCCTAATTCTCTTAGGCCATGGGCTTGACTTAGCGCATAAGTCCCTCATTCAGAGGGTCCCTGCGGGACACTGTCCCCCCTCCAATAGGGGAACTTGGTTAAGTTAGGGAGTTCCTTTCCCTTTGGGAACTGCCTGGCCAGCACTACGCTGCCAGATGTGCCCCCCACAGCAGAGACTTGAGATAAGTTTGTGAGGAGGGGGACTCTTGGCACAAGTCCCTCCCTGTGGAGCATAACAATGCCTCTCAGTGATAGCCCCGCAGGGTCTCTGTCTCACAGGGAGGCATACCCCCAAAGGTCAAAATCTGACGTGGATCCTGACCAGACACAGGCCCCAGAATACCCAACTTTCCACTTAAAACAAATGAATGAGAAAAATAATAATTATTTTTTTTGAGTGAGTGAGCAGCCTTGAAGGCTGTGGTATCTTGTGCACCCATTGATGCCTCTACTGTAAGTAAGTCCTACATGATGAGGACTAGACACTGTCTCAAAAAGCATCAATCTGTGTTTAATCAATTTCTTAAATATGGGATGATTATTTGATTAGGCACCCATATTGGACTGTATCCTACCTGCACACAGAGAGACCCATGAATACATTGCAGTACACATCATGGCTGATTCAAAAGTTACAACACTGAACAAATTCCCATCAGCATCTGCAGGTCTCCCAGAGCCATTTTGGAGCCTCAAAATTCAAATATCTCTGCAAGAATCAAGAATTTTTGGGTCTAGACCAACTTCTGCAAGGGTCCCAGATCCAACAGGAAGTCCTCCAGTAATCTGATAATTGAAACAACCACATAACAGGCTAGATTGATAGGCTGTCTTTTCATGCACTTAATCAGGGGGTCATGCATTTGGGCAGATTGTACAGATGTATTGCATTTTCAAAAATGGAGGAGGCCCTGAAGGTACAGTGCCCCGGGGCTCTTCTGTGCTACCCCCTCAGGGGGTGTTCCAAATTTCCAAAACAAGATTTTCATTTTTTTTTTGGAATTTCCAGTTTAGTTTCAAAAAAAAACCTGGTTTTCTCTTGTTTTTTCCTCAGTATTCTCACTTTTTTTTCCCTATGGATGTTGTGGTTTTGATTTTTGATGTGTTTTGTACACCTTTTATTGCTCCAGATAACTGATCCAATGGCTTTTCTTTTTTATTTCTCATCTAATATGCACATAACACCTGTATATATGCATACTACATACTGAGTAAATCCATAGTACATACCTAGGACTCCATATTGTGACACTCCTGGGTGGATGTTCCAAATCTGAAAAAAAAATTGAAACTTTTTTTTTATTATAGCTACTGAGTTGTGGTTATAGATTTGGGTTCTACCACTTATGTAGAGCCCAAAAGCATATAGTACACATATGTAGGCTCACTTGAGCAGACAAACATACCAGTCAAAGTTCAAAAATAATTTTGCAGGTGTGGGGTTACAGCCAAACCAGCAATGCTTGCAACTTTTGACAAAAAAAATAAAAAGTTGGACTTGCAAAGAAAAACTTTTTGGCTTGTGGGACAGTATGCAAGGTGGGAAAATCAGGACAACTCAACTATCTGCTATCACACAGTGAGAGTTCTGACAGGCAGCCAACTGACATTTCAATTGTTTTTTGTTTTTTTTTTTTGCTCAAGCAAACTTTTATTTTTTTTGTAAAAAGTTGCAAGCATTGTTGAGTATGCTGTACACAGAAGAGCCCCGGGCAAGCCTAACTAGGCCTCCACGGCGGGAGCGGGAGCGATCAGCGGAGCTGTCCACGCCAGTGGAGGCCTAGAACAAATGTGGCAATCCCCGCGTGGTGAGTTTTCAAAATTGGGCTTGAAACCTGTTTTTTTGTGTATTTTTCTGACTACACTCTTCTTCATCCACATTTATATAATTTCCTTCTGGACCAAGAAGGGTCTGCTTCTTGTCCACATTTCCCTGTGTTCAGTTTTTTTGATTTTTTTTGTTAATCATTTACAGAAAGGTTTTGACAACATTGACTTTTCAACTCAGGTTGACTTATTTTGGTGGGCCCAAGTTGAGCAAACCCCACATTTGAGCTCAAAAAAAAGTTCAAATCTTAATTTTAGAAAATCAATCTTAATTCCAGTTGTGGTGTACAACTTCTGGGTTTGGGCTGGATCAATAGGATCATCTAGCCCTTCAAGAATTCCGGGCCAAACATCCATAAACTTTTGAGGGAGCTGTTATTGGATGAGTGAAAGAGTCAAAGAGGGAAAGACTCAATGAGTTTGTATTTCTGGATGAACAAACTCAGACTATAAATAGTAAAGAAAATATGCTACAAATGAGGTAAAAACAGTAGAAAGCTATTCTAATCTGGACTGGTGAAAGCACGGAAAGATACAAGCATGAATAAGAAAATATGCTAATAAAGAGTTTGAGAAAAAACAGAGAGCTACAATACATGAATACTAACAGGAGCGTCATGATTGCAAATCTTGTGACACTCCCACCAAAACAGGAGATACTCAGCACCTGAGTTCGTCGACCTCTGGCCCAAGTCTCCCCTGCGGGGAGTTCCCTTCAGGAACCGCCTGGCCAGCGCTACGCTGCCAGATGCGCCCGCCGCAGCTGGAGACTTGTGATAAGTTTGAGCCCTGGGGCACTGTACATCCCCTGCAGATGACTGAAAAAAAATCCAGTCAAATTAAGGGGTATGCAATCTTCAAGGCCAGATGCCAAGCTTCAATTTGGCCAAAGGGGGGGGGGGGCATTTGGCCCCCAGGATGCTGATGTAAGGTGGTGCTGAAGTTGGGCTCCTGCCAAAACTGGCAAAGTGCAGTTCAGGATCCAAGCCAAAATTGGTTGATAATTCCCAAGCTCCTCCTTTGTAAGTTCACCTCCCTGCTCTTAGCAAGCTTGTACAGCCTCTCCGTCAAACGCACAAAGTGCGGGAGAGGCTTGAGCCCAAAACGAACATGACTGGGTGTCACAGTTGAGTTTTTTGGCTGTTTTTTGCGCCAAAAATCATAGAAAATCCAGCTTTTGGATTTCTTGAAAGCTGAGATGGAGTGAAGATGCCCAACATGGAGGTCTTGACTTCTATCAAGAAACTTTTGGGAAAAAATGAAAACTACACAGTTGAAAAATTTTAAAGGAAAATTTGCCCAATGGCAAATTGGCTGAGCTTACATAAGCCAGTTTCAATCTCACTGCCTAGGGTTGCGACCCGGCCCCTGATTTGCGTGGCAGATACCCGGTCGGATACCGGGTTCCGACAAGATCAAGGACAACCGAAGAGACACTTTCTATTGGATTGGATAGCCGATTACAAGAGTCTGCTATCCGAGTACCATCTATCTCTGTGAAGAGAGGTGTGGTCAATTGATTCCTGGATCCGAAACGGCCGGGTCGCAACCTTATCACTGCCTACCATGTGAGAACATTTTCTCAATTTGACCAACTTAAAAAAGATCCACCTCATCCAATTTTCAAGATGAAGTTCTGAAAATTGGATGAGGTGAGAGGCATCACCAAGCACCAAAAGCTTGTCTACTCAAATCACCAATAGCTGGTGATGTAAATGCTGTACATCCAGCTCAATGTGCGTTACACCAAAAGTGCCCAACCATGACACGCGGGCCTGTTCGTGTTTGTCTCAAGTCCCTCCTTCGGAGGCTCGCGCTTTGCGCGAGTGGCATTCCACGCCAGCCAAGGCCACCAGGCCCTCCGAAGCGAGGGACTTTGATAAGTTCGTGCTCTTAGCACACTGCAACAGGGGCAAGGCCACTACAGTTGCGCGCGGCATTGTACTGTACAGGATTTTGGGATGTCCGAATGGTCGGGACCCAAAATTTGGAAAAAATTGATTTTTTTTGTTGAGTTCTGGGGTGTTGAGACGTCAATCTGACATCCACGCTGCTGTAATCGAGCCAGCTGATGCACTTTTGAGCATATACACATTGGCTTTAAGCTTATGTGTATGGACTTAGGCTGACATATAGCCATACAAGTATGGGTCTATGGTGTCAGCCTATTGCATATTTATGTACTTAGGCCCCCATATTTGGCCTGTGACCGAATGGTCCGGTGAAAAAAAGAATTTTTTTTTGTTTGGCTGGACCAAATTGGTTGCCGATTTAGATTTGGAATCTACACACCTTGTAGACTCCAAAAATGTGTTCTTTACAGGTGCTGGACCCCCGTCGGGGGTGAGGATCAACCCCGCGCGACCTAATCAACATTTGCGGGTGGCCTTGTACACCACGGGCCGCGTCAGGCGGCAATTCAACCCCATTTTTGGCGTCGGTTTGTCTCGATCTGACCCCGCCGGGGTCGACTCCACAGCAGAGGTCCAAAGGGAGACCCGCCTGACTCAAGCGTGCGCGGACGGTCAATCTGCGCCGGTTATGTAACCGTCAACACACCGCGGGTCAAGATGCAGGCGGTGATGACGGTTAGGACGGTTGACGGGCAAACTTGACGGGCAAAAAACGGTCAGGCGGATGGTTTTGGGACCGCAGTTTGTCTTCCACGTCAGGAGGGTCCAACGGTAAACCTGGATGACCGTTGGAATGAATAGCAGAAATGTGGCCGGGCCAGGCATGACCGGACAAATGACCGCCTGTTGGTGCGGCAATGCCGACGTCGTGTCGGACAACGGCTGAAAAATGAAAAATCATAACGATTGGTTTTTTTGGGTTGGTGGGGGGGGGGACCGGGGGCCCCGCCAGAAAAGGTGCGGCACAAGCGGGCGCGTATTTTTTTACTTATTTTTTTCTTTTCAGCACAGATAGACATCAATTACTAGATACAAGCTTTTTTAGGATTTTGTATTTTCGGATTTTTGGGGTTGAAATGGATCATGTTTGCACAGCACAGTCGTTTAAGAAGTATGGAAGCGAGGAATGGTAATCTTGAGGCTGATGTTAATCTTCAGGTCGAGGGGTTAAGGCTGCAGAAAGAGCTAACAAGACGCTCTTTGGATTGGGTAATACACTGATGAGAACTATCACAAGATGCAAATGGCCGATGGCTTGAGTTGGCCTAGCGAATGAGTGGTGACGATTCAACATCTTCATCGGTCGGGAGGCGCACAGTTTCGGGTGGGATGTCCTTGAAGGGTAACGACCCAAAGAGCTCGCGGTCTTTGATCAGGACCATTTCGCTAAACCTGTGGCGGCCAGCCGAATGTGTCAGCAAAATGATCAGGAGGAAGTGGGGTGCACAGACTTACGTGCGTTGATAAGCAATTCTCTGCCTGGAGACATGCTCCAGGCGACTATCGATGATTTCCCAAATCGTCATTGAATTGAGGGGCTGGGGACTGACCAAGTTCTCCGCCATAGCTAGCCTCAAGAAGGCGATTCGGATCTTAGTGGTGCTATTGTAAGCCTGGCAAATGGCTCCGACGGGCCGAGGACGCCCACGGGAGGCCATTGCCCGGTCGATCTGAAAGGTGATCAAGTCAGCGGGCCATACTGCAAAGGCCCAAGTAAGTAGATGTAGAACTTACTATAACAATAAGGTCCATAAGAGGAGGGACTGAGCCTTCAATCGAGCGTCGGCCATATGCCTTGATGTTGGTCAACAGCTGACAAGGGATTTGTTAGCCAACCAGACCACATGGTATGTTAGCGCGGACTCACCAAATTTCGGAGTTGGCCTCGTTCATGCTTCAAAAGAACACGCATGAACCTCATCACCGTGAGCTGGGCCGATTGGTCTTCGGGATATCCGGCTGGGAGGAAATCGCCCCAAAATGCAGGGTCTTGGGCATCGACATGTGCCTGATGAGTGGTAATCATGTCATTAGTACGGAGAAGAGAAGATGAACACAACTGACTTACTCTCAAGATGAGCAAAGGAGTGCGTTCTATAGCGCGTCCTTGGGAGTTGATGTTTTGAGTGTAAGCGTCAACGTTGTGGGTGGTAAGGATTTGGCGGATCCTATCGCGGAGGAAACCCTGAGAGAAATGATGGGATGAGAAGTAGTCGGATAAGCAACAGGCCATTGAACAAGTTAGGGGATGCATGGGCTGACTTACTCGGATGTGGTTCCCAAATGTGAAGTTTGCCGCGGCCAAATCGATCGGGGCAATCAAACCGGCGGTGGGGGTAGCCTGAAGTCTGCGGAGCGTTTCGAGGTAGATGACGGTGGTGAAGTGGCCGGTAGCAATGCCTTCTGACTACAGATAATTAAGACCAAAATCAGCAGGTGTGAAATCCTAAATGTGGCTGGGAGATGGGTCACTTACAGCAAAGATCCGACGGGCAAAGTCCATTGTATTTTCTCGCGAGAATACAGTATCCTGCAAGATCCTAAGGAACTCCAGAGGATCGTCTGGAAGTTCGGACAAGTCGGATTCAGATTCCGGATCAATATCTCGTCGGTGGTCAGCCTGGTGACTGGCATCTGGCGGGTTAGCACCCAGCTGAGTGCCAAAATTGTCATCGTCACGCATGTCGATGTCAGTGGGTTCAGGGGTGGCCTCGCCACGCAACATGGGGTCAAGAGACTCTGCAACAAATGGTTTAATCGGTCGTACATATCTACATGACTAAATGTAAGTTGCAATCACTCACCAAAGTTCATGTTCAGTGGGTGATGGGATTCGGCGAGGTGGACACAGAGGCGTCAGCAGTCGTGGATACGGTTGCTAGGGGTAGGAGCAGTGGAGAGGGGATTGAATGGGTAGTCAGAAAGCGGTGGCAAGGCAGCAACAACAAACACAAATGAAGTGATTGGTCATTTAATAGAAGGGATGGGAGGCAACAGATGAGGATAATCATCAGCCAATTCAAAAGCAGTGTTGAAGCAGGGGGGAGATGGCTTGCCTGAAACAATTGAGCGCTTTCGGGATTGAACAACTGCAGAATGAGGGAATTGGGGCAGTGCAAAGGGGGGGATGAAGAGGTGATAAATTGGACAACACCGCCCCTTATGAAGAGCGGGGGAGCTGGCCTTTGCAGGGCGGTGAATGAGAACGCGCTCACCATGATGGAAAAATCACTCCCAGAGTCGATGTTGAAGATAAAAAGCGCTCGTCTGTGGTGTGGTCCCCCAAATCATCATCCTCACCGTCTGCAACTCGCCCAGTGTGGTCTCTTATCAATTAACCGCAAGGATCGGATTAGCTTATTTCTCATCTCTGAAGCGTTTGGAATTGCCGAAATGGATGCCGATGATCCACCTTGTGAGTTCAAAGGTCCCCTTGCCCCCCCCCCAAAAAAAAAACATTAGCTGAAAAAAGACTCACCTTGCGGGCCGCCTGCAGATTTTAAGGTTGGCCGAGACGCATTTGGGAAGAAGCATTTCTCCTGCTTGCTGTGCGGAGGGAAAACGATGTTAGATTACCGACCCCATACACTGTTGCCAAAACATCAGCAAATGGTTAGAGATTATGAGGTAACAACAAGACGCACCTTGGAACCAGCTTCAAATCCCGGGCAGCCAAGAGAGGATGAAGTGAATTTGTGGACGAGTGTTGCCAATGAGTTGGCCTTTGAGTCGGGCACTCTGCATGCGGATCCCAGGTCTGATGAGGAGTCGGATGCTTCGGACTTGCTGATTGTAGCACGCAACACGTCATTGACCCTCTTCAATCCTGCCGACGACGAGTCTTCAGATTCCGAGCATGAGATGGATTGGGATGATGTCCTGTTTGAAACCGTTCATCAGCTTGGGCCGGGCAATCTTGCTGATCCTGCCGATCGAAATGCCAGAAGTCTCGCCGAAAGATGGTATCCGTTTAGGTCGCAGGCGGTAAGCCAGCCTGGAATTCACAAATCAGCCACTTCTTCACCCCAATGGGATCCAAGAAAAAAAAACTTACATTGCGTTTTCTCCAATCCAGGACGTTTTGGGCGCTTTGATTCATGGATATATGCGCCATGTGATGTCTCGAGCGGAGTATGCACAACTCCGACTGATTTTGTCGCTGGCAGAACTGGAGCTTCCTCACTGGAACACTTTGCGCAGTGGGAGGTTACGCATCCGCAACTTATTAAGAATGGAGATCACCCACAGTGAAAGCATTCTCCACAACCAATGTTACTCCCTGAACATTAAGCAATTATTGGCAAATGTCAGTTTATTCCTGGTCTGAAGAACCCATGTCTCCACCTGACAGCTAACATAAACAAGGTCTGGTGGTTCTTAGGACTTGGCCAATCCCTATGTCAATCCAAATTTAGAGTTTTATCCACACTTTACTGGTGGGCAGAATGTGTTCAAAATGTCACAAAGTGCCAAGTGGCGTGAAGACCTCAGTCCAACTCTCCGAGTGCCCATGGCAGAAGCAAACAACAAGCACTGGTACATTTTTGAACCGGTTCAACTGCACAGCCGACATGTGGTGGTGCCAATCTTTTTCTTCATGGAGAACAACAAAATCTTGGCTCGATGTGTGAAAGCAGACATATCCCAACAAGGACCAAAGAAAATCAAGATCACTATTCCATCTAATCTGGATTTCAATTCCAACCAGTTGAGGAATGTCCATCTCAAAGATTTTGCATTGACTTACGACGAGATACATATTGGGTCTGCTGGAAAGCTTGCTGAAGCATGCAGCAATGAACTCTATGGTATGTGTTTGTCCATGAATTTACACCACAGTGGACACTGACTTGACTGAAATGCGTAGAATATGGTCAAAAAGAAAAGGCCCACACACTTCCCAATCCGTGGCGGATCAAGGCCTCAGGAATGATTATTAGACACATGCCAATCAATTTATATGCCGACGACACATCGGGTAATGTTTCCAAGAGATACAACAAACACATTTCATTCTACTTTACTCTGTCAGGATTGCCACCAAAATACTCCAACATGGAGTACAATTGTCATTTCCTATCTACATCAAACACTGCAGGTACTTTGGAGCTAGCCAATCAGATAGTGGATCAGATGAAGTAAGCCTCCTGTCTTATCCCTGAGGGAAACTTTCATTCATACACCCACCCCCAAATGAGAGGCTGACATTGTGTACTGCAGTGATTTAGCCACTGATGGGGTTATTGCATACGACGCAAGTCTGGGCAAAAATGTCTTAGTGATGAGTTTAGTTTTATGTTTTCAGGCGGATTCTCCGATGCATGCGGAGATTACCAGTACACCTGTTCCTGGCGTATCTTTAAACCCATGTCGCATGTGTGGGTTGAAAACCTCCTCACTGGATGATAGAAAGACACCCAATTATGTCTGTCAGTTCCTGGGACTCAACTCCCAAGGTGAAAAGGTAACCACTTATTACCTGGGACTTAATATGCTGTGTGCTTAACTAATCATGTGTATGGTCATGATGATTCAACTCAGGTTAATTTCCCACCACGCACTTGGGCAGGAACCATTGAAAATGCCAAAAAAATATGGAAGATGGGCAAATCAGGTGCCCAAAAAAAATATGAAGATCTGGGGACCAAGCATGGGGTCTGTGATTCAATCAACCGCCAGATGGTTGAAAATATTCGTGGCAAAAATAAAGCTGAGTGGAAGTCAGAAGTGGAAGCTACAGAGAAGGACAATGATGAGAGACTATTCAATCCCATTTACAGACTGAAAGGTACACATTGAATTGAATTGAATTGACCATTCTTACCATTGAATACATTTAACTGATTGATTCCCCCTAAATTTATGTAGGTTTTGATGGTTGCAAAGACACTCCAGTTGAGGTACTCCATGTCTTCCTGCTTGGTGTAGTGAAGTACATGACCCAGGACTTCATGAAGGGATTGAAGGTGTATCAAATATCTGAACTGATTGTGAGGTGGGAAGCCTTCAACACGGATGCCCTCAACCACCCTTCCATCAGCCCTTCTTACGTGGTCAAACACTATAAGAGCCTCATTGGAAAGGACTTCAAGATCATCCTCCAGGCTGCCCCTTTTGTCTTTTTTGACTTCATGAGCACAGCTCAAAAAGGCCACTGGTTTTCCCTCTGTATCCTATCCACATACATATTCCAATCTAACATTGCTGACATGGCCACACACTTGGCTGATCTCCGCAAGTACATAGATATCTTTCTATTTCACACCATCCAACAGTCGGCCAGATGGGTCAACAAACCCAAATTCCACATGTTATTGCACTTGCCTGAGTCCGTGGAGCGCTTTGGGCCTGCAGGATTGTTTGCCACAGAACAATTTGAAAGCTTCAACAAGATATTGCGGTTGGCGTCCATTCACTCAAACAGACACAATCCAGGGAGGGATATTTCAATCAGCTTTGCCGACTTTGAATGTTTGCGAGCCATTTTCTCTGGAGGGCGCTTGATCAATCACAGATCTGGTCAGACCTTCTTTGCCAGTCCTAATGTGACCAACATCTTCAGGGACAACACCCTCATTCAGAGGTCCATGGGTTATAATGATAACATGATAGCGGATTCCAATGTCTATCCTATGGAGATGATAACTCCAGTACCCAAAGAGGAGAAAGAATCCCCCCCACACTACCTACAGGACCAATTTTCTGGATATCACTTTACTCAGGTCCATCAGCTGCACATCAATTCCAAGGATGTTTGCAAGAAGGGATACTTTGTTGTTGTAAGTCTAACATACCAAGAGGACCCAATACCCTGTGATTCCTTATCACTAACTCTTGGTGACTATCCAAAAGATTTTCCCCAGGAACAAATCCCCAAAATTCATTGGGCGCGTGGAATCTATATGGAAGGGACAATCCCAAAACCGCAAGACTTTATACGTCAAAATCACACGATTTCAAGTTAAATCCGTCGACCAGTTCTACAATATGACCGCACTTGTAAATGAGAAGAAATTTGAGTTTTATTTGGCCTCAGTAGGTTCCTCATCTCCTCTCCCTTAGATTATCCACCAACCTGATTGCCTACTGAAACACAAATTTTCCCCTTTGTTTCCAATTCTCCAGGAGGTGGCTGGATGTCTCAATGTGCAACATGATTGCCATCTTGGGAAATGTATGCCAGACAAAAACAATAAGAGGAAATTTGGCCCAGAGGAAGCAGCTCCATCTAAGGAAGCTGTTAAACATCAAGATGACAATTCTTATATAATCAATTCTGCTTCTTTGCACTCCATTCCTCTGCGTCAACAATTCTCCAACATGACCCGCCCCCCAATCACCCCAAAGGCCTGGACCAAGTGTGTTCAGGATGGGCTCAAGAATTGGTTTGAGCCTTCCAAAGGCAAGGCCAAGGCCCCAAAGGCCTCACAAGTAGCATCCACTTCACAAATGATGTTGGATTAGTGATATCATCTGATTGTTAGCTTAGACTGCATCTGTTTCTCAAATCTGGCCTGCTCTATTTCATATCTTATGGCCATTATCCTTCTCTGCAGTTTGTAACAGTATCTGACCCATGTTTTGACAGATTAAATAGACAAGCTCCATTGCCATCACAATTTGTACTACTATCACCAGACCCATGCTGTGAACACTGACACACTTGTTTCATCTATTGACTTGTTATCTGAACAATGTATTACTTAGTTTCTCTTGACTTCAGTCTCCTCCCATTGACAATCAATCCAGAAATATTGACATGGAATATGCCTCTGCAACTCATATAAAAGCCCCCAGAATTTCATGGGTAAGTTTCTGAGAAAAATCCAAGTTGACTGGTTTGCAAACAGGATGATGTAAGAATCTGCAAATCATTTTTAGGTGAAAAATGAGCGGAGTGATAAGTTTTATGTATAAGATTATGGGATCAACTAAATACAAAACCCCAAATCTTTGGCATTAGGTAATGGATTGTACTGTAGGACTAAGTGTTGGTTTAGTGCGGGGTGCTATTATAGAACAATGTGAAATAAGAATCCACATATTCTTCTTCTTGCTGATTCTCGCGCTGAAACTCATCATAATGTGCATCTCTCAATTTTTTATCTTCTTGAGAAATGTGCTGAAGAAGCTCATTCAATCTTATTCGTACTTGCGCATGGTTGATGTTCAAATCTGCTCGCTCCCGTTCTCGACGAAGGACCGAAGATGCCACGCGTGCTTGCAAATCCATCCGAGCCACATGTATTAATAAATATGCACATTCCGCCACATCTATTGGGGGCTTTTGTGGAGGTTGGCCAAGTAAAGGGGCCACGTTGACCAATCGCGGATGTTCAATATCCTCTTTCATCTTCAAGAACAACTGAAAGAATCGTGTGAGCTGCTGGATCTAATTTGGCGGGTGGGTGAATTGAACTGACCGTAGATGACATCCCTCTTCTTTGAATGCGCTGTTCAACCGCGTCGCCCAAGTCCGAGGTATCCAAAGTGAGTTGCTCTGCCACTTCCTACAAAAAGTGGCAGTCTGGTCAGTGCAGAAACATTCCCAAAGTGGCCATCAGCTGCTGCTTACCATCCATCGACCTATCAATTTTTTGTACTCAGACCTGAGTTCATGAATATGAATGGATCAAAGACGAGGGAACCCCGCGGCCGTCTCCAGGTATCCTTTGATGTATTGGTTCATGAGGTCTTGCGTGCCGGGTCCGCCCGCTTCCGCCATTACGTGAGCATGTTTGTCGCTCCATTGACGCACAAATCCAACCAGGTCGAGATGCAAGTCTTCTTCCCACCTGAACTCGTCGGTTTCGAGTGAGTTAAGCCGGGGTCAAATGTGAGCGGCCTCAATTGGACCGGTTGGCCCATGGTTTGATCTGGGAGAACTGTCCCCACGGGCCCGTTTGTGAGTCGCGACATCTTCTTCGTCTTTGGGTGAGCTGCTTGAGGCGAGTTGGTCCAAGTTTTCCGATGTGTCGACTGAGGAGACCATCTTTCTGGACGGATTTGATAGGGATATGACTTGTGGGTGCCCCACCGAAATTCTGAGCAACTTGAAGGCCTGCCGTGTCTAACCGGTGAAGCCCCCCCCCTCACAAAAAAGCAAGCCCATTGAGAGTTATTTATGTTAGTGATTTTCATGATTAGCTCCCAGCATGTCCAATTTCATACGCAATGAATCCAATGTCCAAGCGGTCTTCAGATGGCTTTGACATTGGCTTTTTGATGTCTGCACAACTGCGAGTCACACATTGCATTTTTCTGCTCGGCTCGGCTTGGCTTGCTTTGATCCCAATTGTGACACCAATTGGTTCTGGCCCAAGATAGATGAGAATTGTGAACGCAAGGACATCATCAATGAGGTCAGTCAAACACTGGGCATTGTCATTGCAACATGCAAGATGCCACATGGGGATAGTTTAAGCACCTTGTACACCTATGTATGGACACAGATCATAGTGAATCGCGGAGTTGCCATAATATAATCAAGCAAACAAATTGTATGAGGGCAGCACTACAAGTCCACGCGTAGTTGAGGATGTAGAGCTATAATCTACAGCAGGTTAAAAAATTTAAACAGTAGGAACCGCCTCGCAAAGGTAATATTATTGAGCTATTTATGGTTAACTGTATCCAGTGAACCAACATATGTACAAGCTAAGTTGAGGCATAGAGGCGGACAAACCAACTGGACAGTGACCTCAATTTTGGTGGGCAGGACCGGGATTAGCAGCGGCCGTGCGTCTGGAGAAGGGTTCCAATGCCTCCTCTGCCTCATCATACTCGCGACTACTGTCGACTTCCCTCTCGATCGCACGCATCTGAGCTCGTTCGATTTTCGCCACATCAATCTTGAGTTCATGAGTGACCTGTTTGTGGCGCACCTCTTCTGCCACCAGGACCTGGGCATGGCGGAGTTGCTCGGCTTCCCAATTGGTGTCCCAAATCTTGCGCAAACGGAGACGATCCATGTTGGCCACGACCTCGCGGGCTTTGAATTCAGCGCGGACCCCTTGAACCAAGAAGAAAGCCAGCTTGGCCACCACTTTTGTGGGGCGACCAGGTTGTCGGTCGTCAAGCAACGGCGCGAGGTCAACGTGTCGAACCTGTTCAGTGGAATGTTTCAGCAGGAGGTACACCTGTAAACACCAACCGTCAGCTCTGTCCAGACAGGATGGGGCCTTCTAAAGCTCTGACCTTGGGAGACATGCCTCTGCGGCGAATACGATTCGAAATCTCATCCCCAAGATCATCCATAGAGGCAAATAAGTTATTGGTAACCATCTGGAGGCATCCAGTCAGTCAACCTTGCGAAACAAGAGTAGTTACATTACCAATGACGAATGAGAACTGACCATCCAATCCTCAACAAGGCGCTGATATTTTGGGCCAAGCGCTTTGAATTTGCAAGCCCAAAGGCTCGGATATACTTCGAGTATTTCGTCAAAAGCTTGGTCGTATATGTACCTGACCTCCGCCACGGGCTTAGTTGCCAAAAGTTGGTGATGCTTCTCGTACCATCGGCCAAATAAGCGGATCAAGTCGACACATCTTTGCTCAGACCAAGCGAAATTCACGGCATCCCGGCCGTTTGGAGGCGGTCGTCGAAGAGGGGTATCATCCGTAAGATCCTCATCGATAGCGTTGTCCCCGCCGCCTCCGGTCTCGGTCTCCTCAGGGCCTGCAATGGCGGGGTCCTAAAATGATCGGCCAAGTCGGATGGATCAGATATCTTTGTGGGTAGAGAAGAGGAATGCATCACTGTTTCTTGCTTACGTTTGGCTCAATTATCAAGGTGCCCACTGCCACAGACTCGGGCGCCGCCGCTGCCAAGGTCGCGTTAGTGTCAATCCCATCCATCTCGCTCCCCGCTGTCGAAGTGGACATTGCAATATCCATAGGCTAGACAAAGTCTACAGGATCAGTCTACAGAAAAGTCGGTAAATGTGGGTGTGGTGACGAGTAAAGTCAGGAAGCCGGAGGATGGGGGGGGGAACGCTCTGTGTCTTAGACAAGTTTTCATATTCTGCGTACCAAAAACGGGGAGCACTCTTCCTTGGCCGGGTGGAGGCATACTATCGGTGGGCCGACCCAAAGATGACCGAGCCGTCATCATGACAAGGTGCTTGACCACTCTGAGAATCGTCATCAGGTTAAATCCTCGGCCTGTTCAGTCTATAATGAGATTTAACCTTCCGGCGTCAATCTGGCGGCTGGTCTTGGCGATCGTCAGCTGTGTCGGAGAGTAAATCCGATCCGACGGCGCTGCCGGGGCGGGTTTGGAGGGAGGCGTCAAGCGGTCGCTTGGGATATTCCAAAACAGAGCCGCCCGTGTACAGCACAACTCAACCAAAAAACAAAAACAAGACCACACTACACAACACAACACAACACAACAAACACAACACAACACACACAACACAACACCGAACAGAACAGAACAAAACGAAACAGAACAAAACAAAACAAAACAGAACAAAACAAAACAAAATAATCAAGAGTGAAATAAACCATCATCCTGAGATGTCTTAGGACCAAGAAAATTAAACAAGAACACAAGGGGAAAAAATGTGAGCATACTTGTAGTACTCAGATCCCGCCACGTTTGGCAAGGCAGGTCAAGCGTGGAAGATGTCCAGATTAGGTCTACCACTACATATCAACAGCATATAACTGATAAATCAAGTCAACCCAAGATCGATGTTGAACGATCAGGTGAAGAACCAGTTACTATCCCTTTCGGGACTTCCCAAGGACCTCAATGCAGAGGAGCAGGAATGCTGTGAGTGGGAAATTAGAGAAGGAGAAAAAAGTGTGGGGCTTCGAGTCAGGGCACCTGAAGGATGCAGGATCCGAAAGTCGCGAACAGGTCAACTTGATGCGACGATAGGTGTCATTGCGAGCTGCAAACGAGTGGGTGTACGATGTGTTTGTATTACGCTTCGGACGACATGGGGGATGCGGCGTGTGGCTTGAGGTGTTGGATTGAAGTCGGTGGGGTCGTTGAGAACCGAACAAGTGGAGCTCGAGGGACGCTATAAATAATGGGTTGGTGTTTTGTGTGGACTTGTGGTTCCAAGTGGGCGATGTCAAAATGAATATGCATGCAGCAGACTCGGATCTGCCCAAGGAGAAAACCGCATGACGTCAGTTGACCACTGTTTACCATCACCCAGGCCATGATGGCACAGGCAGAGTCAAACGATCGCCTATTCACCTCAAACGAGATCAAAGAATACTTGGAACGAATCGGATTGGATCAGCAAGAAATCAACGCCCTATCACCGTCAGAAAAACTAAGAACACTCCATCTCAATCACATCCTCAATGTACCATTCGATACCACCTCAATCCATCTTCCCGCGAAATGGTGGATGATGGAATCCACAAACACCGAAGAGCAAGCAATCACGCTCGACCGCAAGAATCGAAAGATAAATCCGGAACTCGTCTCAGTCTACTGTGATCATACTTTCAACAATATCATCAAGGAGCGTCGCGGTGGCTATTGCTGGAGTTTGAACAGTCAGTCCAACGCATCCCAATGTTACATTTGCAAATTCGAGAGGATGTATATTCATTTCCGTTTTACTCTCCCACTTTGAAAAGGTTGTTTTGCAAGGCTGTTGCTTAGTCTGGGCTACCAAGTATCGCAGCTCCCAGCGCGAGTATACAACCATCGAAACCAAGACCCGAAAGAAGCGGGCTATTCCTGGACCCCATTGTGCCACGAATGTCTATTGGTCGACACCGGATCCGCCAAATTCGTATGCGACGTTGGCTTTGGAGGCGGCTCTTCCGCTTATCCTATCCCCTTTGAAGAAAATCGCGAAATCGACACTTTGACTGTTGGTGAAAAATTCAAACTCGTCAAAGAGAAACCTACCGATCTCGACACCAGCTCGACAAATCAAACTGAAGGTTATACTGTTCAGCGTTGGTGCGGAAAGTGGTGGAGTCCGTGTTATCACTTCTATCTTTCACCGATAGTCTTTAAGGACCTAGCTATATTCAACTGGTAAATCACTCATCTTTCTGTCGCAGGGATCCTCTGGATTTTCCTCCCCAATTCATTGGCTCCATTTTTCTTCGTTCTTGATCAACTGATTCTTATACTTCGTCTGTCAATGAAAAAAAAAAAAAAAAAAAAAAAAAAAAAAAAAAAGGCATGCGACGAGTCATCCGGAAGCGCATTTCCAAACGAGGATGTTCGTCTCTCTCCTCCAAAAGGATGGCTCGCGTCGCACTTTGTCTTGCATCATCGACGACGACGGCCACCAAAATCAGATCAAATTGCATACCAGAGATCATGTTGGTGCCAGTGAGAGTGAGGTCAGCTATGTCCAACCAACATATGCTGAGCTATTCAAGACTCTCCAACGCGAATTTGGCTGGGGTCCAAGTCAGATCAACACCAAGTAAGATGGATCTCGAAGTAATGCCTACTATCTCCTTTTGAGCTATTTCAATCGATCTTTTGAGACATAGCCTCAAACGATGTGTGTATCTTTCCTTCCCAGATAGCCAATCTAAGTCATACCCAAAGCATCCATATCTCTCTTGACATTACTTTTTTACCCGTGGGCTTTCAGATGTCCACTCTTTCTTGTGTGATCTTCTTGTACTGACTTGGTTGATGAAAAAATAGTCTTACCCATCCTATGTCTGTATATGAAACTATTTATATGTAGTACAAATTCTTGCACATGTCATCCCATCAATATCCTCAAAAAGTAGCAATATCCAAGACTTTGATTCATTGTAAGAGCCTCGTACTTTAAATATGAATAGTTTTCATGGTTTTGCATTAAATTGAATGGTGAATTTGAGTCTCATTGCTAGGTTTCTTTTAAATGATGTTGAGGAAAGAAAGGCAAAGCTGGGTAGAGATGATGATAGTGTGAGATTGGATTTGTATCTAAATCAGAAAGGCTCGAGTGTCTTCTGCCGTCAGACTAAATATTAACTAAAATCTTGCAGCCTGTGATAAAATCTTTGGTGCTAATTTGGTTGGTCTCCTGTTGTAGTCTGTGACAGGCTGAAATAAGCAAAAAGGAGGTGGTTTATTTATGGGTGCAACAGCAAAGATATGGAAGAACACCAGGTCATTTCCTACACTAGCCTTTCTAAATTCTACATCAGTATGTAGTGTCAAGGGGGGAAGGGGGGGGGGATGCAAAGAATAGAATAATTTGATCCAATTTTTTTTTTTTTTTTTGAAAAAAAAAACGCATGCTTCATCATAAACAACAAGACTGCATCGGAATCAGTAGGCTACACTAGAACTTTCAAGTGGAGCAATGAAAAATTGTACCGTTTTGTCAAGGGGAAATCTTCCTTGCAAGAGTCCTTGATCGCAAACTTGACACCGTCCGCGAGGACTCTGCCTGGAAGGCGCGTAAAGTGCTTGGTCAAAGCAGTCCACTGTCCGGGAGACCTTCGCGCGGATCAAGTCCTTGGTCGCCAACTTGGCGTGTCCATGGTCGCAAGCTTAAAAAACTCCGTGAGGTCTCTGCCCGCAGACGGGTACATATAATTCTCGGTTGCCAACCTGACAAAGTCTGCAAGGCCTTTGCCCGAAGGGCGGGTCAAGTCCTGATCGCCTCGCCAACTGGACAAAGTGCGAGTCATCGGTTGCCAACTTGACATGCCCGAAGGAGGGTCCCGGTCAAGTCATTGGTTGCCCGTACTTGACAAAGCTCGACTTGTCAGAGTGTGCCAGGGCTCCGCCCGAAGGCTGGTAATCCTTGGTTGCCAACTTGACAAAGTCCGCGAGGACTTTGCCCAAGAGCGGATAAGGTCCTGGGTTCCCAACTTGAAAAACTTCCCGAGGAGTCTGCCCCAGGGCGGGTCAGGTCATTGGTGGCGAACTTGAAAAAGTCCACAGCGGGTAATCCTCTAACTTATCTAAGTCCCACCCAGTTGCGGTTGGGCGTGCAGTGGTGAAGCACTGAACCCCGCCCGACCGCAGGGAGGGACTTATGCCTTAAGTGGGGGTAGTCAACCAAGGCCATCCACCAAAAAATTGAAAAATCTAGTAATCAATTTTTACAGACTGTAGTTTCAACCCAACCGGGCCCAGCTACTGGAAGGTCGGATCTACTTGACTCCATCAATTTTTGGAGCTCATAAGCTACAAATTCTATTGAACCATTGATTTTTGAACAAATTTCGAATCAAACTTGGTTTTGACTATCCTAGCCTGCGCGGCTCAGGTTTTCCATGTAGCATCAAGATCTCCTTTGCGCTGTTTTGAGTTCGATGTTTTTGAAGACAACAATTTTTGCAAAACCGAGTTGAGGGAAGACAACATAAGGTGCAAGTGCATCTTTCCCTCTACAGAAAGACACATGTAGCTCAAACAATGAGTGAGCTACAGACTGTGTAAGTCAAGGGTCGATTTTCAGATGCCCTCAGTCAAGGAGGGGCACTTTGGTCCTAAGTCCCTCCCTGCGGGAGGGGTGGCTTCGCCACCAGCCAGTGCTTCACACCAGCGAGCCTCCCACCAGGGGGGACTTTGTTAAGTTAGGGTAATCCTTGGTCGCCAACTTGTCAAAGTCCGCGAGGACTCTACCTGAAGGTGGGCGAAGTTCTCGGTCGTGAACTTGAAAAACTCCGCGAGCACTTTCCCCAAGGGCGGGTAGAGTCTTTGGTCGCGAACTCGAAAAATTCCGCGAGGGCTCTCATGAGCCGTTGCCCAAAGACAGGTCACCGTCAAGTCATCGACCGCCAACTTGAGAAAGTCCACGGGCACTCCCCGAAAGGCGAACTTGAAAAGGCATTTTACCGCAACAATGTTGCCCGTATGCGGATAAAACTCCTCATACGTTAAACAAAAGATGTTATACTCACCCCTGATAGAACAGAGATGGCTAGATCTCAACTGTGTCACAGGACAATAAGGACCCAAAAAATATTTGCTTTCAGTCAAAGAAGAAAAAAAAAAGGCTCTTGCTAGAACACCTCGAGAGTCGCCAATGGGAGACCTGAGATCATCCACGTACTGAATACACCAAATCATAACACATGGTGACATAAGAATTCACTTCGTAATTTATGGTGCGCGCAAAATAAAACCCGGAATCACTTATTTTCATGGTTGTTTGCATGCATGAAAAGGTAGGGTTTTGTGGGGATCTGGTGACCCTTATAAAGAACAGACATGTATAGCTTAGCTGACAATAATTGTGATTGATCACCAAAACCGGTTAATCCACTTTAGCATTGCACTATTAAAAAGAATATGATCGACAAAAACCATCAAATTCAAAAAATTCGCCGCTTTAATCTCTGGGCGATTGTAGACTTTTTTGACTTTTTCCCAAACGCTTTCCCCATTCTGCGATTCAGCGACCTGTGTTGTCAAGTATGGTTTTTGTCAGTGTCTATTTTGATTTGCGCAAGAAGCTACAAAGCGTAATATCAGCCGAACCGTTTTGGGTCCTAGATATGGAATCCTTGGCTTCATTGCATCCTCCTCTTCTCTAGCTTCTATAGCCGCGGCTTGAGCTGCCGCCAAGATGGGTAGCTCTTCTCTTCTGACATATGCTTCATTTTTGCCATCATTGGTTTCTAAACGCACATACCCCCCACTATGGCCATAAGATTGTGCCATTCCCCCCCATTCCATTCGTCTATGTAACACCGCAGATCTGGAATTTGGAATCAAGTGGAAAAGCTCCACCATGACCTGTGTTTTGATGATTTTTCATCGCTAAGTCAGCACGTGAGATATATGGCAAGCTCAAAACAAAAGGAAATCAAATAAGCTTAACCAAGATTAAGTTCAAAGCAATAAGCATGGCTCAATTTTGTTTTAGGACCTCTGAAGCTTTTTTTATGTGATCTAAGGGACAGAAGTAGATCAAATCAGCTTTTTGGTAAAAGAAAAGAAACCAAGCAAGGAATCAGAACTGTAAGCCACCTTGCGTGCAGTAATATCTGAATTGAACAACTGATTACTCTGATGAAGAATTCTCTGCTACCCTAAAATTCGAGAGACGCCTTTTAAGCACAAGTTCAGATCAATATATTTGAGCATCCCATCTACATACCCAATAAAAATTAAAACCAATTGTCTGAGTGCTCATGCGGGGAATATATTGGATTTTTTTACCCAAACACAAAGCATATCACATGTTTACATTACTTGTAATGAGCTGGAGGGTCTATGTACCTGTGATAGTCTCATGATTCAGAACATGTCTAGTCTGGAATCAAGATTTAATAATTGGTTTCAGATTTTTGTATATATGTGGAATCGGTTGCACCCAGGACTGCCTGCGCTTCTAGACTTGAGCTTTACCAATATCAATCTATCTTGTATGTTATTCAACCAGCAGCAATCAGAAAAAAAAATGGGACCCGATGGTGTGCGTATCTGCTTGAAGCTCCGACCCCACATGGTATCAGCAGGCCAACATAGTTTTCAGATACCGGGGGATTGACTGTTGCAGACGCTCGGTGAAATTGGTTCCAATCTGTTCCTATTACTGATGGGCAAACTCGTGTCCACTCCTGACGTTTACATATTAACATAACCGCGGCCGTATTTATCAAGCTATCAGTCAGTGACCAGTCTCATCAGCGAGTAATCACTGTATTCTCATCTAATTTGTACAAGCATACGTTGACATTCGTTGTACCCAAAGATAGCCTAGGATGACTGCTTAGCTTAGGATGACTGCTCAGCAGGTCCACACTGCGCAATTTGTATGAGATTTGGGTGAACAAAGCCTGAAATACATTACTGAGCCCGTCTTGGAGCCCACCAAGGGCAGGCAAGCCTCGCTGGGTCTGTGTAAGATAATGGGTCATTTTTTCCGTCTCAGCTGCGCATGAAGGGCTCGAGGTATGTAGGGCAGGACACGATGAGTCTGACTCATCTGAAAAAACTTGCTGACTTTGGGGGCGGTGTACAAGCGGGGCATCAACGCATGATTGTTTCATTGAAAGCTCATCACAGGCAAACAAAGTCCATCTCATTCATTGTAACGTCTCGCACCAATTCCAGAAAGAATTTGTTGGCCGTAGAAGCAGTTATCAGTTGATTATATGCTGGCACTTGGACTTCAAGCATTACAATGATGCTAGTTCTGAGATGGAGATGAGAAAAACAAGATCTCCCAAGTCATGCCTTTTGTTTTGTTGAGCTATCTCCCTGCCAATTGTTATTTTCACAAAGCTTGTCAATTGTATAAATGTGGCTTCAAATTCAGCATTCCAATCATCAACCCAATCCCGATCATCAGCCCCATTCATATCATCAACCCCATTTGGATCACCAGCCCCATTCATATCATCAACCCAATTTCTGTATCATTTGTCAGTGAACCTTTTACCCTTTCAGATACAATGTTGCAGTCCTTGTATGATCTTCTCAATACATCTTGGTTTTCTTTCAGGAATCCCACCATCTTTCTATGGATTAGTTTGAAGCTAATGGCACATATAATCATTCCATTGAATTTGGCTAACTTTTTTTTGGAATGTCTGGAAAAAATTGATTGCCATCTCCACATATAAAGTTACAAACAAGATAAGTGAATCTTTAGGTTTGCGATCTGTTGCATGTGGATGTTTGTACCGTTATAAATTTTCTATGAAAGATTCCAATTTATCTTCTAGAAATTTTTTTAAACAATTATACAAAGAGGTTATATTAATCATTGATTGACAATGATCTATGCTAATTTTGAGAATGGTGAGTAGTCATGATGGAAAAAATGTTTCCCTGTAGTTTAATTTTACCAAGGTTGACCCAAATCAGAGGATAATATTTGATGTATTGGGCAGGTGTGCACTGCAATAAAAGGCCGTGCAACTGCTTGAAGTTGACATGTGATATTACAAAGCTGCCTTTGTAAAAATTGCATGGCAACTGCAAACAGTTGTGCAACTTTTTCTTGCAATGTAGGTATGTTGGTTGCCTGATCAGTAAATTTCCTTTCAAATAATAAGTTGTTCTTGCATTTTCCTTAGCAAACCAAGTGAATCAAAACATTCAACTAGCCACAGAAACTGAGACATGTGAAGACTCAAGGTGATCAAAATTTGTACTGTAGTTGAATTTTTATCTTGAGTGTGCTTTCAAGTCAGTACCACTGCTTCTGGAAATTTTACAATAAAACCTTCATTGGCATGCCGTTTGAAAGGGGGAAAGAATCACTGGACAGATTCCCATTTTCTAAATTTGTTAATTTACAAGGAAGGACTGGATGTTATTTGCTGGTGAAAAGCAATTGAGATCAAGTTTTGAGCAGCAAATAAGTCTTAGGAACTCCCTCCAGGCTCCAAACCAAACCATTGAGGTAAAAGCAATTCCTCTATCATGATGCAAGATAATTGAATTAGGGGGCTCACAGTAAAATTTTAAAAGGATTTCTGCATGCATCAGCTTCTGAAATAATGGGGGTGTGAAAGAAAATCAATCACTGTTTAGGGTGGGTTTTTATGTCACTCACAGTGTACACCTCCCAGTATATAACATGTAACATTGGCAGAGAATCACAAAGGGCCCATTTAGGCCCACCACAAGGTCTTGAATATCCAATTTGTGATATCAAAATCTTCCCATGAGCAGATTTTGATCTCAGTGCAATATACCATGACAGACAAAAATGTGATGGTATCTAAACTTATGGCACTGGAGATCTAGATACTGGCCAGGATCAGGACTGTTTGGCTTTCTAGACATAATTTACCCACCAACACAAACTGCACACCTCTTGATGAGTTAGTCTTTTTGTCACCTTATTTTCCAGTCTTCAGTCTCTTGATGACTGTTCATTCCAGTCATCAAGAGTTTTAGTCTACTGGTGAACCAGATAGGTTGTTCTGGTCATCAAGAGCTTTAGTCTTGATGACCCAGACCAGTTTCTACAATCATCAGCTTTAGTCTCTTAATGATCAGTCTTTATAGTCTTTAATAGCTGTAATCATTAGATGACTGGTTGTTCTGGTCATCAAAAGATGTACCGGTCATTCTGGTCCAGTTATCAAGAGCTGTAGTCTCTTGGTAACCATACATTCTTGTGATGAAGATTTATAAGGTGATGATTGGTTGTGTAGTTCATGCAGAGATGTTGAGAAGATATGAAACTCAGAATCTTGCTTGGGATACACCAAAATAGGTGAATCTCAGTCTTGTGGAGGGACAGATTCTGGATCTTGGATTTTTTTTTCAAGATTATGTTACATCCAAACACCTTATGTGATCTTTGTTGAGATCTTCAATCTTGAGATTTCATGTCTTGAAGGAATCTTGATTTTGGGGGGTCCAAACGGCCCCTACGCTGAACTAATGACTCATGAGACTCATGAGCCTAAGTTCAGCTAATTTTATGCCAAAACTAGGATTGAAGTAAATTTTCCAAGTGTTCAAGATTCAAATTTCAAAAAGTTTTTGTGGGCCGTAGATTATAATGGTAAGGTGTTTATCACACAAAACGGTTTAAAGATCCATGCCCTAAGTCTAAGACAGAAAAGGATTGCATCTATTTTCCCCCATGTGTATGTTAGAGATGACGCCTTGATGCAAGATCTTTGGGTTTATAAGTTCCATCAAGTTGGGTATTTATTTGTAGCACAAGTGTCCCCTGCGCAAGGCCCATCATCAAGACAATGTGGAACAAGACAAAAGAACAGCCGCAGGGTAGACCTGTGCCGAGTACTTCCCGCCCGCAGCGCCGATCGTGTACTGTGCAGTGCGCGTTGACCCCTTGCTGCCGCGGGCCGCCTCGATCGGAGTTCAAAATTTAAAAGGCTTCGGCTTGTTGGGACTCCCGAGTTTCAATCCCACCATTTCCCGTGATATCACCAAAAACCATACCCTTCATCATCAGCAAGTCAGAAATCATGTCAGCCTCAACGAAACTACTAGCAATGGGAAATCGTGAGTTCAGTCATTCAGTTTCGTATCAATGGCCTCAGTTCTCATCAAACTGACTCAATAATCATGCTCAGCATTGCTGGATATGCAGATCAGCACGGACGAGAAGATGCTAGAGAAGTACGGGCTCAAGGCCAACGATGCTGTCCTGGTCAATGACTCGCAGAAAGGAATGTTCGTATGAATCCCCATCCCAAGAACCATCCATGCGTTTCCATTACATAAATTCGAAAAACAAAAGAGAGAGAGAGAGAGAGACTGTGCTTGACAAGAATGGGTTTCGTAACTGGACAATACTCGTCATTAGCTACGCCGAGGTTGCATCCTTGTCGCCCGTCTATGTTGCCGGTGGGGCTGCCCAAAACGCAGCCCGATGTGCACAATACATCTTGCCCGAAAACTCTACCGTCTATCTTGGCGCTGTGGGCGATGATGATCTCGCTAACCAGCTGCGAGAGGCCAACAAGAAAGCTGGCCTCAAAGAACTATACCAAGTCGTCAAGGAATTCCCCACGGGGGCTTGTGCTTGTTTGATTACAGGTCATCATCGGTAAGTGTTTTCTTTTCATAAGTTGATGGTTTATCATGGGTTACTCTGACGGAAGATTTTGGTTTTGTGCTTCTAGATCTTTGTGTACTCAATTGGGAGCCGCTGAAAAGTTCTCCCCTTCGCATCTCAAGACCGAGCCGGTGGTCAAGGTAAGTCTCTGCAAACTATCGCTGTCAAACATAGCATCCTAGTCTGACTATTGTCTATTGTGTCAAACGTTTGAAGGCTATTCAAGACGCCCAAATCTACTACCTCGGTGGATTTTTCCTCACCCATGGAATCGAAAGCTCCCTAGCCTTAGCTCAAGCAGCTACCGAAAGTCAAAAGGTATTGTTTTTCTGCTTCTTCCTTTGTTGTCACATCTCCTTCCATTTCATTACTTACTTATTTACTTTTTCTGTGCAAATCTCAGATCTTCACCATGAACCTTTCAGCGCCGTTCATTGCGGAGTTCTTCAAGGACAATGTCGATCAACTATTACCGCATGTTGATTATTTGTTCGGCAATGAGTCAGAGGCGGCCGCGTACGCAGCAGCTCACAATTGGGATGTAAGCGACGCTCGAAACAGCAGTTCCAAGTTTTCTTAGAGTTGATGAGCGGTCTCGCTGACAATTTGAACGGCTACCTAGACCAAAGATCTGCCGACGATTGCCGTCCGAATTGCAGCTCTACCCAAGAAAGTGCAGACTCGTCCACGAGTGGTGATCATCACGCAAGGATCCGAATCGACGATTGTTGCGAGCACGAGCGCGAGCGCGTTCTCATCTCCAGCCGACTTGAAGGCAGTCGAAGCAGGCCACGTGCTCATCGTCCCAGTCTCGCCCCTCAAGGACGAGGAAATCGTCGACACTAACGGGGCCGGAGACGCCTTTGCAGGCGGCGTTCTGGGCGGATTGGTGCTCGGAAAACCAATCGATCAATGCATCGAAATCGGCCACAAGCTCGGCAAAATGTGTGTTGGTCAAGTCGGCCCTCAATTGAAATGGCCCAAAGTTCAAGTCGTATGAATGACAACTATGTAAACAGTAGATCTATGCTGTCCACGTGTATCATTTCTGTTCTTTTCTTCATAGAAATTTAACCGATTTCACGCCCCAGAAATGAACAAGCTCGTCTTGTGATCGATTTCTTGCATTTGTGACCGTAAGATTGTCGCTCAAACGTCCTCCCTTCGCCCTGTTTTCTCAAAGATCCTAGTTCGCTGCCCTTATCATTGCCCATCTTGCTGGAAGATGCAACCAAACAGAAAGGGCACGCGGACGACGAACTGAGCTCAAGTCCCTCGCCTGACAGCAGGCAGGGATGCCATTGCGGCCTGTCTCTGAGACGCAAATCCTGTGGGTCTCCGTCCCTTTAGGGTTCTCACAGAGAGGATTCGCTACGCTCTTGCCCGAGAACAGCAATCGTTATTCTGTGACAGAGTTTGTGTCTGGTTAAGTTCTAGCGTCCCAATCGAGCTGGTTCTGCTCCGATGTATCGTCCAACTCCGTATCACTATATTCAATGCCTTGTTTTCACCCGTTGCAGCCCATGGCTCAGCACTAGTATGGTTCAGCAAAACTCACTTAACAGTGGAATGGATCGCAAAAGAAGACAGGGCTGTAGCTAGTGGACTTGCAAATACCACTTGGTTCAAGAACAAGATGCTCATACAAAAAGCATTAAAAACATCCTACATACAAGATCTGAAAAGAAAAAACCTTCCGGGCTCCATAATTCACATCATCCGTAAGGCTCCTGGACCTACTTCTTCTCTTCTCGTTGTTCCCCGCTCAGCGGTCCGTCTCTTTCTTCTCTCCTTACCATTCCTAACAACAACCCATTGTATCGTGAGCTTCCTCTAGAAGCTCGCCGCTTGCACCCTGATCCCCGGGGGTCCACACACCAACTAAGTTCACTCGCGTTCTTCGGAACCTATGTAAAAGACTGGCGAAATTCACAGAGTGCCAGTACTCGGCGTCATTTCGCCTCATGACACTTGTAAGCTTGGATTGGAAGAAGCCTGCTCCGCCTGTTAAGGGCGAGGTTGCTGCCTATCCTGCAGCTGCTCAGCAAATGAATGTTTCATTTGTTTGGCTGTGGTACCAGAATGCGACGAACTCTCAAATGCTCATCTTGTTGGCCTTCCCGGCACGACTTCAAGGTAATTTTTGACACAGGCTTTCGAGGTGATAAACACCTGCAGGCTGCAGTCCAGTCAAGTTGGCTCTCTCTCTCTCTCTTTCTCTCTCTAAATGTAGCTACAATAGGCCACAAAGCAGATGCGAGCACAAGTGATGTTTTCTATTCCGAGAATTGACAACAAAAATAGCAAGTGACAAAACTGAAGCAAGGCTTTTTTTACTATTTATTTAAATGATTGAAGCTAGCCCAAGAGAACAATGAGAATATGAATATCAGCTAAAAAGTTGTCCATTGTGCAAAGTGACGCTACTTTAGATAGCGGCATTCTCGGGTTTTGTCCCAAGTGCGTTGTCGCTGTGGGTCAAGGGTACAAAAGTTTAGTCAGTCTTTGAGCAACAATTGAAGGTTAAGTACAGTGCTTACAAATCCCAAACCAATTCGTGGATGATCTTGTCGTCTATTTCCTTTTGAGTTGGGTTCAATTCATTGAAGGTCTGGGGGAAACAAAAGGTTAATTACGATTCCGGTAGACCTGGCTGAGAACAGAAGATCTGGGCGACTTACTGCTTGGGTGAACGCAATGCGGAAACATCCCGGCTCCTCGGTAGTGGCATTGAAGGTACAACCTAAAATAAATCAAGCATGTAAGAAAATGTTATGAACAATGAGGAAAAATGATGTTTGAGGTGCTTACCATCAACAACTGGGGCATAAACAGTGTGTTCGGGGAAGCCCTTTCGTTGGATGAAACTTTTTTGGAAAGATGTGATGTGATGATTATCAATAACCGTCTGGAGGGTCGGAGTGAGAGGAGACAAGAACTTACACTTGACGGCCACACGGTTTGGTGAAGGTTCTTAACATTCGAATGCGGAAATGGATTGATTAGCGGATGGTGTTGCTTGCGTGGGTGATGATGTGCTTACCCGTTTATCCATCCACCACTGAGTGAGCCAGGGACATCGGCCGCAGATGCCCAGAGACACACACCGGGCGCGGTGTCTTTGTAGTTACCACAGATCTGAGCAGAATCACAAAAGAAAATAAAAATCTGTAAGCTATCTGACTGGCGCGGCAGTCCTATGTAGCTCCGAAAACTCACCCCATCACCACCAGCGATAGGAAATGACTGCGACACACAAACATGGATGAGTCAGTTGGCTTCGAACAATGACTAACAATTCTTTATATATCACTCACATCCAATTCAGAGTCGTACCGACGGACCAGTTTCTTGGAGGGAACTCCAGCCGAGAACTCGGTTGATGCCTAGGAGGCAAGGAAAAGATGATTTTGCTCAGCAAGACTGCTAAGTAGTTTGTGGCGAAGATTGAAAATCATTACCTCATCTTCTTCAGATTTTGAAGCAAAGGTGTTGATACCGTTGGGGCCGATCTCGAGTCCCATGGTACTTTGGGAAGAATGCTTGTGTTTTGACTTGAAGACCTATTTATCGGGGGTTTGTGAGTAAGACACCGATTTCTTTCTGCGTTTTTTTTTTTTTTTGCGGGAAGACGAGAAACGGAGACAAGAAATGGGGCTTACAATTGGCATATCGGTAGGGATCGCATGTCCACATTGATCTTTGGAATCCACCGGGCAACGCTCGGATTTTTTCTTGGCAGCGAAAACACATTTGTCTTTATTCAAGAAGTAGTTGTAACATTGGGAGTGTTTTGGTTTTTTAGGTTTGGTGGTAGATGGGGTGGGATTTGACGACGAGTGGTCATCAGTCATCGGGGTGGATTGTGGAAGCAGTCCATCGGCAACAACGAAGCCAAGGAGGCCAATGGCAAATAGAATAGATTGACTAGTGATATGCATAGCGAACGAAACCTGAAAGTCCTGATATTTAGGCTGCTCAAGTCTTACTTTAATTATTTGGTTAGTTTATTTAGGGAAAGAATGGATTCCGGTTGTAAGGGTCAGAGGGATTGTGAATGAATGGGGATGGGATGAGGAGAAGAAGTCTTGCTGGGGGGAACCTAGCTTTTAAATATGTTTCCTCTTACTGAGTACAATGGAGTTTTTGCTGGCGGCATTCTTGCTGCTGGCGGCAGCAGTCACATGAGTCCCCTGTGCGCCCCATCGAAACCTGGCTCTACTGCACTTAGTATAATCAAGGCTGTGACTGTGTCCTCCTCGTGGAAATCAAGCCACAAGTTTCATTGAATGCCATCGATCCTGAGTCTGACAGACACTCTCAGAGCTTCAAGCAGCTGTATTGCTATACCGCTGGGGATCTCTACAGATTTGTATACAGATATGAAGAATGGCACCCGTAGAAGCAAGCCTGAGGATTTGTCTACAGATGGGCTTTGCTGTTTTCCCGCCGAGGAACTGCCAAGAATCAAGATTGACCCAAGTGCTCCAAAATGCTTCACGCGTCTGTATGCCGTACACTTTCCTAGCTGCACACCTCGACAAAAGCTCGAACATAAATAGTTATTATTCGCGTTCAAGGTTTGCCAACTCCGGTGCAACTGAATAACTGGTACTTTCTAGCGCGAAGCAGTGTTGAGGGCTTCCCCACTTCCCTCTGTAAGCGCAAAATAAACGCAGACAAGCATTGCGCTCTGCGTGAAGCAATTGGTCGATGATCCGGTTTTTGCACCGGTACATAGAAGTCGGGTGGTTCGATCTACATATTTATTTGTACGCCCGGTGGTTCCAGCTTCTGCGGTCGGTTCAAAGCTCCCCCAGCCACAAATCCTGTTCAAAGATGATCAGATACTATGGAATCGAATACATATCATTCAACTGATTCTACAAAGGCCTGTAATTCTTATGCACATACACATCTATACTTGTCCATAGAAGCTGTGTCCAGAAGTCTTGCACAAGTCTTCCATTCTATTCCCCACGCACGCGTAGTCCGGCCGTGCAGTACCGGAGGCTATACATTTCTGCGCGTAGCAAATGTCGATTTGGGGTCATTGCAAGATCACCGCAGGATTGCAGCTGGTAAGCTTCGGAAAGTGTTTTGGGCCTCTATCGCCGACTTGTGGACGATGTGAAGTCTCCCCGTCGCTGCTTAAGCACATTCTGGAACCTAATCCCAGGCTGGTGTAAATTTTTATGACATGAGAACCGTTTGCATAACTTTGCCGACCCGTTGACAGTCTCTTGGAGTATCTTCTCCTCCAAGGGGGGGGGGGGGGTATCTTATCAAGTCGTGGCTCTTGTGTTTGTCTCTATAACATTTCAGCTATGAGATCACAAGTTTTCCAAATGGGCAAGACATGAAAATGTGTTATGACTTCTCCTGGCACATTTCCAAATCAGTTTATCTGTTCAAGCAGTATTCCTGCAACATTTCCAACTCAATGTATCTGTTCAAGCAGTATTAGTGAACACAAAATGGTGATTGAGAGAGGCTATTGGAATTGATTACTCCTGTCCTACAACACCCGTATAAACATCAAAACTCAGAAAATGAGTTTGGTTGGTGGTCAAATGTTAACCAAGAAGATCATGGCTGTGTCACATGAGGAGCAGAAAAAGGTCAACAAATTCACAAACTCACAACTTCATGCAAAACATTAATAAGATTTTTGTCATACAAACTACCAGGAAATAAGATCCTGTTTTTTCATTCAGTCATTGTTTCAACACTGCAAGGGAAGGTTCCACTTGAACATTCTCATTGAAATACCTTATCATTTACCATCAAAGTAGTCTTTTTATGTGCCTTTTTGTTGAAATAATCAACAAATTCAGGGGGAAACCTGGCTGCACTACCATTGATCCTGCTATTCTATCATTGGAAATAGTTTAGCATAGAACAGTCCAATACTGCTATGAGCTAGACAAGGGCATTTATAAACACACACCTGCCCCCCCCAGGTGCATTTACACACACCTGTGGCCAAACACACCCTTTTTTGTTATGTCAGCTCTGTGTATGCAACACTGGCTTTCTTAGTGGGATTCAGAGTTGAGTGCAAATTCCTTGCAAAAGGGCTTGCAAGTCAATCTGCACAACCAAGCATGCATTTTCAGCTCCCATTACTCATTATAAGGCTAGATGTGGCTAGTAGAAAGCCATTTTTGAAAATCTCCATGCATGAGAGTGACTTGTAAAATGTTTTGCAATTCACTTGCACTCAACTGTGAAACCCCCTATTATATAAAAGACAGGTACTGCCACTATTCTGAAGGACTAGTTTGAAGGCCAAGATTACTCCTAGCCACCCTCAAACAATTAAGTGGTCCAACTTCCCCCTTAAGAGGTTATAAGCCCACACTCCTCACGGCAGTGGGCCAGTTATGCTAACCATACTGTTAGTGTAGCGTAACACAGCCAAATTCCAATAAAACTTAGTGTAGTGTAGTGCCATGGGATTCTGCCATGTTAACACTAAAACTAAACATAAAGGCCCCCAAAAACATGCCTGATAGGCTGTGCTAACACCTGCTGGTTAGTGTTAAGGCAGAGGGGAATCTGGTATAATTCTAGACTTCTTACCAATAATTCTGATTATATGGCAGGGTTGGGATTGGGATAATACTACTCTAAAAGTAGGTAGAGAATATTCACTATACTTACTGAGTGTGCTGGGGTGGATATTCTGACAAACCAATCCTAGGCTAGAGAAACCTCCTTAAACAACCTAGAGGTCCCCTTGAGGACCTTCCTGGAATATTCTAGAATTTGTCTTGAATGTACAGTCTCCTCCCAGATGTTTATAGCCATCTGTTTTGAGCTCCACACCAGGAACCCAAAAATTTCAAGTCACAATAGTTGGTGGAATATTGGTGGAAAATTAGTCTTAAAGAATGAATATGAAAAAAATAATGATAAACAAGATTATAAAATTTGTAATAAGTAAAAAGGGGAAAATCACAAAAATTGACAGCTCTAATATTTCTTTCAGGAAAAGATGAAATCTCCAAAGTGATAGTATGAGATCTGGAATGAATAATAAGAGGTGAAAATTTGGAAAAAAATGACTACTTGGTGGTTTAAAAAGGGTGCCTAGGGGGTCATTCATCAAGAAATGTGGCATTCTGGTACTGCAATCTACTAATTTTGACTGCAGGGTGTCCGCCCACCATGCTCAAACTTTTTTGGGATCAATATTTTTCATTTATAATCATTCTTTTCATGTTCCAAACTTGCCCTCTGTGTGTTCACTTACTCAAACAAAAAATTAAAGTTTTCAAAAAAAGTCGATTTTCTTTTATCTTTTTCACAAATTTTAAAATCTTGTTTTCTATTATTTTTTCATATTCATTCTTTGAAACCCTTTTTCCACCATTCCACCAAATCTTGTGACTTGATGTTTTTGGGTTCCCGCTGTGGAGCTCAAAGCAGATGGCTATAAACATCCGGGAGGAGACTGTACTATAGTGGAATTATTCCCCTAATGTGATGGATATAGTTTGTAGTAGTTCAAATAATATATTTTCTATGTCCCATGAAATCATGATAACAGATCAATATTTATAGCCAATAACATCACGTGTCTTCTCAAAATAGAATAATACTAGTAGAAATTTTCACACTATTGACAAGGTGTGGTAATTTCCTTCTACAAGTTTAAATATGAAGTATGCTTGTAAAATAAAACTTTCAAAGTTATATTTAAATGGACTTGGTTAATCAACTCCCAAAAGTTGGAGAGCCGAATCCCAAACCCCCAAAACCCCCGAAACTCCCACGTATTCCCCGAGTATTGGGATTCGATCCCCCAACCCTGCCAGTGGGTTTGGGAGTTGGATCCCCACCAAATTTAATTAAAAAAATACCAACCCCCGAGGGAGTTGGGGGTCGATGCCCCAAAACCCAAGGGGTTTTGCGCGTCGGCTAACCCAAAAGAGCCCGGACAGCCGGGAGGATTCCTCCCGGCTGCTGATGGCACACCTTTGACGGCCAAGAGAAACCCTTCCGGCCGTCGAGGATGTACACTATTGACGGCCGAGAGAAACACTCTTGGCCGTTGAGATGTGCACACTCAACGACTGAGAGAGAACCTCTTGGCCTTTGAGGCTGTACACTCTCAATGACCAAGAGAGAACCTCTCGGCCGTTGAGGGTGTACACAAGCAGTTCTCTCTGTTGGCCTCAACGACTGAGAGAAACACTCTCGGTCGACATATTTCAAATTTTTGATGGGGGCCTCAGCAACCAGCAGGATGGACCTCAATTTGAGGTGTTTGTGGGCGGGGGAGAGGTGGTGGGAGGGGGGAAGTCCCAAGAGTAAGGGAGTTGAGAGAAGGTAGGAGCACCAGAGCCAGGCTTATTTAGGAGGACAAGATTGGAGCCATCAAGTTTGTGTGGTGCCATGATGGTTGCGGATCTGTTGCTCAATGAGGCCGCGTGAGGAGGAGCTTGATTTGCATTTGCAGGTGGTGGGCTTGGGCTCAACGGCAGAGACCGCAGCGCCGGTGAGGAGGATGCCAAAGCCCTGAAAAATATGGCCGGGCCCGACAAGCTGAACGGACCGGCTCTTGGTCTTTGAGAGTGTACATCCTCAACGGCCAAGAGTGTTTGGGTTGTTGAGTGTGCACATCCCAATGGCCAAGAATGTTTCTCTCAGCCGTCAAGAGTGTACATCCTTGACGGCCGGGAGGGTTTGTCTCAGCCGTTGAAGGTGTGCCAGCATCAGCCGGGAGGAATCCTCCGGGCTGTCTGGGCTCTTTTGAGTTAGCCAACGCCCCAAACCCCTTGGGTTTTGGGGCATCAACCCCCAACTCCCTCGGGGGTTGGTATTTTTTTTTAATTAAATTTGGTGGGGATCCAACTCCCAAACCCACTGACAGGTTTGGAGGATTGACTCCCATTTCCTGGGCTAATCAGTGGATTTTTGGGGGTTTCGGGGTTTGGGAGTCGACTCTCCACTTTTTGGGAGCCAATTAGCTAAGACCCTATCTAAAGGCCTAAATGTGAATTTAACTCTAATTTAATTGTAAATTAATCTTATTCTGTATTTTAAAAACTAGTTTCATTCCTTGTGTCATCCAAGGCTCTTGTGCTTTGGACAAAGTCCGTGGAGGATTGGGATCTTAGGGGTACTTCCATTGAGCAACCCCTTCCAGAATCTTATTACATGATGGTATATGAAATGATACTCTTTTTTATTCAAATATCACAGGAACTATTACATATTAAATATATTTATTAGTTATCAGTCTTTTGGATACTCTTGATTATCTCTGATTCCTGAAACTGACAGATCAGGATGACAAAGTGAGAATAGATAAAACCTTGCCCTACTTCAACCTGTCACAAAAGCTGAAAACAATCTATATTTTCCAGCTTAAAGGAATTCTGATGCACAAACAAAAATTTTGCTTCCTAAATGGACTAGACTAATCATTTTTTATTTAGCTAAGTGGATACAGTTTTTTCAATACTATTGCCAAAAGCTGCACCGTCCTCAATTGAAGGAAGTATCTTTAGGTCAAACTGAAGGAAAGATCCCTGGATTTACATTTGTATTTTTACTCAGTGTTTCCTCAACAAGCCAAGACAAATTTATTGTTATTCAAAGAATGATTGGAGCCTTAAAACTTTCTCATCCTGATTTGATATCAAATCTCTACACATCTTCTTTTCTTTTCAATTCATTCATCTTTTCTGCATTATCCTCCACTAACACTTGTATCTTTGATTCAATTATCTTTGTGTTTTTGCCTCAACTTCTATTGCTTCCCAGTTTAGATATCTTGGAAGCATTATCCTATTTCCAATGTTGTGATTATCACATGAGGTAGACCTTGATTTATAAGCTCTTTCTTTCAAAGAAGCTTCTGGACTTCATTACATTTGTGGTGTTATTGGTCCAATTCTTTGGAGTCAATTGAACAAGAATCTTGCTCTATGAGTATGACCCAATTTTTATCAAGAAGATATTATCTATTCTGAACTCCCTGGAAAAACATATAACCTACATAAATCAATGACCAATTATTTGCATTGCAAAAGTACCCTTTCTAGCTGTGATGGATGAAAGTATTGAAATCTAGTTGAAGGTTGTTTTTGTACATGTAAGTTTCATCCTTCCAAATTTGGTTTCAATCTCGAGTCCTCTCCTAAGGTGTCACATCCTCGCAAATTGTGGAATTTTGAATGTTAACTATGTTTCCTCACTTCGCGATCATTTGATATTGCACATGATAAAATTAACAGTAATATGAAACACTTCAATTATTCAATGAGAAAACTTATACATTGAGGTGAAAACTGATTATGAAAAAAACAAAATAGTTAAATTTCTAGTTATATTATATGACCTGAAAAGGAATTCAAAAACTTCTTCGAAACCTTCGAAATTAGCAGAGCAGCGATTGATAGCGTGTTCTAGGTGGGTAGGACGAATATAAATATTATCACTGGCGTTATTTGCAAATCCCTGGTGTGGACGACATTGATGAATGTTCTGGGTTGACTTATGATATTTTTCACAAATTGCGGCCGATGTTTCTGACGTAAACCAACCCAACCAAAATGACACCACCGGAAAGTGTAAAAATTATGACAGATGCGATCGCAAACGCCCAATCTGTTTCTTCAATACCGCTTTTAAGATTCATTCCAAAGGTACCTAAGCGTTATTTTAAGAAGTTTTTATTAGCGCTCAGTGCAAGAGAGATAGTGGGACTGTTATGGATATGGTGTATTGTATCAAATAATGTGGCTCGTATCACTAACCGGTCAATAAGGCACCGAGGGTAACCCCAACTGCAAGGACCTCCAATTTTAAACCGAGATAAACGAGATCAAGTTGATTGGTATTGATAATGAGATTGGCCGTGTCTTCTTTCATTTGAAGGTGCCTCTAATAATGACGAACGAAGAAAAAAAATGGAATGCCTCAGTTTGTTGGGTCAATTTCGAGAGACGTGTTAAAAAAACGAGAATTGGTAAACCAGATTCAACTCATACCATCATAATTCCAACCTGGCAAAAAAAGAAACATTTGTCCATTGTTGTAGTCATGGGGTCTTTGTTAGTATTGAGAACTACTTGTGGACATTGTCCCATTATTGAATTGAGATCAGTAAAATCAATCACCTCTTCTATGATCTCATCGGCTGAATACTGTTCTATCAACGTCAATAAGTCTGTGTGATGTATGACATTCAAAGCTTGCTCCTCCTCAGTCTCTGCAAAGGCCTTCCGAATGGCCGGATTTTCTCGACTTTGAAAGTATTGTGAGGCTATAAAAAATCGTCAATTAATTGGTAGGCAGATATGCAGCAAGTAGCTAGAGCCGCTCTTACCTTGCTCAGACATCTTGTCCAGACAATTTTTTAGATTGACACATTTGCCGGTGAAGTCTCTCAATTGATGAGCGGAAACAAGTAATTTTTCAACTGTCTTCGAACCTGAATCAATGTATGGGAATTGTTGAGTTAGTATTCACGGGATTTTTTTTTTCCCTTTTGAATGAAAGATTGAGGTGGATCAACAAACGGATTTCTTTTTCAAGTGTGTTCAAAAGTAACTCAATCGACACCTTCATGACTTCGAGATCCTTCTCTAACGAAAGAAACATGACTTCTAGAATACTTCGAAGCGCACTGGATCGTTTGAATTCAGTTGATTAGAATTATTCTGGATCAATTTTTGAATTTGTGACCATTGAGAATTTATAAAATTCTTACAGAAGTTTGAAAGAATATTCAAAGTCATAGGCGCTTTTCTCCTCTTTTACTGTTCCTCTTTGTTCGCCACTGAAATTCGAAATCCCTCTGAGGAGGTTGGAAGTGAACTCTTGTCTGTGTGAAAATGCCAGTCCTTCATTACCAGATTTCTTCACGGGGAAGTGTTGATACTGATTGTAAGTCACGTGTGGATCGTTAAGCATGGCTACTGATTCTGCAGTAACGACGGCTCGAAATCCATTTGTATTGATCTGTTTAGACATTGAGGACACAATAAAAACTTCGATTTCGTCAATGTTCACCATTATTGTTCGGTTTTGATTGAAAGAAGGCACACACGATTATGGCTTCCCCCCGCAACCAAAGAGAAGTCCCAGAAAAATTGGATTCAAGCAACCTCAAGTCTTTCGGCTGCAGCAAATGCATCAGATTTTAACTAGCAAGGAAAGTGATTTGATTAACTATAATGGGTTGGGGATGACTAACCTGTATTCCCTTATCGCAACAAAAACCTGCTCTTGAAGCAATCTGTCCCGGACCGGTGATTCCTGAATCAAAATAGTGATGTCAGGCGTTAATTATGCCTCCCCTCAAATCAGTGTTACTTCCACGAACCTTGCCAACTAATCTCCGTGTAATAAATGTCTGTCTGAGGACGCCTCATGCTTTGACTTTCCATTCCATTGAACCGCATTATGTTTCTCTCTCCCATGGATTTCACTGGGAATCTGATGGGTATGGGTGGAGTGCTGCGTGGCTGTATGCCTGGTGAATCCCGGGGGTCCGCTTTATTTTCATTTCGACGGTTGGACAATATTATATCAGCTTCAGTTATTTATTCTAAGTCTTGACAGTAGCGATTGGGCGGTCTGATGAACTCACTAGGTGTGCTGACCCAGGTTTCCTGAGCGATGCTTCGAACAATCTGAGACTTTCTGTAACTGCCCCTGGCAAGTGAACAAGAAAGCATCGTGAGGAGTTGGGTGATATGGGGTGCGAATAAAGATGGAATGTCCTGCAATGTAGCACAAAGATCCTTACAAATCCAGTTTGCAAGTGAAACTACACTGATGAGAAATTAAGAACTGTAGCTGGGCATGGGTTGTGGATTCATAAGAACCACAACGTTATAAGGTTCGAGTTCTCGTGGCATAGCCGGCCGACGAACGCTTGAGTTGTACTCGGCAACAAAGAACCGAAGCCGATTGACTAGCCCGCCACGGTCATATAACTGCTCATGGGTGTCGTGCGCCTTGCTCGTAGATCGTAAAAACCTGCGGAGCTGGTGCGACCGCGAGCCTCACAACAGGCCTCGCGAGTGAGAGCCCGGAGGGCAGCCCGCAAGGGTCTTCGGTCGGCGCAGGCGACTCCTTGAGAGAAGGGAATAGTGGCTTGGGACAAGTTCGGTGAGACCGGCTTCTGTTTGCCTGTATGACCAGCGAGCTGATGAGAGACTTGGCGGAGGTTCTGACCGTGGTCACCACTGCAACCAATCCGATACTGGATTGGCTCTGCCGATAGAAGCGCCTCTGAAGACCGAGGGACTTCATGAAGTTAGGGCCGATGCCTACGATATCACACTATACATATCACGCCAATGGACCCGGCGAATTGTCGAACTTAACACAAGTCCCTCCGACGGTCCGACACGCTTCGCGCCTCCTTGGAGGTGCTTAGCTAAGCTCGGCGAATTGTGCGACATGAGCGTCCCGATATACCGAATTTTGTAATTGTGATTCGGATCGGAAAGTCAGACCAGTAATAATCCAAAATATCGGCCCAGTGCAACGAATGGAATTCTAGACCACTGAAGTTTCTTTGGTTATATTGGAATATGCTAAAGATATGCCTACTGTTTCCTTGATTAATCTTTATAGGGCTTGTTATTTAGATTTGTTGAACTATTAGTTGCTGTTTTTTTTTAGCTTTTGCTTATTTTACTAGACCAATTGTTCGTTTTCGAAATCCTTATCAGCGCAAGCGAAGCCTTCAGCAGAAAAATTGGAAAGGCAAATCTTCTTTTAGCTTGTACACTTCCTGAACGCTTACTGAAAAATGAGTCAGCTATCATGAACGGGTGCATCTTATTCATTCGGGAAGCCAAAAACCTGGTAACCCTTTTTCGCGTCTTTTCCCCAACTCCTGGATCAAACATGCAAGAGAACTATTCCGTGAGGCACTGTCCGGAAATCATACGGGGCAAACCCGATGTGGCTGGGGCTTACACTATTTATGCAATCCGAGGTTTTTTGCCCGTTTTTATCAAAGCGAGAAACATTTCATCAATCTACAGGATCCCGGAGGATATCAGTGCCGCTAAGCTTTACGTTTTCAGATCCCTTTTGACACTGTCAGTCGTTTTGCTTGGCAAAAAAAACTTCGGCTTATGGATTGTAGATGAGTTTAGCCATAAATAAGAATTCAATCCACAGCTGTCAGAAGCATTTTTAACACGTCCGAGGTTATAAGTAGGCTTAATTTTATAGAAGTAGGTTAAGTCGGTTGTTAAGATTGGTTGTCAAGAGTGGTTGGTCTAATCGGTAGGCATGGGAGTGAATGACATCGCTTGTGAGTCGCCCATGGTTGGTGTCTGCTGTTGTGAAGCCGTTATCAAAAAACTCCATGAGTCTGGCATTACATCTGTCCAGCAATCTGATTCTTAATACTCAAATATTTAAAATGTTACACTTTCTACTTGCGCTATCTTCACTCCCATATATCCTGCCTATGCTGGTCGGATGCGAAAGCATCAACCATCATGCCATTGATCTCATTCCCAGCTCAGAACTCCATTGCAAAAAGTGGGATTCTCCACTGCCGTCACGCCTAAATGTTGCAAATCCCGATTACGACGTATCGCCTACAATTCCCCAAATGGAACCGTTTAAGAACGGATTTCTGAAGTCCAACTGTTCCAGAAATCCACTCGACATCGACCCTGAACCGTTTTGCATCTTCCTTAATACAAAAGTCAATCAGGGTATGGGTATCGTCATTATCTCGAAAAAGTCGGTGTTTGAAGCGAGTCTTCCAAAGTTGGATTTCTCAACAGAGCTACCTGTTCCTTCGACAATCAAAATTGTCAAGATGCCAGAGAAAGGCGGCGCTGGTGCCGTTGCCTCTCAAGATCTCAAACGCGGGCAGACCGTCGGCAAAGTCAGAGCTGTTGCCCTCTTCCCACATGATCAAAGCCTTTGGGGCAACGAATTTGGGAAACGCTTTTACCGACAAGCAATCGAGCTTTTACCGCATCGTACTCAGGATGTGATTGCCAGCCTTCACGCCACAGGAATGGAAGAAACAAAAGAAGAATTTATTGCAAACGCGCTCAAGCAGAACACATTTGGAACCCATCTAAACCCAGCGTCACCGATAGTTTATACTGCACTCGTCTTGGAACCAGCGTAAATGCTTTTCCATGAACGGTTTTCTAGGAGACGCATGAGAGCTTAAGCTTTAACCTTGACCAGGGTCCGATTTAATCACGACTGCCGACCAAACGTCGGGTACTATATAGATCACGATACCCAGTCAATACACATGACAGCATTCAGACAAATTTTGGCGGGCGAGGAGCTTACCATCAGCTGTAAGTGCATTTCTTTCTCCTCCCCGCCACGGCCAGGCATTAATCCTCTAACATCTCAACGCAGATCGCGCATCGGAGCTTACACGAAAAATGCGACAAGATTCTCTGAGTGCAAATTACGGATTTCAATGCTCATGTTCGCATTGCCAAATGAGCTCAGAGGAAGGGAAGAAGTCAGATGGAAGGGTCCTACGTCTCTTGCAGCTCCAAAATATCCACTCCACGGGGGTGGAATGGCTTTCAATTGAAGAAGTCACAGAGCTCATCAAAATTTGTGAAAGGGTTAGCAATTTTCTATCAATCTTTAAAGTTTAGCTTGAAACGTTTTTCAACACCTAGGAATTTTTTACTTTCTCCTTTCTTCAACAGGAAAATCTCCCGTACTCGATGATCAACGCCAATTACATTGCCGCACAAGTGTACAATGCACATGGAAGAACCCAGGAGGCTAGTGATTTCGCTAAGAAAGCCAAAAGGGATGGCCTGATGTATGTGGGTCCAATGTGGAAAGACTTGGAAGAAGCACAAATCCTAATAGACTCCCCTCAAAAGCACAATTCATATTTAAACATAATAGTAGATGATGAAATTTAGGACCTGCAATATTTTTTATTTGAAATGAAATGATATGGATCTTCATATATATTTCTCACTTGTGTTGCATCATATCTTCAACAAGAATTATGATCAAATTTGTGTGTCTTATAAACACAGCATGCAAGGACTCTCTTCTTGGAATTATTACTTACTGGACAGATCAGTTTGGCCATATACAAGGAATTAATGTACAGTTGTCAAAAACAATTTGAACACATTGTAAACTGGGTTACAGGTTTATACAAGGTGGGTTAATTTGGTTGTTAAGATTGGTTGGAAAGAGCAGTTGGTATAACTGGTTGCCATGGAGCTCAATAACATCGCTGCTGAGTCGACCATGGTTGGTCACGGTAAATTGACACGAGCCGTTAAAATCCAAACTTGACGAGTCTGGCATTTCATGGGTTCAGCGGTTTGATTCTGACGGTCAAATATTTAAAATGTCACAATTTTTACTTTCCCTATCATCACTCTTGCATGCCCTGCCTCTGCTGGTCGGATGCGACATCATCAGCCGCTATAACTCCATTGATCTCATTCCCAACTCAGAACTCCATTGCAAAAATTGGGAGTCTCCACTACCTTCACCCCTAAAAGTTGCAGATCAAAAGTACGACGTATCGCCTACAAGCCCTCCAATGGAACCGTTTAAGAACGGATTTCTGAAGTCCAACTGTTCCAGAAATCCACTCGACATTGACCCTGAACCTTTTTGCATCTTCCTTAATCCAAAAGTCAATCAGGGTATGGGTATAGTCATTATCTCGAAAAGATCGGCGTTTGAAGCCAGTCTTGAAAAGTTGGATTTCTCAACAGAGCTACCTGTTCCTTCGACAATCAAAATTGTCAAGATGCCAGAGAAAGGCGGTGCTGGTGCAGTTGCCTCTCAAGATCTCAAACGCGGGCAGAGCGTTGCCAAAGTCAGAGCTGTTGGCCTCTTCCCAAATGATCAAAGCCTTTGGGGGAATGAATTTGGCAAACGTTTTTACCGACAAGCGATCGAACTTTTACCACGTCGCACCCAGAATGTGATTGCCAGCCTTCATACATCAGAAATCCAACAAACAAAGGAAGAATTCCTTGCAAGCGTGCTCAATCAAAATACATTTGGCACTAATCTGAACCCAGAGTTACGGATGTTTTATCAAGCCCTCGTCTTGGAACCAGCGTAAATAAATCTCTGCGAATATTTTTCGAAAGAATATATTAGAGCTTAATCTTTAATCTTGACCAGGGTGCGATTCAATCACGACTGTCGACCAAACGTCGAGTACTATATGGATCATTTTACTCAATCAATCCGCATGACGGCTTCCAGGCAAATTTTGGCAGGCGAGGAGCTGACGATCAGCTGTAAGTCATTCTGCCGCCTCACCTCCAGGCGTTGATCTTCTGACGTTTGAATGCAGACCGCGCCGCAGAATTTACACGGGAACGGCGGCAAAATTCCCTGAGTGAAACTTATGGCTTTCGCTGCTCTTGTTCTCATTGTCAGATGAGCTTAGAGGAAGGTCGGAAGTCGGATGAAAGGGTTTTGCGGGCCTTACAGCTCCAAAATTATCACTATACGAGAGAGGAATGGCTGTCGATTGAAGAAGTTAAGGAGCTCATTAACATTTGTGAAAGGGTTAGTAATTATTTGTCAAGAGTAACAAGCCTTGAAGTTGACTTTGAAAATTTGTTGAACACCTTGGGTTTTTTCATATTTTTCTTCAACAGGAAAGTCTCACGTATCATTTGTTCACCGCCTATTATATTGCCGACGTTTGAATGCAGACCGCGCCGCAGAATTTACACGGGAACGGCGGCAAAATTCCCTGAGTGAAACTTATGGCTTTCGCTGCTCTTGTTCTCATTGTCAGATGAGCTTAGAGGAAGGTCGGAAGTCGGATGAAAGGGTTTTGCGGGCCTTACAGCTCCAAAATTATCACTATACGAGAGATGAATGGCTGTCGATTGAAGAAGTTAAGGAGCTCATTAACATTTGTGAAAGGGTAAGTAATTATTTGTCAAGAGTAACAAGCCTTGAAGTCTACTTTGAAAATTTGTTGAACACCTTGGGTTTTTTCATATTTGACTTTCTTCAACAGGAAAGTCTCACGTATCATTTGGTCACCGCCTATTATATTGCCGCGCAAATCTACAATGCGCATGGAAAAACCCTAGAGGCCGGTTATTTTGCTGAGAAAGCTAAAAAGGACGGTCTGATTTATTTTGGGCCAACGTGGAAATACCTAGACGACGCACAAATCCTGATAGACTTTCCTCAAAACCATGATTCCTACTTAAACATGAGAATTGAGTATTAGTTTTAGGTCCTAAAATAAACTCAATTACTTATGTGGAATTTTGATTTATTTTTCACATTTCTATGCCATCATTATATCATATGTTAAAGTGGAATCAAATTTCTGTGTCTTAAGAAAATAGCATGCAACAACTAGGTTCTTATTCATGGAGTTATTGTTTGCTGGAAAGTCTACTGTCTAGCCATATCCAAGAAATTAATTCTCAGCTGTCAGAATAAATTTGAACACATTGTAAACTAGGTTACAGGCTTATATGAGGTGGGTTAAGTTGGTCGTTAAGATTGGTTGGCAAGAGGGATTGGTGTGATTGGTTGGCATGAGAGTCAATGGCATCGCTTGTGAGTTGCCCATGGTTGATTTCTGTTGAGAATTGATTCAAGCTGTTATCAAAACTCCATGACTCTAGGATTTCATGGGTTCTAATCTGATTCCCAAAAATTGAGTATTTAAAATGTCACAATTTCTACTTGCGCTATCATCACTCCCATATATCCTGCCTCTGCTGGTCGGAATCGGATGCGACCGCATCAACCACAATGTCATTGACCTTCTTCCCAGCTCAGAACTGCATTGCAAAAAGTGGGATTCCCCACAAATGACCCCCTTGAAAGTTTCAAATCGCAAGTACGACGTATCGCCTACGATTCCCCAAATGGAACCGTTCAGGAACGGCTTTCTGAAGTCCAACTGTTCCAGAAATCCACTCGACATCGACCCTGAACCGTTTTGCATCTTCCTTGATCCAAATGTCAATCAGGGTATGGGTATAGTCATTATCTCGAAAAAGTCGGTGTTTGAAGCGAGTCTCCCAAAGTTGGATTTCTCAACAGAGCTACCTGTTCCTTCGGCAATTCAAATCGTCAAGATGCCAGAGAAAGGCGGTGCTGGTGCAGTCGCCTCTCAAGATCTGAAACGCGGGCAGACCTTGGGCACAGTTAGGGCTGTTGGCCTCTTCCCAACTAATGAGGCCTTTTGGGGGAACGGATTTGGCATACGTTTTTCCCGACAAGCGATCGAACTTTTACCGCTTCGTACGAGGAATGTGATCGCCAGCCTTCATGCAACAGGAATCGAAAAAACAACGGAAGAGTTTCTTGCAAGCGTTCTCAAGCATAATACTTTTGCCACCCATTTGCACCCAGAGTTACGGTTATTTTATAGTGCGCTTGTCTTGGAACCAGCGTAAATGCTCCTCTGCAGACTGTTTTCTGGAAGATGGATTAGAGCTGAATATTTAATCTTGACCAGGGTGCGGTTCAATCACGACTGCCGACCAAACGTCGGTTACTACATGGATCATGTTACTCAGTCCATGCACATGACAGCATTCAGGCCAATTTCGGCGGGCGAGGAGCTTACCATTAGTTGTAAGGCATCCTTTTCCCTCCCCTCCATAAATTAGTCTTCATTAGTCTACTGACTTTTCAACGCAGACCGTGCCTTAGAACTTCCACGGCAAGTGCGACAAGATTCCCTTAGTGAGACTTATGGCTTTCAGTGCTCTTGTTCTCTTTGCCAACTGAGCGCAGAGGAAGGGCGGAAGTCGGATCGAAGGGTTCTACGTGTGTTGCAGCTCCGACGATTTCACTACACAGGAGACGAATGGCTCTCAATAGAAGAAGTTAAAGAGCTCATCAGCATTTGTGAAACAGTTAGTAATTCTTTATCAGGAATAAAAAGCTTCGGAGCTTCCCTTGAAAATTTTTTGAGCCCATGGAGCTTTTCTACTTTGAATTGATTCAACAGGAAAACCTTCCGTACTCTTTGATCAACGCCCATCTCATTGCTGCACAAGTGTACAATGCACATGGAAGGAGCCAAGAGGCCAGCTATTTTGCTGATAAAGCCAAAAAGGATGGTTTGATGTATATGGGACCAACATGGAAATACTTGGAAGAAGCACAAACACTCATAGACTCACCTCAAAAACATGATTCATACTTGAACATAGTAATTGAGGATGAGTTTTAGGCACTGCAAAAAATCTTTTATTTGAACATAAAACACATGGACCTTTATTTTTTTGCAATTTCATTCAATCATATGTTGAATTACAATCAAACAAATTCATGTGTCTTATCAAGTATTCCTAACTATTGATCCCTTCACCAAAATGCAAACCATTTAAGGCTTTCTAGAACAGAATACCCTATGGGTTTCAAGCTAAATAAAAATACCAAAGGCTTGATCACAAGATCAAACAAGTGGGTGATTCAAGATTACCTTGCCATTTCACCCAGTGATTTCAATTGAATTCTTGAAAAAATTGTTAATTTAATCTGATTTATAAATGCTCAGTTTATCATGTTCTCACATTTGATAATTGGTGTGATGGTTTAAATTTTTGGATGGATGAATCAATAAATTAAATTTGAGTTTCATTCCAGAAATAAGATGGTGCTAGACAGCTCTGAGTCTGAGACGCAATTCAAGGTAAATATGACCAGATGGAAGTGATGTGTATTGGCATATTTTGAATCCTTTGATCAAATAAAATTTCTTCCAATACTTGGTGTTCAAATTTAATCATGCATAATTCATGAATTTTTTTGAACTTTGCAGGGAATCTTGACAATCTATTTATTTAATCTAATCTGATTGTCAAGATTCCCTGCAAAAATTCATCAAATATGCATGCATAAGTGTCTGCATATTTAACTTTGAACACCATACCTGATAAATGAATAAAATTACAAGTGAAAATATCAGTAGTTTTTCAAAATTAGCATCTGCCGACATGTTACATAAGTAATCAAGAGAACAAACCTCAATCCAAGGCCCCATCTGGACATGTTTGTCATAAATTACAAGGTTTAGTGCCAAATCACATTCCACCTAATGGTGGTGATTGGGCAGGCTCAGCCCACCCATGGCCCAGCACTGGAGCAGGTGGGTTGGGCCGGGCCTGATTTGGAGAATACCCAGCCGGTCCCAAACTCACTTAAACTGTGGGCTGCCCAAGGGCCTCAATAGATGCAGGTGGATTGCCCATGGGTAGCCTGCGGGCTGACTGCAGGCTTTTACTAGGTCCATGCAAAATTGAATGAATGGCAGGGGAAAAAGACACTAATACTTGATCTTGCTGTTATTCAACTCAATAAAGATGGCAATCTGGAGGCTTGGGCAGCCAACAGGCCTCAGAATTAATTGGTCCAACTTGGTTTGGGCCTAGATTAAAAAAAAACTCCAAATAGTCTGGCATGTGCCTTGCCCAAACATGGGCGGGCTTAATTGGGCCAACCCGGGTTGGGCCTAGATTAAAAAAACATCACATAGTCTGGCCCTTGCCTTGCCCAAACCTGGGCAGGTTCAGGCGGCCTGTTGGAAGCCCGGCCCAATTACCATCCTTAATCTTAGTTACAGCCAATGATTTGCTGGTCTTGAACAAGGTTTGTTTGCTGATGCACCAACTTCATGAACTTAACTTGTGGGATTTTGCCTCCAAAGGGGATCCTCCCACTAAACTTGTTTACTTTCCCATAAAACTTAAAATAGCAATGTTAACAAAGTTTGACTGCTGATTCTGAGATCATCAGGACACAAATCGCCTTATTATGTATGCTTATGACATGTCAATATATATAGGCTGTGCAATTGAGTGCTGAGCCTTAACATTTGTAACATATAGTAGAGATGGCCCCGGCGCATCCGGATATCCGCACGGATGTGGATATCTGGCTACTTTTTCCGGGGAAATAGCCATCAGCACCTGCATCTGAAGCCGCTGGCGGGTGTCCTCCCGCCTTAGCGGGTATCTTCAGATACCTACCCTTTAAAGGGTTGGCAAGGCGCCTGATGGAAGGGTTTCCTTCCTCCAGCCAGCCGGTGAGGATGTACCTTGCCGGCTGGAAGGGTTTCCTTCCAGTCGGCAAGGATGTACCCTTCCAGCTGGCAAGGTACATCCTCATTGACTGGAAGGACCTTGAGCCGGCCATTGGCCTTGGGTATCCGTGGGGATACCCAGACATCTGCCAGATTTGGGGGGGGGGGAAATGGCCATCTGAAGCCAAATCTGCACCCCCTGGCAGGTATCCGACAGCGGATAGCGGGTATCCGCAACGGATACCCCGCGGCCGTCATATAGCAGTGTCCAATGGGGCCCAAAACAACATAGTTTTCCAACTCACATCAAGATAGAGAGATTGAAATCGAAAAATTTTGAGCTAACAAACACTTTACACTGCAAAAGGGGCTCTATTGGTTGCAACCCCCCGTGATATGGTTACCCAGAGGCAACCAATATAAGATTGGTCTTTTTGACCAATTTCATATCGGCCCCACCCATACATTTTTCCTTTGTTCTAATGTATTGGTGGGCCCAACCAATAAAAATTGGTCAATGAGACCAATCTCATATTGGTTGCCTCTGGGAAACCTTATTGCGGGGGGTTGTAACCAATGCAACCCCTTTTGCAGTGCTAGAAACATGTCATGCTTGCTGAAGGGATTTGTTTTGGCTTTGATGTTGTCCATTTTTTTATAACAATATAAAACTTCCATGCCTTCATGAAGTTGAGACCATTCTTATGGGTTTCAAAGTATAATTATGTATGTAGAATCAATATTTTAATCTCAAGCTGTAAACTAAAAGCCTGCACAAATTTAGAGGTTTCCAAAAATGACAGAACATCTTCAATGTACTGTAGTATAGCTGATTTTGTTCAACATAGATTCTCTTGAGTCAGACAGACTTGACTGATATTTTTCCTCTAGATCTACGGAAGCCTTTGAGATTGTCATGTTTAGACTTCTGATGATTGGTACATGCACACAAGGGTCAAATCTGTTTGAGGCTTGAAAGGGTTTGATTTGGAGACCCCGGGGGCAGCCGCTGGGAAGGCCCCGGAGTCCCCGTCAGCCAGAAAACGGAGGGCTGTGCGGGGCTTCAGTCGATGTGAGGTCTGTGACACCCGAGACAGCGAGTGACGACATCTTGAACCACAACCAACTCAAATACATCATCATCATCAAGCACCACATCACCGGACCGTCTGGGCTGCTTCAGGAGGAAATCGGACAGCTATCGCAAAAATATGGACCGAACGTCAGTATCAATGTATCAGTCGTTGAAGATCAGGTGGTCAACTGACTAACACCAAAATTGATTCGATTCTATACACAACAGGCAGGAGTTCAAGTCATGTGTGGCATCGATTCGCTCGAGGACGGCATCCCAAAGAGTGCCAGAACATAAACAACGGCTGCTGGATAACTCATCACCCAGTCGTAAGAACCAACGAGCCCCTGGAGCCCGTGGAGAATTCGCTAGATTAGCCGGAATGATTGGAAAGGATATCCAACAAACCACCGTCAAACTTAGCCAACTTGCTCAACGTTAAGTCTCTGAAGCACTTCCTGAAATTGGCCGGTCTTGGCAACCGCTAACACGACCGCCCCTCTCTCTTTAGTCGCCAAGCGGAAGACTCTCTTCGACGACAGACCAGTTGAAATCTCGGAATTGACATATATCATTAAACAGGACATCGCGCAACTCAACCAACAAATCGCCCAATTGCAAACATTCGTCAAACAGAACTTGTCTTCAAATCGTGGTCAAAAACAGCCGGTTGATGAGCATAACAATAACGTGGTGATGATGCTCCAAAGCAAACTGGCAGATACGAGCATGGGCTTCAAAGATGTCCTCGAGATTCGCACCCAGGTCAGACATGTTGCCTTTTTCCCCCCATCCTGGTATGATTGAAACTCATTGGCGCTGGTTGTCTGTTATTCCTGATGGGATCTGTATCGCAATAGAATATGAAAGCGACGAGAGACCGGACCGAACAATTTCAGTTCAATACCCCTGGGCTTGCCACCGCATCACAATCAGGTACTTAACCTTACAGATGGATGATTCGTAGAGGAAAAAATAAGCGCGCTTATTGATCCCACTGATAGTCCTCCGTTCACGCCCCACACCATCCTCCCCTTTCAATTCAAAATCCGCAGACTCACCCTTGTATGCAGCTCAACAAGCAGGAGTCGCTTCCGGTGTCAATCGATCACTCTATGATTCTAAAGGCAAAGGGAAATCTACGCAGGACCCTCCTGGCTATCAACAGAATGAATATCTCGCCTTGGACATGGGCAAGAATTCTAATCCGGGCGAATCTAGTGGACCTCAAGGATACATGCAAATGCAGCTAGCACAAGACAATTCAGTTGCGTTTCTTTTTGACGTCTAGTCGATCAAGTTCGTTGCTGATGAGGCTTCAAGCGATTTCCGTTTTCAATGAACAGGATGCATATCTCCAGCAACGGTCAACAGCCATCGAATCGATCGAATCCACAATCACTGAGCTGGGCTCGATCTTCAGTCAACTAGCAACGATGGTTGCTCAACAAGGAGAACAGGTACAACGGATCGACCAAGATACGATCGACATCGAAAGTAACATCCAATCCGCTCAATCCGAATTGCTCAAATTCTATTCAAGCATCTCGGGGAATCGGATGTTGATGTTTAAAGTGTTCGGGATGATCATGATCTTCTTCTTGGCAAGTTCCTTCTCTTCCAAGTATTTGCTTTATCTCAATGAATCTATCAAATTTTCTTTGCTAACCAATTATCACTTCCCCTTCTTCCACAGTTATTCGTCTTACTCACCTAAACATCTAATAGAATCTCTGGAATGCTATGGTTGTGAAATACATATTTGTGTTTTTTTTTGTAATAAACAAATCAACAAAATTCTGTTTTTTGGATGCATCTTTTCATTTCATTTCATTTCATTTCTCCTCCACCATTGATTCCTAATATTGTCTACTTATTCACAAACTCTGATCATTAAGAAAGTATAACATCGTTACTTTTTCTTTCGTGTTGCCCGCCATCCGACGGAGCTTGTATTTGGCTATGTAGTTCAAGGCCGTCAGCCTGTCTGGTGGACCGGCCCTGGTACATAAGATGCTTGCTGTGCGGGTCGCCCTGTCAGCGAGAAGACTCCAGCTTTGTTTTCTTCATGATCTGAGGAGCAGCCACACCAGTCTTTTATCTCATTCGGGTGTGTTGATAGGTCAACTTGTGTAGCCGCACCATGTTCCACAGAGTCATTCAAATTGAACCTACCTACGAATACTTGGGGCCTCCATCTCTGCTAGTCATCAGCCTGGCTCATGGAGGCAGATCACCACTTCAGTAGACTTGGCTTTACGGATGGCCCAATATTTTTGTGAAGGTGACTACAAAACTCAAGATTCCTTGCATAATGGTTTATGGGTCCAATGAGGACTGCAATTACCAGTGCAAGCACACATAGCACAGCGGTATATCGGTACATCGCACTACACACCCAGTCACCTGTTGTCAACAAGTTACTGGTTCAGTCCCTACCTACCTCAATTTGCTAGCCCAAGGTTTAGAAAGTCCCCACAAGACCCATGATGTCCACGAGAGTGAAAAACTGTACCATTATCTGCAGTGCCATCCTACAGCTCTTCCTACCGGCCTCTGCCATGGAGGGTGCTGGTGGCCTAGTGGTTATATCTAACTGTCTCTACGAAGGATGCCGAAAGAAATGCCACGTGTTGCCAGACACTTTGGTTAGACAATACCGCTTCCCATTGGAAGGAGAGTGTGGCCCTTACTTTGATGGACAATCTTGGAAACACTGTCACAATATCCGCCGCAAGATTTACTTCCGATGTGGTACTTGTGCAAGACTTCATTACACAAACTGGACGATGGTGAGAGTAGTCACAGGAGAAGACTGCTGGATTAAGCCTCACCTCACCTTGGACAAAGTGCCCATCAAACCTCCAGAACTCGATCTCATCGCTCATTTCAGTGGTCAAGGCTCTTCCTCAGCAGGCCCATCAACCTAAAGCAATTGGAAAAAAAAGGAAACCAGTTTGAAATAGCCCTCCGGCCTGCACACAATATTTTTAGTTTTTAGCATGTGTAACAAGCTACAACACCCAATTACAAAAATTTCCACAAGACTGGATTATGTATGTGAACCAACGCTGGGCCAGCTACGCTAACCGTAGCGTTAGCGTGGCGTAGCGCAGCGGAAATGCGCTACTTTGTAGCGTAGCGTTAGCAAAAAATCCACCTTTCTGCGCTAACGCTACGCGCAAAGGGCACAAAAGTGTGTTAGCTGTTAGCGTAGTGTTAGCGCAGAAAGTTGGAATTGCGCTAACACTACGCGCTCAGGGCACAAAAAAGTGCCCGCTATGCCGCGCTACAGCGCTTTTTAGCGGGTTTTTTGCCTTTTTTGCCGCTAAAAGCGCTGTAGCGATGCGCTAACACTACCCAGAAACAAGCCGCCTGTTAGCGGGGCTACAGCGTAGCGGCACGCTAACACTACAGAAAAAAAGGCATGTTTCAGCGCCGCTACACTAACGCTAAGTGGCCCTTTGGCGTAGCGTAGCGTAGCGTAGCGTAGCGTAGCGTAGCGTAGCGTAGCGGCCCAGCGTTGTGTGAACCCAGAATGATCCATTTCATATCACTCAACTTATTGATAGCTATTCCCCCCAGTCTTTGTGGCCCTTCAAAAAGAATTTCTCAGACTGTGAAATCAGAGGGAATCCACCTGCAGAGCAAAATCATGATTGTACTCAATCCTTCTCCCATCTTGGCCAGAAATGGAAAAACCTCTCTGCCTATCAGAATCAATGGATTATCTGCATTAGTTTAAATTGATTCAACACCATTAATATCAAACACAATACCCACAAATTGCCATGATATCCAGTAATCAAGGGAAAATATATTTCACTGGTTATTTGCAGAATGACCCAATTGATTTTTGAACACACCAACACTTCACTGGATGACTTCCCGTAGCAGTTTACAACCCTCCCAGAATTTGATTTACACCCCCTAGATCTTAATTCATAGTATAAAAAAATGTTTTTTCACAAGCCTTGTGAAGATAGCTCTCATGTGAGCTGGTTGGAATTATGATTGAAGTGTTAATTTAGGACTGGGGAGGGCTTGAAAAGCACTTTAAATGGCGACGGGAAGTCCTCCACAGTGCTCAACTTTGATTCTCAAGTTTTCTAAGCTTTCATGATCTTGAAAATTGCTGTTTGTCCCACCTCATTTATTTTGCTTATGAGATGTTCCTTGCAAGAAGTGAATCACTCAGGGATAGACCACACACGCTCCAGCCCCCGGATCGGGTTTTGCCCGACGGCAAGCCGCCACTTGGTCCAGCAGCTCTTCTGCCAAGTTCAGACCAAAACCTCATTGAACACAAGCATCACCTTCCAATATCAACAAGATTCTTTTCAAAATGGACCCTATATGTATTGTTGTTTGAAGAAAGCTTGGACAGATTTTGTCGTTGCTGTTCACAAATCATGGTATTACATGATCACTTGGTTTTTGTTGTTTTTGGTTTTTGCCTTGTGAAATCATGATCGGCATCATGATTTCCACTTCGGTGAAGACAGTCAAGGCTGTTTGTTACCAGTTGTGGTGGTCAACAGCCTCCAAACTGCTTGCAAGCCATCTCAACAGAGCATCAGACAGTTCCCTCGCTACCCATGTCGCACTTCGGAATTGACCTATTTGGCCGGGAAACCCCGCCGCCGGGTTATCATTCTGCTTCGGAATTATGGAGGATTCAAAATCTTGGCCCACCGCCCGATCAACTAACAGTAAGAACAGAAATTTCCTCTGTTATGCTCAGATGAGGAATGCAAATTAATTGTTTTTTTCTTGCATCCAGACTCAGACAATTGATTTAAGCACGAGCTTCAAATTAGTCTATCCTGACAAAAACTCAAACAACAAGCTCACTTGGATACCAAGGAAATCAAAGGGGAAGTTTTTAATTTCAATTCCAGCCATTTCCACAACATTCAAGCAATTCCGTGAAATCATTGCTAGAAAGTGCGAAGAGAATTCTGAGGGTGCCGGAAAGATCATTCAAAACACGCTTGAGTCCGGCTCTCCTGGAATCAACTGGAAGGTCTGGATGAATCTTCCAGCAGCCCACAAGTTTAAAAAGAACGCCAACTATAAAGTTAACGACATTGATTCATTCACCCACTGGACGGCAACCATCATCGCAAATGGGAAGGACAGGACCGATGCGAGCTTGGAAGTCGAAATGATCAGCCCAGCCAATTTAGAGAAAGAAGCAAAGGCGGCTGTGAAGATCAAACAACATGTAATGACCCATGCGGCTGACCAACGTGCATCAACTTCAAAGCACCAAGATCCGTCAAATTTGGTTGCCGCCGAGGATTTTGATCTTTACAATTTGTACAGAGACCAGATCTTCAATGCCCACCCGCCAAACGTTCAATACCATAATAAGATTCCGGTCTTTATTGATCCAGGTGACCGAAGTCGTTACATCCTCTTGACAACTGGGAATGTTGATAAATGGGCATATGCTCTTGTAAGTAGATTGGAACTTCATCAGACCATCGAAATCAGACATAACTGACTTCTGGTTTTTAGACAAAACCCAATACTGCAGTTTCCCTTCACTCGCCACCACCCGAACTCAAATTCGAGAAGTTATCTGCCTCGAAAAAGCATAAACTAGACAACTGTTCAAGCTCTCGTACTCGTAGGGTCAGTTCCCAATCCGATTCCGATGGGTCTTCTGTAATCAATCCAGGAGTCAACTTGCTTGAGGCCTATCTCGAATTCATCAAGATCCCAGCTATTGAAAGGAGCGAGATTGCAAGGATTCTCACTGAACACAAGGCAACGAATCCTAGATTTTTCCGATCAAAGAACATCACCCGAGATGTGATGAAAGGCTGGGGCTTAGCTGATATATACATTGCTCAATTAAGAGACAATGTGAAGAAATTTGAAAAATCTAAAGCTTCTGAATAGATTAGTAAAATCTGATCACTTTTGTATTCTTGATTATCCAAATCACTCTTTGTCGTAGATTACCCTGAACAATCAATAAATTTGTATCCTAACACAAACCTACAATACAAATCAACCAGATGGTCTTGATTAAACCAATCTCATTATTCTTCTCTTATTTTCTTTATCTCCCCAACTTGCCAGTACAATCATTATCCAGTCAATATTTTTTGAATGTCATACAAACAATTTACCTTTTGTAGTCTATTGTACTCAATCTTGACCACAAGCTACATTTAGTCTAAAACACTCAAACTTAACCTAGTTTTTAATTTGTTATGATTGGGACCGATCACACAAATCTTTTTGATGCTCGATAATAAACCAAAATGAATTTAACAAAAATGTTATTGAAAAATTATCATCTTTGAATTCAGGTGCTTTCAATAACCCCAGGCTCTATGCCAATAAATTGAAATGCAAACTAAAATTGACTGCATTCTGGGTAAGATAACAATGCTTCATATCTGAAATCAAGCTAATGGTCATTGAGACGAATGATTGGGCCTTAGTGATCCCAACCTGAACCAGATGTTATAGACCACTTTTTTTGGACTAACACATCAATGCACTCAAGTTGACTCTAAATGATGAAGACAGGGAAAAGTTTCAACAAGTTTGTTTAGTTTTGTGGGACACAGTACCCACAGTGTTTGTAAATTTTATAGCAAAAATTTGCTTGTAAGATCTCTGCTGTCACTCGACGTATCTCCCATTCTGGATCATCCGCGCAATTCAGAATTTGAGATGATCGTATTCTTTGTTTGATGGCAGCAAAACCGAGCTTGATCTGATTCAACTCGGGGCAGTATGGTGGAAGGTACATGAGTAGGACCCCTACAGCGTCACAAAGCTGCTGCACACGTTCACCACGGTGGTAACTGGCATTGTCACATACCAGAACAGAGTTGGTATCCGGGTATGGATTCATTCAAGGTAACTGAAGAATATTATGTTGTCAGATATGCTAACCAAGAGAAACAACACTGGGACTTACCAAGTCGTATTCTATAAAGTGCTCAAATCTCGGTCCATTGTAGTTTTGAAAAGTTGTAGTGAGGGCAACAATTCCATCAATGGAGATCGCTGGAAGTAGACTCAATTGGGCTGCATTGTTGTTCTTAAAAAATCTTGCGGCAGGAGTCCCTCGCTTCAACCTAGCGTATGATCGGAGGAGATCCTTATTGCAGAAGGAACTCTCATCTGCCAAAACAAGCCAACAACAAATTCTTCAGTTGGCTGATAAAAAGATAAAAAGATAAAGTCAAACTCACCGGTAAAAACAAGGAACTCAGCTGGATAAAACTCCATCTTCTCCACAAAAGTGTACTTTGCGTAGAGTGATTTCCGAATGCTCTTGGTATCCGGTTTCTTCAAGGTTATTGATAGTCGTTCAATGAGATTCCAATGGATCCCCTCAACACTGAGCAGGACACCACTGGAGTCATACAATCTTTCCTGGATCTCGTCGAGAAACAAGCTGGGTTCAGATTGGACAAGCCGGATCATGAACTGGCATTCTTCATCGGAGAGACTAGCTGGTCGGACACGGGCTTTGTTGTAAACCCCCTCCCTCCTTTGTCAGGGTTTCACAAGATTAGAAGCTAGATGTCACAATATCTCTAGTCTTCCGTCTCAGTGCTTCCTTCCTGGCTCAGCAGAGAACTGATCCCTACTTCTCTCCGAGCCAGGTGAGTTTCCTTTTCTATCCTCATTCTCTTTCTTTTGTGTTTCTTCCATTCAGATTGTACAGGAGAGAACTGATCCCTACTTCTCTCCAAGCCAGTAATAAAAAACTATCTTGTTTGGTCTTAGAAATATCTGGCTTCTGCCCGTCCCTCGAACCCCTTTTCCTCTTTATCCAGTGAAGGACTTCCAGTCCTTACACTTTTTTTTTCTCACACCAAACATCCCCAACAACGCTCCGACAACAACTGTTCCGAACAACTTCCGTGCTTTCCTGGACCGAATTGACTGTACTGTTCCGATCAAATCCGACTGTTCCGTTCCGTTCCGCCGTTCCCCGAGCCAGTAATAAAAAACTATCTTGTTTGGTCTTAGAAATATCTGGCTTCTGCCCGTCCCTCGAACCCCTTTTCCTCTTTATCCAGTGAAGGACTTCCAGTACTTACATTTGTACGTTTTGGGATCGTTGAGGACACATCGAGTCTCTTCATAAAGTTGAATCCATCGGCCAAACGATTGCCGAGAAATGAAACTGCCAAGTAATCGGCAGATTTCGTCAAGAGATAGGCCCTGGATAGCCATTTTAACGGTGGCTACCTTGGTTGCTGGGGCGTGATATCGATAAACCATTGTAATTGTGGTGCGAGTGGGAGTTGAGTCTGGCGTTGTTGGGAGAAAACGGTCGGGCAGAGGCGTGGCAATGGCTACACCTGACAGATCACAGCCAGGTGGATCAACCCGGAGCTGTGTATGGCAGAAATCACAGGCATAAACTCCTGCTGTGCCTCTGAAGCACATAACCTTCACACTTGGCAAAGCTCGCTTTGTCCAAGCTTTTTTCAAACAACAATAACAAGCAAGCACAGCACACAGCAAAATTCAAAAAATATTGATGAAAATGAATTCAGTTAGAGAAGGGTTCAATGACATAGGTAACATTTCAAAAGAAAAAATTCAAGATATAAGAACTTTTAGAAGTAAAAAACCTGGTTCAACATCTTAAAATTACTCAAAAAAGAAAATCTTAGATAAAAAATTCTATCTAGTTAGAAAAAAAAATTAATTTGTAAAGAATAAGTTGTAATAAGAAAGTGACTAAGTACATGTCGGTTGTAGTTAGATGAGAATATTTAAGAAGCTTGTACTTGTCTCGAGGGTTTCCTCATGGCGAAATCTTTGTCTTACGATCATTAAAACATCAAAATTTTGTAATAAAATCAAACTTGTCTTACACTACAAGAAAAAGTCAAGCAACTGTTGGCAGTTGACATGCAGCAAGCTTCAATCAAACCTCAATGCAAGCTGAGTTCATTGTGCTGATGTAATTTGGTGGTACAACCCTGAGACTTCAAAGGGGTGGACCAGAACAAGGCACAACAAAAGTGGGAGTTCAACTCAAGCTCAGTGCAGAGTATGGTCTGAGCTCTTGCATGTCAACTGACACCAGTTGCTTGACTTTTTCTTGTAGTGTTACCTTTAAGAATAAAAATAGCTAGCTTGATCCGTTTGCTTGTGCTTGGATCATTTCCCCTTTTTGCTTGTCTTGGGCGGCTGTGATCTTATTCGTTACACTATAGACCTCTTGAGCTTGATGGATGATGATGATGTAAGGATCCGATTTGACCCTTCACCGTTGGATGAGTAAATTCTAGAAACAAAGCCAATGCTTTGTGGAGACCAATTCTAGAACCGCTGTGTGTTTTATTTCTAGCTCAGTAGTAAGAAGTCAGTGGGTCTCTACTGAGAATAATAATAAACAACAAGAGTAATAATAAGAAAGAATTATGAAATGAAATCACTCACCTAGCTCAGTAGTAAGAAGTCAGTGGGTCTCTACTGAGCTAGGAGGGGAATGGGGAGAAAGGAACTAAGTACCGTAGAATTTATGATTATGTAATAATGTGTGAACCTCTTGTGAAACCTGTACTGGGTGTAGGTTTCACAGTCTCCCCCCCTATATAAAGATTAAGCCCTCCCCCTTACTAAGATCCTAAGAGAAATGGAGAGATAAAACAGAAGACAGAAAAAGGAAATGTGAAAAATTATGAAAATAACACTGATGTAGGGAATTTGAAGATTTGAGAGGGGAGATTCAGAAGGGAAAATGAGACAAGGAATCAAGAAAGGACAATAAGACAGAGAAACGCTAGTAGAATTGAGAAATCAATGAGGGAATTGAAAGAAGGATGAATGGTGTTGAGCATGTTTGATGGTGGGATTCAGAGGAGTGATGATCGGGGTTGTCCTCGGTGTGCCTCTGGGAAGACTGTAACAGACGGTTGTTATGTGCTCACGGCGTGGCCAGGGTAATGTTTTGACAGGTTTTTTGGATGGTAGTAACACTTGGAGGTGCATCTATTGGGAGGAACTTACTTCTGTGTTTTCCACATTTGCAACCTCTCCTCTCTCAATGTACGGCTTCACTTTTGAGATGTGCATTGTGGGATGTCGGCGGTCGCCCTCGGGGAGGTCCAGTTCAACGCTCTGTCCATGATTAAAAACTCGCAATACTTTATATGGTCCTTCGAACCGCTCCTTGAGTTTATCCACTCCGCCCTTGTGTTTGCCCCGCCAATCTGCCGAGTTGAGGAGAATCCAGGATCCAGCTGCAAGGGGAGGGCGGTCATGGTTATGCTTGTTATGTTGTAATGCTTGTCTCACTCTGCTAGTCCATAAGGTGTCGCGTGCGCTAGTCCAGGAGCTTTCCCGAAGTTTCATCCACACTTCCAATGTTTTTGGCGAATCTTGAGGTCCTTCCTTTGATGGGAACAAGTTTGGTTTGTGTCCAAAGAGTAATTCAAATGGGCTAAACCCGGTGGCTACGTTGATTGCAGAGTTGATAGCAAATTCAGCTGCCGGTATTGCCTCTAGCCATTTCCCCTGCCGTTTGGTTGTGAAGGTCCTCAGGATCTGTCCAACAGTTTTATTTGTGCGTTCGCTGCGACCATCTGCCTGTGGGTGGAATGCCGAAGACATGTGAAATTGAATGTTGAGGCGTTCCATCAAGGCTTTCCAGAACTTGGATGTCCAAAGCTTGTCACGGTCGCTGATAATTGATGCTGGGGCGCCAAACGTTGTCACCCAGTGGGAGAAGAATTGTGTCGCAATCTTTTCTGCCGTATCCGTCTGTAGAACTGGTATGATCTTAATAAACCCTGATAATCGGCAAGTGCAGGTCAAGATCATGTCGTAGTGTGTTGATTTGGGAAGAGGTCCCACGAAGTCTATGGCTATGTCAGTAAGAGGTTTCCGGGGGAAGGATGGAGTCAACATCTTCCCAGTTGGGGATGATGTCGGGGCCTTTGTTCTCTGACACGTGGGGCAACTATCGACGAATTCTGCCACTTGTTTGGCCATTCGTGGCCAGAAAAAGTCCTGCCGGAGTTCTGTGATCGTCTTCAAATATCCCAAATGACCCAGTCGGTTATGAGCTTCATTCATCAAATTGTGGCGGAGCTCCCCCGTTGCTGGGATAACTAGTCTTCCCTCGATAAACAACAGTCCGTCGACATCTAGACAGTCCTTCCTCAAGGGCAGGGCTTCTCTAATGGCTAAGCAGAAAGGATCAGTCTTGTATCCTTCCCGTACTTTGAATTTGAGAGAGTCAGAAAGCCCTGTCCCCAGTTCCGTCAGAGCCGCCACGCTAGCAACGTCTGCTGCTTCAATCGGTGGATCCTCCTCGTCTATTTCCTTTCGCGAGAGGGCGTCCGCCACTGTATTGTCTTCACCCTTGATATATTCGAAATGGAGATCAAAATCCGCCAGAATTTCCGTCCATCTTGCTTGTCGTCGGCTAAGATTCCGCTGTTTGAGTAGATAAGTGAGTGAATGATGGTCTGACATCACATTAACTTTCATTCCCAGGAGTAACATCTTCCATTTCTGTAGCGCGTGGATGACTGCCAATGGTTCTTGCTCGTGAACCGGGTAATTCTTTTCTGCTGGCGTCATGAGGTGTGATTCGTACGCTATGGGTGAGGCCTTCTTCCAGTCTTGACCTTGGAACAATGCTGCTCCTAAGCCTGATCCACTGGCGTCTGTGAATAGCCACAGAGGGTCGTCTGAATCATAATCGATGTTCTTGAGGCATGGGAGTGACGTCATTATCTTCTTGATATTGTTGAAAGCTGTTTCCTCGGCGGCCCCCCATCGGAATTGTTTGGGATCTAGTTTGGTGCTAGTGAGTGGGGTCAGCGTACCCACATATTTCTGCAGTCCCCAGATGAACTTCTTCATCCATTGGACCGTACCGAGAAATTTCTTCACTCCTTTTGCTGACTTAGGCGTTGGCCAATCCAGTACGTGTGCTACCTTGTCGTCGTCCGCTCTGATTCCCTCCTCTGAGATCCAGTGACCCAGAAATTTGACTTGCCTGCGGAACAATTTGGTCTTCTTTGGGCTGCAGTACAAGTTGGCCGCCCGTAATCGGTGTAATACCTTGCGTACGTGCCCCTCGTGGCTTTGGAAGGAGTCTGAAAAAATCACAATATCATCAAGATAAACTACGCAGATGTCATTTATAAGTTCACCCAAGGCCTCCTCCAATCTTGCTTGATGTGTTGCTGGCGCGTTAGTCAATCCCATAGGCATGACACACCACTCCATTAATCCCCAGGGTGTTTTCACGGCCGTTAGAGGAATGTCAGCCTCTCGCATCCGTGTTTGGAAAAACACATTTGTTTGATCTAGAATGGAGAAGACCTTCCCAGTCGCAACTGTCCGGACCAACTCGTCAACGTTAGGCAATGGGGACCGATCGCGTACTGTTAAGCTATTCAGGGTCCGGTAGTCGCAAACCCAGCGTGGTAGTGCTGATGGATCCTTCTTTGGTATTATCATGCTGGGTGACGCATATTGGGGGAGTGATAATCACACTCCACCCCCCTTCGCACACACACTCCAACACTCCCTTCTCTGAAGGGAGTGGTTGGAGTGTGTGTGCGAAAGGGGGGTGGAGTGTGATTATCACTCCCCCAATATGCGTCACCCAGCATGATAATACCAAAGGAAGGATCCATCAGGCACTACACGGCTGGGGTTGGCGGACTACCGGGACCTGAATAGCTTACAAGTACGCGAT